ATCGAGAATAACGGACTTCTACTCGTTCTTTTTAATCTTAGTCTCGAAAAAAACGAGCGATAATACCTCGCGTGTATATATATTACGAAGATATATACGTATTCGTGATAAGATAGCTTCGGAAAAAACGAGCGTCGCCTTATTCTTTTCGAAGCCCGCCTTATAAAGAACGAACTATATTATCTCGCCTTTATATATATTTTAACTAGAGATTTTCGAGTCGTCGTTCGATTCTTTCGAGGTAGCCGTCGTTACGTTGGGTACGCGAGGGATTTTCGAGGCGCGGGTATATATATTCGAAGTCTTGGCAATTCTTCCCCCTCTAAAATAATACTTTAGGGTTTCCCCTCTACCTTTACGAGTTCTACATCGATATCTTCGAAACTTTATATATCGATAGTAGAGACCCTAAGGATGGATTATTAACAAAAAAAAGAGAGATTGTACGATGGGTACCAAGCGATATTCGATAATTAAGATTCCTTGGTACCCATCGTACAAAAAATCTTGGTTTTCTTCGATGGGTACCATAGAGTAGGATAGTAGGGTAAAGGAAGGCAAGAGGAAAACTATTATCCTAGTTAGGTTCGTGTTTTCGAGGTTGTAGTGAATGATCAGCCTACCTGGAGTTGAAGACATTTTGGGGTTGTTGTGGTTGTTACTGGCAGTGACACGCGACACGCGATCCAAATGCCTGCACGTAGATATGAAACTTGAGCGGGCGCGCGACAAGCCTTGATACGGATGCTTGGGTCTTAGACAAGAGGAGATTTAGAAAGTTGCGAAAACGCGGTGTTGCTGAACGTGCACAGGCAGCGTTGGTTTGGGATGGAACAACAGTAGAAAGAAAGGTATAGAATGAAGAGAGATAAAAGGCAAAAGGACCAAGTAAAACTTCAATACTAAAGTACCACTAATTGTGTCTTCACACTAGGTCTTATATTCACAGCATCAACGCTAACAGGTTAACAAAGACAGCTGGAAGCCTAAAGTATCATTATCTGTACACTCTTAGAACAGTCAGTGTTGCTTGCTGGGGTCATGTCAGTCAACAACCGGACGTCCTGTCCTCTAGAGCACTCATCAAAATGGCGCTCTTCTAAAGAGCAAAGGTCTCTTTGATTTGCAATATGAGCACAACCGGATTTGCGTGATGCAGGCAGCCTTGCTTTTCACATGGCAGTTAGATGGGGTAGATGACGTTTGCTCAAATACATACTCCTGGGAAGGCATTGTCTGTCAAACAGCTCAATGCCTATCTCTAGTCCTAGAGTCCTTATTGTTACTGGTCTGGATCACACTTCTTCCTTGAATACTCGGCCTTCACGCCAATTCTATCTATATTCAACTTCAAAGCAGCCCAGCCCTACATTTAGGATGAACAGCCAAGGTCTACTGTCTACATCTTAGCTCTCTCCTCAGCCAAGAACTCTCTCCTATGCGGACCCCCTCGACTGCCATCGCCCTTGAACAAGTCCTGCGCCTGGCAGTACTCGGTGCGGAAGCGCCATTTATGCAAGAGGTCGAGCGGAAGGTCGCGCTTCATGGCCCCGACGATGTACTTTCCGAGAACAGGAAGGAACTTGAAGGCACTGGAAAGAGACTTGTCAGTAGTGGCCATGGCTAACAAAAAGATGCTGCAGGACTGTGGACTCGGAGTGGGATAATGGATCAACATCTGCCAGGAAGCATGGGAATGGGGTTCATAGCTCCAACGTACTGTCCACTCCCGCCGGTCGCGACAAACAGGTTCTCATGGTCTGGGTGGTAGTCGAGCACAAACTCGCCCGTTGGCGTGTCGTTGTACCAACAGATGCATGCCCGTTCGAAGGCTCGGTCCGCTAGCTCCGGGAGCGCTTTCGCCAGACCTTTACGCAGTTGATCGACGCCGTCACTCGGGGCAAAGTTGGTGCGTGCGCTGCGGGGCTTCAGTGTCGGGGAGGATAGAGTCTCGATGATGTCGCCGTTTTTCACCTGTCTGGTGTAGCCGTAGCCGTGCACCATGAACTTGAGATAGCCGGAACGGCGGTGTGGCGGGAACAGTAGGAAGCCTGAGTCGAAATTGATGTAGATGGGCAGGTTTTGGTAGCGGTCCATCTCCAGCTCGCTCAACCTCAGATATCCGACGACCTGGCCTGTGGCCAAGACGGTGTTGCGCATCGGGGCCAGTCTCGACGACCACGCGCCGGCCGCCAGCACGAAGATATCCCCCTCGACATGGTTGCCGCTGCGGGTCTGGACGGCTACGATTTGCGACGTCCCCAAACGCCTGCGAAACGCCGTCACCGTGCCGCGCGCGCCGCTGATGAACGACACCCCGGCCTCGATGCACTGGTCGCGCAGGAGGGTGATGGCAAGCTGCGCGTCTGCCCAACCGGCCGCCGAATTCCAGTACCCGTGGAAGCTAGCGCCCCCCAGGTCGCCCGTCAACGCAGGGAAGATGCGCTTGGTAAGCTGCGCGTCCTGCAGGCGCTGGTACGGCAGCGACAGCTGGTCTAGGTTATGCAGGCATTTGTCGATGTAAGACCGTCCCGGCGCGTTGGTCGCCGTCACGACAAACGGGGTCGGGAAAAAGACGTCCTTGTACAGCGGCGACGTAGCCCACAGGTCGTACGCCTCCTTAGCGATCGCCGTGTGCGTCCCATCACCGTAGTCGAACCGGATCACGCGCGATATGTCGACGCTGGATCCGTCGGGGACCTGCTCTCGTCAGCTTGCTCCACACAACTTGTCCCTGGGGTCAAGTGATATAGTAGGTAGTAGGTACCGGCGGGGTGTGACGGTCGAGCACAACCACGCTCTTGTATCCCTCGCTACTCAGTTGCAGGGCGGTGCTCAGGCCGAAGACGCCTGCCCCGATGATGACGACTCGCTGTTCTTTGTTCATCTCCTCAAATCAGTTGATAGGAGTAGCGACGGTTGAGACGGCCGACAGTGGTGCAGCTATTAGATCAGGGAGATGGGTGGACAGTGTCTGTGACTACTGGTCTGGGGAGATATGTGAAGGCCACTCCCAACCAGGAGAAAGCAAGAGACCGGTGTTCAGCTCAGCCTCTATTTTTATATCAGGCTTCAACAGAAACGACCCAGGTCTTTCTGCCGCATGTATTTCTCACAGCCGTCTCCACTCACCGAGTCAGGCATCAGGTATCACCGTGTTGCGGTCGCGGGTGGAGGACACGGGTACGGGGGACGGATGCGGAATACGGATTTCTGGACATTCTGGCAGTCGGCGAGTGGGGAGACAGCCGGGTTCCACGATGGCACGGGACACAGGCGTCCTCTATGTTTGTGCCTTGTAGTCCTTCAGACGCCGTCTTGACTCTCGAATGTTATTCCAAAGGCTGCCGTCTGCACTTTATCAAATAGATCGAACAGATGGCGTTATAAGTTACACCCATCTCCTGCATCTTGCATCTTAACTATTCGAAAAGTCGAGATGTGTTCGGCATGACGCGTTTATACAGCGGGTGGATGGTTTTTGCCAAACTCCTGTGACTACAGTAGAGCTGCTGCTGGTGTGAGTTCTAACGGCACTGTGATGCCAGGTGATGCCAGGTCACGAAGCTGACACCGACACAGTCTGGTAGGCTACTGTCGACAGTCGACAAAGCTCATACCACATCAGCGGAAAAGTACACCGACCATGGCCTGCCGAAGAGTGACCAGTCATCGGTAAACTCCTGAGCAGAGTCAAATCCCTCCAGCTGGTCGGGAAAAAGGTCGGTCAGTGGCTCTCTCTCTTGGTGAGCGGCAGCCTGCCGGTTCTCGACGACAGGCCAGTTATTTGTGTTTGATTCGGTAACAAAGTTGTTGGGAACCAGATTATACGCTTGGTCGGCGTTCACCATGTCGTGCCGGTCCTGAAACGCGGCCGGCGGTGTCACCTCCGGCGAGGCCTTCTGCTCGCTCGACAACGAGGCATAGTCGAACAGTTTCCACATGAGCGCGATGTCTTCGGGTTCGATCGCTACATCCTGTATCTCATTGGGGGGGATCGCCCCGTTGTACTCGTCTTGCACATGGCGGATGGTCTGCCGGCGTTGAAGACGCGCTGAGATTTGCTCCAGCACATTCAACTGCCGCGGTTAGCCAGGTCGGTCAGCCTGCCGAGTGAACGTACTGTGTCCCGCATGTTGGGCCATTTGTCCGACATGCTCTCGACAAAATCACGTGCCCGCTCAAACTTGCGTCGCGCAACCTTTGCAATCTTCACGTGTCTGTTGATGGTATGCTCCAGCTGGATACTGGCGGCGATGGCGACCACATGGCCCACAAACGGATCGTGCAGTGGTATCCCGGCTTCTTGCATCTCGACGATGTGCCGGATGACCCAGTCCGAATGGATCAACGAGTCTTGATATGACTTTTGCAAGTACGTCAGAGGCACTTGAGCGTGGTGCTGACGCGTCTTCATGAAGATGATGAAGGGATGGTGTCTGCGATGGATTAGAATGTACTGGCCAAATCTCGGAGGCAGGCATTACAAGCAGCAGTTGATGGCCGAATACATGATCTGGAAAAACACCCACACGCCAAAATACGGCCGCAGATGAGGCTCGCCCACGACACGCTGCGGAGAGCCGACGATGGAATAGAGATGGGATTGGGCCACTGTCTGTCTCAGTCTTGGTCTGCATGGTACGCACGAAGCTTGATACTTACGCATTTCAAACTCCAGCAGCGCCGAGTGGAGTTTAGCCCTGGACGAACCGTCTCTCCAGAAAGCAACCGACGTTTCAGGAACTACCTGAAAGATGTCCTGCATGGTCGTGTCCCACAGATGGACAAGTAGGATGTTGCATGCCACGAGGTCCAGAGAGCCTGCACGGAGCTTATCCTCAAACGATGTCTGCAGCGTGATGTCCTTGGTCGCAGCCACACCATCCGGATGTCGCGGCCCGTTTCGCATCAGAAACAAATGAAAGGAAAAGGCCGGAATACAGGTTGACCTGATGTTGTCACCAGTTAAGATGCGATCCATCATGAACAGCGTCCACACAAGCGAGCGCCAGCCGATAGACAGTCGATCGTTCGATGTCCGGTCGTTCTCTTTGCAGAGTAAGCCCCGAGTTTGAGCCAGTCTCAGACCGAGAGCGACCTGGGCTTGTGCTCGGTGAGGCTTGCCGGCTGCAATATGCTCAGCATTCACATTCACATTCACAGTTCTGAATTGGGTAGGTTTGGGTAGCATTGACACTCACTGGCGAAATCTACTTGGGCCAACAAACAAAGACCCCGGAAATAGGCGAGATCGAATTCGAACCTTGAATATGCAGAGGCTAGGAGGTCCCAGGCGGCCTCGGCCAGCGCGTCCAAGATCTCGAGCATGGTTTTCTTGTCGCGGAAGAAGGTATGTTGACAAGTCCGCAGGCTGACGGCAAGCATTGGATACAGCACAATCTTGGGAAAGTCCGGAACTCGATCATGGTCCGTCGTTCCTGTGAGGAGCGGGTAGGGCTGGTTGTCAAAATGCCGGAAGTAGAGCGACACCCCTTCGTCGGCAAGGTCTTGGGGGATGTAGTAGTTTGGTGTGATTCTCTGATGTCAGTCTTGGACCGGTCTAACCAACTGGGATGCGACATACTGGAAAAGATTGGAGGGGGATGTCGACGCGGCGGCACTCTGAGACAGCCTGCTCTCACTGTGCAGGTCTGCGAAGGATTCCGTGGCGAGACGGCTTCTCGCTCTATCAGGAGGACTGACATAGTAGTTTAGTATGAAGGGAAGTCTGGAAAGAAACGTGGTGAGATGGCGATCTTACCCCAAGACTTCAGCCAGCTCATGAAGTTTGTCCTCAATTGCGCTGAGTCGACTCGATTGCTATGACCAATGAGCCCGAGCCAGACCTAGAGCAGGTAGAGGGGACGAGTACAGGACGACTGACATGGTGTGGCCCATGAATTGGATGATAAGACAGACGGGCATCACGGGGTCGAACTCGCCGGTCGTTCTCAGCGTAGATGCAACGCTGTCTAAGACGTGCACACAAGGAGCATCTTGGTCGCTCGCCAGGACAGCGTGACTTCTTGCGTCTGTGCATGTACAGTCAGTATCGTCATGTCCATCTGTCTGTTTCTATCTCAAGGCCTTCTGCACCCACCGGCAGTTCTCGCACGCCTGTCGCGCGCGCTTGACGGGTTCGACGTATTGCGAGTTCGGCAGAGAGTCTTCGTCAGCCATTGCGTGGTTTAGAGGAAGGATGGAGGTCTCTAGGTTACAACCAAGTCATGTGTTGTGCGACTCGTGTATCTGCAACTCATGTCGTGTGGTGAAAGCCAGTTCGCACCTGAGGTTTAGTGTTAAGCGAAGCCTGAGGACTAAGCGAAGACTAGCCAGGTGGACCTAGCTAGGCCAATTACGCCGCTCAGTACTCAATACTTGTGTCTAGTTGTCTCATCAAGATCCCTCTGGATTCTCCCTCTTTCTAGAGGTGTCCTTATTAGAAAAGCCTCAAGCTGAAGCCTCAAGCTGGCCCCTTACCTCGCAGTGCCAGTCAGACCAGTGAATCTGAAAGATAATGAATATGTCGAGGAAACAGAATCCGGACAACGGCATACGGCATACGGAACACGGAACACGGAACACGGAACACGGAACACGGATACGGCCCTGTGGAGACATCGACACTGATACTCTCTCTCGATTCAGTCCAGTCTCCCCAGCCTCGACTCGACCTCTCCCACTACCGGGCCCCAGCATTTACGAGAACTCTGGACTTGAGGCTGCACAATCATGCCGCCACTATGTCCAATCACATGGTTTGTTTGTGTGTATCTTTCCAGCCAGCGCAGATAGCGGTGGTGCCTTATCTGGACCCGTCATTCCATACTCTCTCTCCCCGGCCGGGATCCGTCCAGCAGGGAGAACGATAGTGTCAAAGCACAGGATGCGTACGCGTATCGTGAGATCACGCATGGGGGCATTCGATTCCAACTCCTATATTAAGAACTCCTTCCTGGGGGCTTGCCGTCTATACTGATACTATACACTCCGAGACTCCAATAGACCTTGTCCTGCCAACTTGTTCCCTCGAAACCAGCACGACGACAGGAGACATGGAGTCGGAAAAGTCATACCTCGACAACCACCTGGCCACGGTCCAGACCACCGCGATTGGTGAAAACGTCCCCCTGGAACTCCCGGGGGCGGTTCACCAGCGCAATATCAAGCTGGTGGGAGATGCCATCGAGCCCATGGGCATGGGCCGCTATCAATGGCAGGTCTTTTTGACGTGCGGCTTTGGGTTTGCAGCCGATCAAGTACATCTCCCCTCTTCTCATGGTACTTCCACTCTCCCTCTCCCATTAATAATGTCTCTTAGATCCTCCTCGTCGCCGTCGGCCTGGTCTTGCCTCAGATCGTCAAGGAGTTCAAGACGGACAACGCAAACTATGTGGTCTTTGCGCTATACGTCGGCCTCCTGGCCGGTGCAGTCACCTGCGGCTCCCTCGTGGACCTGTTCGGTCGCCGGCTGGTGTGGATTTTGTCGCTGCTCCTGACGTCGGTCATGGCTATGGTTTGCGCTAGCGCCCCTAATTTCGTTGTACTCTGTGTCTTCACCGCCATCGAGGCTTTTGTTGGCGGTGGCAATGGTACGCACACCCCTACTTAGCCAACTTCGTAGTTGCTGACGAGGCCCGACCGCAGTCTCGATTGACCTGGCGATCATGAGCGAGTTCCTGCCCAAGAAGCACCGCTATCTCCTGACCGTGTTTGCGGCCGCTTGGGGCGTGGGTAACGCGCTGGGAGGGTTGTTTGGTAGGTGGCTTGTAAAGACTGCTGTTTATCTTCTCGGCTGATTGTGAACAGCCTGGCCTCTCATCGCCAATTACTCCTGCGGCCCTGACGCAACGCCGGCGACCTGTCACCGATCGGAGAAAATGGGGTGGAGATACCAGTATATCCTGACCGGCGGCTTCTGCCTCGTCCTCTCCCTCATCCGGGTATTTTGGTTCAAGATAGAAGAGTCTCCTCGCTGGCTCGTTTCGTAGGGCCGTCTGGACGACGCCGTAGCTGCCGTGGCCGAAGTCGCCCGCGTGAATAAGTCTAGTGTCATCCTCGATCGCGGGGCTCTGCACGAGGAACCAAAGGTGGAGAGTGCCACGGCCGTCAAGATCAAAGACATGCCAGTCTTGCAGCATGTGCGCGGCCTTTTTGCCGATGCAAAGCTGGCTCGCTCGACAGCATCCATCTTCTTCCTGTGGATGGGTATAGGCATTGCGTACATAAGTAACCAAGTGCGGGTTAGCCTTGGCCTCCAGTAGGAGATGCTGACCCTGACCCTGACGCCTCCAGGTACCCCATCTACACATTGTTTCTGCCGGCGTACCTCGCGGCGCATGGCGCCAGATTAGGTGACGGAAGCACCTATATGACGTATCGGGATTATACTATTTCGTCGATTGTTGGCATCTTCGGGCCTCTGCTGAGCGGCTACCTCGTGCAAGTCCCTCTCCTCGGGCGTCGTTACTCGATGACGGTGACTGCATGCTGCGCGGCTGCATTTGCAATTGCCTCCACGACGGTGCGCAACGAGGCGCAGCATCTGGCGTTTTCGTCCATGATCAACTTCTGGCAGAATGCCTACTATGGCATCCTCTACGCGTGCGCTCCGAACTTCCTTGCCTATGTCCGCCGAAGAGTATGACTGACGTGCGAAGCTACACCCCCGAAGTGATGCCCCTGTCCCACCGAGGCACCGGCTGTGGACTGGCCATGGAATGATGGGACCCTGTTGAATGATGTCGTTACACTCCTGAATATATTGGTCTCTTTTGAGAAATTTCATTTTGCGGCGTTGTAGCGGATATTCCTCTATACTCTCTCTTTGCGAAAACCTTTAGAGCGGGACTTGCTTGTTGTCAGGATAGAGTTCACCAATGAATGATATTTCGATCGTGGAGGTGTTGGTATCCTGCTGCAGCGCGCCTAAGCCAGCGAACCCTTTCCTCTAAGGGTATCTTCGCTGCGGAGGGAGAGCAATAGATGGTACGAAGGACTTGGCCTCGTTCTATCTCCAGTACCGGCCAAGATTCGACTTGGAAGGGAAATCTCATTGTGCTGGAAAGGTGTCCGACACCGCAAATTATGGGGCGTGATTGGCGGAAGTGTCGCACCCAAACCTACCAATGTTAGCAAATCCAATGCACCAACTCGAAGAGCGACATCTCTGTGCATTGAGGCCAGTTTTACTCAGTGTCTTGTCGTCATCAGTATAGGCCTGGAACTGGAGCCGTTCCCAGAACAGCGGGGGACCGTTAATCATTCGAAGGCTACTACTTCGCAGTGCGTGAAGGTGCAGTCCCCGACCAGCGGCTTGAATCAAGCATCCGGAGTTCAACAGGGATGCCATTTAATTAGGTGGTCCACAGGTTGCGTGACCATCCGCGCTTCAGTATGGATGGAACCATCGTTGTAAGGGAACGCGTTGACAGTACGAGTACGGAGTACAAAGCGGTGAAGCCTACAGTATCCCCACAAGGGTTGTCAGGTCCCTGCCGAGCCTTCTGACAGGTGATCACTGTAATTGAAACTAGACATCGTCTCTGACAGTTGGACTAGCCATGAAGAGGAGGAACGAATCTTCGGGCCCGTCCTCTCCGTCCCCATCCTGTTTACTCGACCTCTGACGCAGTACCTTTTCACTTCATCGGTTTGGAAATGCCAAACTGGCAGGGTAAAAGAATAATGGGTGGAAAGGACTATAGGGTTCAGGTAGTAGACTAAACCCAAAACACACAAAGTACTTTCTTGGACCGTACTCGGAGTTCCCACTATTAAAGTCATTTTGTACTCCATAATAAAACCCATTGAATTTCCTTCAACTCCAATATGCTATTCATCAACTGTCCCCTAGTGTGATTTACCTTGTTCCTCAAAACCACTAGTGGGCCATCTTCTTTACAACCCATCATCACCTTGTAAAACTGTCAGCTGCCGACTCATCCATCATGTCTCCCAACTACAAATTCCAGGGCTGGATGGGCCTCGACAAGGATGCGGCCAAGGGCAAGATGGTGTGGCAAGAGTATACGCCCAAACCGTTTGAAGAGACCGACATCGACATCCAAATCACCCACTGTGGGATCTGCGGTTCTGACCTCCATGTTCTTCGAAGCGGATGGAGTGCGTCTCTCTACCCCGTCTGTGTCGGCCATGAGATCGTGGGCGTCGCGGTCCGCGTCGGCTCCAAGGCCGAGGGAGGCATTCGAGTCGGGGATCGCGTTGGCGTTGGCGCCCAGAGCTCGTCGTGCCTGAAGCCTGACTGTGAGCAGTGCTCCGGAGGGGCGGAGAACTACTGCCAGAACCACCAGACCGGCACTTATAGCAGCAAATATCCCGACGGCAGCAAATCCTACGGCGGCTACGCGGATTACTGGCGGGGCCCGTCGCATTTTGTCTTCAAGATCCCCGACGCCTTACCCAGCGATGTGGCCGCTCCGATGCTGTGCGCCGGCATCACGGCGTTTTCACCGCTCAAGCGGTTGGGCGCCGGGCCGGGCAAGCGCGTCGGAATTGTTGGGGTGGGCGGTCTCGGCCACTTTGGCATCCTGGCCGCCAAGGCTCTAGAGGTCGACAAGCTGGTCGCTCTCTCCCGGACATCGAGCAAGAAGGCAGACGCCTTGGAGATGGGCGCCACTGACTTTATCGCCACCGACGAGGATGAGGACTGGGCCGCGAAGCATGCCAACTCCCTGGATATCATCATCTGCACCGTGGACAGTCCCAAGATGCCTCTGGCGAAATATCTCCGACTCTTGCGGGTGGGCGGCACCTTTGTCCAGGTCGGCGCGCCCGAGGACAGGCTCCCTCCCTTCAACATCCTGCCCCTACTGGCAAAAGACCTCAAAATTGCCGGAAGTAGCGTTGGCAGCCCGGCGGAAATCCGGGAAATGCTGGACCTGTTTGCGAAGAAGGGCGTGCATACCTGGAACAACAACGTGCCCCTGAAGGACGCCAACAAGGCCATTTTGGATATGGATGCGGGCAAGGCGAGATATCGGTTTGTCTTGGTCAATGAGAAGCATGTGTCGCAGGTTGAGCGAAACGAAGCTCGTGAAAACAAACTTTGACTGCGTTCTGCAACGGCAGCGTACTGAATACATTAATGCTATTCCTAGGTTGTACTTAGGCGGTATGATCCTCAAGGGCCTAAGTCAGAAGAGCAATGTAGAACAGAAGGTCGACGTAGCGACAAGCATAGAGGGCAGCGGCGGTCAACAATGAAATGAGCTCGGCATCCAATGCTGCTCAGCAGAGTTGTAAGACCCGAGTTGGTCTGCTCAAGCTATCGATATCCTTAATCGGAAACTTCAACTTCCCTATATGCTGATGCAGTGATATATTCAATTATACTTTCAAGACAGTCAACCCTGGGTATCGCGAGAGGTAGGAACATTCACCAACATTACTTTCCTTTTACCTTGCAACAGTGGAAACATCACCAGAAGCTTCAACAGCACCAATCGCAAACATCTAAGCAAACTCGCTCGTAACCCGGTCACACCAATCAAACAGCTTTTCGGCATTTCCGCCTTCCTTGCCCAGCTCAGCTTGAATGTCTGGTCTGGTTGCCAAGCGACGACCCCAAGGCACGATGCAGACGCCTTGATCGTTGGCAATGGTCAAGTCGGGCGACAAGCCAGCATAGAGCTCGGTGTAGGCGCCCAAAATCGGGGGGTAAACAAGAAATCCGATCACCCAGGCGGAAATGGGATCCAGGTGGCGGCCGAGATTGGTGGCGAGGTTGCCAGGGTTGTAGGCCTGTCTGGGGTCAGTAGGGGCCACGTATACATGAAGATGGAGATATTGCACAGCTCGAGGTTGAAGTCCAAGGCACTTGCCGTACTCACATTATGCAAGACTCCATCTCTGCTCCCGAAGCGCTTCGCAAACTCGTTGGCCAGCAGGAAATTGGCAGCCTTGGAAGTGCCATAGACTGGTCTCGACCCGATCGAGTCATCCAGGGTCACGTCTCCTTGGGCTTGGGTCTTCCACTTGACCCCTCCAGCCGGGCTTTCCAGGTACATTGACAGGCTACTTGCCCAGCTGACACGGACAGAACCGGCATCTGCGCCAGGGGTGTCGGCTTCCAGCTTGGCAGTCCGTCTCAACACGGGCAGTAACAGCTTTGTAAACAGGAAGGGACCGAGGATATTGGTCTGGTAAGACAAATCAATACCTTGGGCGCCCCGAGAGCCTGACGGAGGGACCATGACACCGGCATTGTTGTTCAGCCAGTGGAGTTTGTCTTCTCGACGCAAAAAGTCGTCGACGCTTGATTTGATGGTGTTCAGGTCGGACAAGTCGAGAAACAAGAATTCCAGTCTGCCTTTGGATTCGGGATGGAGCTTCGCGATCGCCGCGATGGCGTCTTTTCCTTTGGACTCGGATCGAGCCGCCACATACACCGTGGCATTATGCACGTAGAGGATCCGGCTGAGTTCGTAGCCGACGCCGCTGTTGGCACCGGTGATGATGAAGACCTTGCCGGTCTGATCGGGAAGGTTTTTCTCAGTCAATGGCGGGGGAGGAAGGCGGAAGGATTGGCCCCAAAACATGCGAAGGCGGGAGACCATGTTGATAGTCGCAGCTAGCTAGCTGGTCGGTTGGCAGCCAAGATGATTGACAGTCTCAGCCGACAGCAAGATGGACGGAGCGACGGGAGCAAATTGAGCAAGCTATTATGTCAACTCAGATTCTGGGGTAAGTAGAAACGTAGTCCGGACTGGTGGCTCTTTTATAAGATGCAGAAGATCCCGACACGACCCTGACACGACCCGTGAGGTAGGCTCAACAGTAGCTCTCCGCACAAGTTCGGCCGCACTGGTCCAGCCAATCACGACGGGCAACCTTCGGCTAACCCCTGCAGTAACAACCCGAGATGATTGCATGTGCAAGGGCAAGGGAACGAACACGAAAGCCGACCTTTGAGACAGGAGCCTCTTGGGATGTTGATGGGCGGCATCAAGGTTGACAAAGTAAATCTGTCCCGATCATTGCCCAGGGAATAAGCTGGAAGCGTCAACCTTGGACAGCCGTCATCTCGGTTCATTTGGACTGTGACTAAAGTCAAAGCGCCCGTGAATATCTTCAGATAGAGAGAATACTTGAGCGAGATGGAAGACATGTCGAACTTGTAATGCTATAAAATATACCATTGGAATTCATTAAAACCCAAGCCCTCCATCAAATGGTATGAAAGAAACGAATTGAAGAAAACCCATCCACTTGAACACTGTCTAATATCGACGAGCTCGACCATATACTGCTCGCCTGAGAACCTGGCCGTCACATCCAGGATCACTGAGAGCCACTTGGTCTCCACCAGGTTGGCAATTGGGCACGGCGCCAACAGCTGCCTGAATTGCCTGGATGTTGGTGTTGCCTATCAAGCCAACGTCCGCACCGCCGACGGTAGATGTTCCGATGACGCCACAAGTTCCTGCGCATACGTTTGCGGCCGATTGGAGAGCCTGAGTGAGACTGCAAAGGAGTCCGGAGACGCCAGTGTCGCAAGTCACAGTGGAGAGGCCAACATCGGCAAGGGTCTGACCGGCACAGAGAGTCACGGCGACACCGCACTGTGCGGCAGCGGTAGTGGTACTGCTGGTGACGGCACTGGTGGTTGTAGTCGCTTGCGTCAACGTGGTCGTGGCGGCAGATGTAGTAGTCAAGAGAACCGATGTGGTCACAGTGGCTGATGTCGGGCTGGTCGAGGTGGCGAGAGTGGTCAGGCTGCTGAGAGTGGTCGATGAGGTCGTCGGGTTGTTAGGACACGTAGGGTCATACAGGGTGACGGTTGTGGTCTGCAGAGCCGAGCAAACGGTATTCAATTGGCCGGCATTGATTGCAGCTTGCACGGCTGCTGGAGTGATGCTCAACCCCAGAACTTGGTTGTTTTCCACCAGCACCGATGCCACACTGGGATTGCCGCCCAAGAGGGCAGGAACCAAGCTCAGCAAGTCATTGGTCGTGCAAAGAACGCCGGTTCCAAGTGGACAATTTTGAGTCACGACAGTGTTTGCAGTAATCAACTGTGAGTCCAAGCAAATGTTGGCGTTCAAATTGCATATGGGGCCAGCCGATGTAGATGTGGTTGCAGCGGCAGATGTTGTACTGGAAGCGATGGTAGTTCCGACACTGGAAGTGATGGTGGTTGCGGCACTGGAAATGGCACTGGTAGTTGTGGCACCCAGTCCCGTTGTAGTCGACAGTAAACTTAGACCCAGGGTTGTAGTACCTTGCGAAACAGCCGATGACGAACTGCCCACGGATATGACAATTAATGGAGTGGTGGTGGTTGATGTGCCTAGCAGGGTTGAGCTCAAGGACGAAGTTGTGGTGCCTGTGGTCGGGTTGATTGGACAGGTTGGATCATTGACGAGAACGGTGACTGGCGGGACGGCACCGCAAAGTCCGTTTAGCTCTCCGGCATTGATGGCGGCGGCCACTTGCTCCGGAGTGATAGACAGACCGACGACCTGGTTGCCGCCAACAAGGACGGACAAGACGTTGGGATTGCCACCGAGCAAAGTAGGCACCAGATTCAACAAGTCATTGACGCTACAGATGAGGCCACCAAGGAGAGGACAAGTGACGGTCGAGACGGTATTGGCGGTGATGAGTTGAGAGTCGAGACAAACATTCGCATTCAAGTTGCAGATCGGGCTAGTAGCTGTTGTCGTAGTGGCAAGTCCTGAAGTTGTGGTAGAGCCTCCGATCGGGCCTACCTCTGCACTTGAGGTTGATGAGCTTGTCGTGCTCTGTCCAACTGGGCCAACCTCTGCACTCGATGTCGATGATCCCATGGATGTGGTCGAACCACCAATCGGGCCAACCTCTGCACCCGAGGTCGACGAGGTTGTGGCGGTGGTAGAACCACCAATTGGGCCAACCTCAGCACTCGACGTCGACGAGGTCGTTGTACTCCCACCAATGGGGCCGACGTCTGCACCAGAGGTTGTTGATGTTGTGGCGCTTCCGCCAATGGGGCCGACGTCTGCACCAGAGGTTGTTGATGTTGTGGCGCTTCCGCCAATGGGGCCGACGTCTGCACCAGACGATGTTGATGTTGTGGCGCTTCCCCCAATGGGACCGGTGTCGCCGCCGGACGTGGATGTTGATGTTGTGGCACTTCCCCCAATGGGACCGGTGTCGCCGCCGGACGTGGATGTCGATGTCGATGTCGATGTTGTGCTTGCACTTCCCCCAATAGGGCCGGTGTCACCACCAGTTGTGGACGATGCTGATGTAAGAAAGGCGGTCGAAAAAGAACTCGACGATATAGACCCCCCAATGTCATCAACGCCCTGGCCCATGGTCGACGAGCTAGTGGTGGCAGATCCCCCAATCGGACCAGTATCGGCACCGGCTGAAGTGGTTGAGGTGGTGAACATGACGGGGCTGTCGACAGCAGTGGTCGTGGAGGACGACGAAATACCAAGTGCGGCCGATGTGGTTGCGCCCGGGACCGCCCAATCCACCCAGCCTGCACCACCACCATAGTAGGCGTTGCCGTTGTTGTCAGTCTCTGGTAGTGGCCACCAGCCATCGCCGGAAGATCCAGTGGGAATCGGAACACGGGTACTAAGCACCATATTAGCCAAAGACCAATTTTCGGAGACAATAATTCGTCCTTACCTCTTTCCATGTTGAGTCGCATAGGGGATGTTGACAATGATGATCTTGGTGATCTCGATATTAAAGTTGAAAGTGGTGGCACCAGAGAAGGATTTGGTCACGTAAGCATTCCATGACTGGCCAGGCACGGCATACACCTTCCTTGGAGTGACGCTGACAACCTCTTGCCCCTGAATCGTGACCGTGACCGTCTTTGCTGGAGCCGTAATGGTGACCGGAGGGGCGACTTGAGGAAAGGTCCAGGTGTAGGTGCCAGCGCCGGGGATATTACCCTGGCTGGAGCAGAGAGCGACGGCGGTGACGGTGGAAGTTGGCGCAGGACGCTCGATCAAGGTCTCGTACCATTCGGAGCATTTCTTGTACTTCTTACCAGAGGCGCTGGTGCCAGATCGACATTCGACAATATCGAGGAGCTGGTAGCGGCTGCCATCTGGCTGCTGGTGGCATTTTTGGCAAAGACCGCTGCCCTCCCAGCCAGGAACGCACAGTGGGCCAGCTTCCCGGAAAGGTACCATGGCGCGTCTGCTGACAGTTTCGTAGACAGTGACATCCTGGTGTTCTGCCTCCTTATGCAACCAATCGATCCAGCTGCGTTTGGCGGCTGTGGGAGCGGCTGTGACTGTAGTGAGTGTTTCCAGATGCTCGGAAACTCTCACAGGCTGGTCAACCGCAGTGACCGTGGTCGTCTGAGAGGTTGTTCCGTCCCAACCACAGGGCACCACGGTGGACACCCAAGGAAAGGTGACGAAAGGGTAGGTGGTCGAGCATTTACCCTTAATGCAGCCGGTGGTGGGCTGGCATGTCGACACCGGTTGGTACTGAGAGGTGACCGTGATGGGTGTGAGAGAGAGCTTGTCGACACCTGGGCATGGATGGATTGTGGCCAATGGATTGCCGAAGACGGCATCGGCCATGAGCAAGGCCAATGCCGCCTTCTGAGTCCCCGAGTATGGCAACAACATGGTGGGGGAGAAAGAGTGACTTCGGGTCAGAGACCAAGCAAAAGGACAAAAAAGAAGCAGACAGTGCCAAACGAGTGACTGTACCGTGGAGCGAAGAAGATGGTTGGAGGATGTAGAAAAGTGGTCGTGTGAGGGATGCTTTATACAATATCTGCGGCAGCGCAGATTGAGTTCAACGTGCCACTTGCACACCGACCAGGGCTTCATCGATGAGATTGGATCCTCTACATGACATCCAGCCTGGCAGTCGAGCCGCCCATTCTCTTCTGACTGTGCGAGGAGGCATCCAATGCATAGTGATGAATGCTCGTGTTCAGCTGTCGGTTTGAGGCCAATCTCATTGCTCCAAGCTAGGACCCTGGCGACCAGGGGATGTCGCTGGCACCTTGAACCAGGACCAGGGTCTTGCCACTGCTCACCGTGGTTACCTCAGCACATGAGGCAATGATTCGAAAACACTCACCACTGATGTTGTTAATGACAGTCCTGGTCATGGTGGAGACCAAGCCTCGCTTCAAGAGCCGCTAGGTTGAAACTTTTGGTGCGCCACGGGACGAGCACAGTGGGATCATGCTCGGATCATTCCATGGTCCTGGATGACGGTGGCACTTGGGTGGCGTGCGGCAAGAAAAATGGTGCTAGATCCCGTCCCGGATCACCCACTGACACTCGTCACAGCTGTCGTGGAAGCAAACACGAGGTTGACGGGTACGGAAAGTTCCCGGCAGCACGGCATCGTTGGGCACAATGTTGTTGTTTCCTACTGCTCATCCCAGGGACGAATTTGCACCTTCAGACGTCAATGTAGCGGCCCATCCTCTCTCTATTCCCTTGTGTGTCATCCTCGCCTCATGGGGTCGTCTTCGGCAGAAGGAACAGAGGCGCAGGCTCAGACACGGACAGGCAGAGAGCCAAGGGCGAGGGCGAGGGTGACTCCGCTGGTAATTGGCAATGGCAATGGTAGCCAGTTCTGGCACAACCTGGGGTGCAGTAGCGGATCTCAGAGATGTTGTCGTAGCGAGAGATTCTCTTGGGACACGGTAGGGAGTGCAATAGTGTGGTGTGTCAGAGCTGTCGACTGAACGTCAAAATTGAGTATTGAGATGGAAGCGAAGCGATGCGGGCGTTGGTTGGTGGGAAAGCGGCGGGAGGCTAAGCCCGACGTCACCTGTTTTCTGTCCCGTGTCTCGTTCTTTTGTCGCTTCAACTCCATCCATGTCTGTATCCATGGCATGCGCACCTGGCACCTTTCAAGGCGGCTGGAACAGTGCCTTAGGCCCGACCTAGAGAATCAAAATAGCAACGGTCTCAGCCGGGGATATTTCATCCAACCGACATCCAGCGACAAAGCACAAGCCTAACATCTACTCGAGATAGTCGAAATTTGAATCTGCTATTACGAGAGCGTCCGCAATGACCATCTTCCAGGTCCCCCTCGTACGCTGATCCTTGGCGCAGGGTCCATGGAAATTGAAGAAATACCCTCGAACGTTCGGGGATCATGCTTGTGATGCTGATGCGCGCATGGGCATCTTGCACTGTCTGGAGACAAATGTTGCCATCTGCATGCCAACACTGTGTTCCCTGACAGCCGCTGTCGTCAAAAGACAAATCTCCGCCCAAACAGCTGGCACCATGTCAACCCTTCGATTGTGAACTCCATCGAGTCTGTCTGTTAGTGGTAGCGTTTTGAGAACAACGTCAACAACGGCAACCCAACATCCGAACAAAACAACAACAACAATAACAACAACAAGCACTTGTAAGAAGAACGCTTTGATAGCCAACCGTTTTGCACATATCTTCAACCGCTGTCACACTTGTGGACTGACCGCCCAGAGCCCGTCCTGTGGTAAAGCCATCTAGCAGGCCTTACCACGGCAATTTTGGACGAGAGGACTTCGGAATGATGTGAAGATATGGACTGAAAGCAATCCCACGGCTATCAATAGCTGAAAATAGAGCCACACCCTGGCATGGCAGCAATATACTTCCCTCAGACAGGCCTCCCGTCTGCGGGACCATGGTCCTAGGATCAGCTTAGAGCTGTAGCTCCGACACCTTTTCCGAATGTTAGAGACATTCCTATAGCATGTATGCACAGGCATATGATTCAATACTGCCGGTGAAGCGCACACCGAGACCATAAATCCATTTGTAAATATAACAATTTCCTACAGCAACATAGACTGGTCGGCAGTAAGCCTTTCCCTAGCTTTCCCTCAGTGAAATGAATTATATCTGATCTATAATTATCAATGTACAACATATAGAGTAAAAGACAAACAAGTAGGAGATATCTGGGAATATTGGGTGTGGGTGGTAGGTCGGTGGTACGTAGTGGTGGCGCTTGAATATTATTGTCCAACAGCGTTTTGCAGTTCCGAATAAAAATATTCACATATGAACATAGATCCTAATATGCGTCGAGAACAAAGTAGATCGACCATCAACCATCATCCATTTAGAGTGTATTTGAGCACGCATTCCTCTCTGTGCCATCAGCTTCCATGCACCACCAGGCAGTGGGAATCTTCCATGCCCATATTATTCTTTTGTCCTTTTGTACAATTGTGATCTACGTATTGCAGGCGTTGCTCCCCTGGCTCCCCTGGTGCCCCCAGATAATCAGATTATGTAATGCGGGGTAGGTATGGGGCAAGATGTTCTACTCTGTACGTCTACCAAGAACATCCACGCGACATATCTTGATATTTGCTCTTTTCAACCTTGCAATCCGCTTTGTAAAACACCGTTATGCGAGCTTATACACCCAGACCAGACTGAGGGTCTCTGGAGTAGAGCCGGCCAGTGCAAGACACCCAAGGTTTCGGGATCCGTCAAACTGAAAAAGCATAAACTCGAGACCCGTTCCCCCAAAAGCATGTCTCAGTGCCCATTTCCCATTTCAAAACATCGCAACGAGGAGAGCTCCACATTCGGGAATATAAAGACTCGAGCTGGTAGTCTGGCGGACTGTTCGATATCGGATTGTCTCCTTCCAAACGATGGTGACCATGAGAGCAGAACTCGTTTGAGAACAAATCTCCATATTTTCCCATTCCCACACAGCTTGACACTACATGCCATGACGTCTTTATTTCTGTCTAGCAACCAGCGGGTTGTCCTCATGGCCTATGGTGAACATTGGCGCGTGGTTGCAAGGTCATGCATCCAATCCTCACCAACCAGAGGGCAGAAGACCTGCGAGCTTTCAACCCCTGAAAAGTCGTCAGGTAGTACACCTTCGGAGGCCCAGCAACATTGGCTTCCGCCCAGAATGTACAGACAAGCAAGTCAACGAGCTGGAACATTAGGTAATGAGAAATGGAAGTGTAAGTGGTTGATTTCCAGCTGATCCGGTGCCAGACAATCGTAAAGTCCTTCGCTTGTGGTTGCTCATGGAGACCCGGACACAGCTACAGAGTAGAGTGACAATCAACCAGGTCATAGCTGCTGCTGTACTGGATAAGAGCTTGGTCCACATAGCACTGGACAGATTCTACGACAGAAATGTGGAATACTGCCCAATTTCGACCATTGTTGATTTGCCATGTACCACGGCGCCGGTAAAGAACCGTCCTGACAACCTGATGGTGACGATTGCGATTGTGCCAATATCAGCGTCCTCGCCCACTCACCAAGCAGCTGTTCACAAGGAATGCTACAGCACAGCACTAATCACATGGAATATAAGCAGCCGGAAGGATAATAGCGTGAGCGCTTTCTTGACCATCATTGTGACCCTGTCTTGAAGGGATATAGGAGGTTTGGTCCTGATAGGCTGATCGTGTTGGGGAATGACCAAGTCACTATATGCTCAGTGCGCGGTACGGATGCTCACGGGATGGATTGCCACCTTGTGGTTGCTGTGTTGCTTTGACAGATGTCTGGTGTTGGCAGAGTTGACTGGCCGGGGAACCCCTGTCTTTTCTTCCAGCTAATTTGGGGGAGCATTGAATTTGGATTGTGATGTTTTGACCCGGATCCAGAGTCGTCAACATACATCCAAGATCGGAAGAGGGGAGAATAGCCGTAATAGATGCCAAGTATTAAGTGTCAGAAAGCCGGCAATGCACTGTCGCCAATCTCTTACGACATCGGTTTGTTAGTCACCGACCTCCTTCTTTCGTCTTCTTGAGTCCTAGCCATATTGTGTGTAAAACCTCGTCCCTGAGTTGTCCATTATCGATGAAGCAAACACCAGTCAAAGGCACGTGATGCCATGACTGAGACGTTCGGGTTAAATCTGAACATTTTATTACAGACCGTCATCGTCATTGCCGCCCCAGCTGCCTTGGGAGTGCTGCTTGGTGTTTCCTTACCAAACGCAGGACCAAAGTCAAGATACCGATTACTACTTGTTCAACTTGACATCATTCTCCTCTCTTGTCTTTCCAACCAGCAAGACACGGACGCTTCAGGGCAACCCACAAGAGGGACCGGACGTGCCAGAAATTGAATCGCTCACCGTTCGGAGAATGGAACCATCCCGAAGAGAATTGCAAATTGACACCGACGCGAGTGAATGATAGCGTGGCCAATCAGTTGCAACATGGCGGCCAGAAACATAGATGGATATGGAAAGGAACTGGACAGCGACATATGGGACTTGTCGAACAAAGAGAATCTTGCACGGTAATCAGCTCGGTTTGAGAAGATCCAGACTGCGAGATTATAAACCTGTAAGTCCCGAGCTATTCAAGCTGCACCAAAGAAGCGCCGAAACATTCCGAGCTGGGTGAGTTTGCCGTTGAGCCAGGCATGTCGGCCATCATCACATGTGGACACCGGTGCAGAAACATGTCCACGACCAACAGGCGTCGCCGATATTGAAGCGTATGCCATGCCCGTATTGCTTCAAAGGAAAACTTGATGAAAAACTTCCATCGCGTCTGTCCGGATCAAGTAGAGAAGGAGAGCAACAACTTTTGGGCTCTTGTGAAAAGTATGACAATTTGCAGGGTACCAATTTCTCGTGAGGCAATTTCGAAGAGTGTCTGACGATTTAGCTGAGATGCTTTGGGGTTGCCGGTCAAATCTCTGAATCGATCAAGGTGTTCGGACCGCAATGAAAAGTTAGTAGGTAATTGCATCCTCTCGAACCAAAGAAGTCAGTCCATCGCTTTCAGACAGAGCCAGAGTGCTCTGCAGGGAGGGTCTCCGGTCGATGCTAGACATGGTCTCGACAAGTCATGAAAGCACAATGTTACCAATGGTGCGCAAATGTAGTTCTCATCATCTTCAAAGTGAGTCTAGCTTTTCCACTTGTCAAGCCCGTTGCACATGACTGGACAAAACTAGGTGCCCGGATCTCCTTACCAGTGTCGTCTGTTTACCGTAGCTAGCTGCCTGGACAAGAGGCCCGGGAAACAACGCCGAAGATTCGATAGATCTAATAGGACGGCGATGGCTTGGGATGGCATCGATCTGTTCTGCGGCGTAAAGTAGAGCTTGACATGTTGAGCTATACTCAGGTTCACCAGAAGCATTGGTGTGGTGGTGATACCTACTAGGTGCCTACTACAACGTAACATGTAGTAGTAATGGCACCGGTGGCAGAGCTTCAACATCGTCATCGCTGCTTGGCAGGAAATGCCCCCTCAGAGTCGAGGCTCAAGCTACGACCATTGTAGACCAACTGAATTGCAAGGATTCTGCCTGCGATTGCAATTTGATAGAATCACTTCAAATTCGTCCTCTTCAGTTGAGGGCAGTACACTCTCTTCGTTGTGTCGGCTCTTACCAAAGTTGGCCACCTGGTCTCTCGGCCCAGGAAACTCGACGCCACCGCTTGATGCTAGCCGATATCTGACAGAGTCTTTGACGCGCCTTTTCCAATCCCCTCTTGCATCCTAGTCCATACGAGGCCGATTATAGGACCGCACACAGCCGACCGGTGCCTTCGGGCATAGCACATCCATAGCTCTCTCGTGGCAAGGCCTCCGCCGAAGAGCTGGAATAACCCGCCCGCTGTGGCCTGTATGGGAGGATGGCGGACTTTTCTCTTGTCCCCGGCGGGCATGGCCACAACTACACTGGGATGCTCACGAGAAGCATCGTATTCTCCGGGGCTCTCTTTGTGTTTCTGGTTGGTACGTACATGCTGGGTCGACTTCGTGTGCATCGGCATCTGACCATGTGCCGCTAGCATCTGGATTGACAATTGCGTCCATCGTCGTCCCCGATTGGATATCATACGACGGCACCAAGGTACGCGGTCTTTGTCTTTCTGATGTGGACTGGACCGGCGACTGACCAGAACCAGAACATCCATTATACGTACGGCCTCCATCGAAAATGCTCCAATACTAATATCCTGCCTCCGACCGACTCCTACACGGGCTCCACGTCCCTGCATTGCGTTCAATTCCCCCGGTACAATGATTGTCGAGGAGAAGATAGATACTTCTGCAGCATGTGGAGGTCGGTGGGGTTCCTGATGTCCTTTGCGGTGGTGCTGGAAGGCATGACACTGGTGGCATTCGCAATCCTACTGATTGGAGGCAAGCAGAAGAGAGAACAAGGCTGGGGTGTGCTCACCATTCTGGTGGCCGTGGCGGCATTCGTGCAGGCCCTTGGAATGGCATTGATGGTAGAGGTTGCCGACTTCTTCAGTCCAGGCCATAACTCGCTGACTGTGTCGACAGGCATACTTGTACGAGAACGACGAACGGTTTTTCATCGGCTGGTATCTAGACAAGAGTTGGACCATGTGTACAGTGTCGTGGAGTCTCGAGGCCTTGTGTGCGATTGCCATCACATTAGCCGCTGTGGTGCTTCCGAGCGAAGGGGGCTATGAGTTGATTCCTGATCATGATCATGCTTAATGAGGGGCCGCCGATTCCTCTGTGGCGTAGAACGAAGAGGGCGTCATAAGATCTGCCGGGTTGTGTTGCCGGGATGCTTTGTGAGAGATTTGGAGACGAGGCGTCAAATTGTACTGTAATTGAGCGCATCTGTTTGACTTGTTTGTGCGGGCGTCCCTGCATTGAGGGACTATACACGGATTCCTGGGCGGCTTCGAGCACAGTCGACGTTACGACTTCAGGTATATGAGACAAAACCATGAGTCTGTCTGTAACTATGAGCTGAATCTACCTGATATACGTAGGTGTAGACAATTCAGGTTTCAGCGTTGATTGCAACATCATCCAGCGCCATTACTAGACGCGGAGGGACGAGGCTCGCAAGCAGAATGTAATGATAATACAGAAACCTTAGGTATAGGTCAAGACGTGAAGAATCAGACATTTTCGAGATGGTCATGTCTAAGACGGCCCTCGCCGCCACTCTTGTATATAACGACAGTAATATATCCCACACAGACAAATATTGTACAAAGCCTCACCACAAAACATGTTGACGCTGAGCCGTAATCTTTCGGTCTGGCAAATGAACCCACATGTTCTTCCCCATCCTCTTTCGAAGTGCTTTGGCTTCTTTCGCCGCAGCCTCCCGTAACCTCGTCTTCTCCTCTTTTAACACGACACTGATGCCTGTGTGAGGCGGACGTTTCTCATAGACGCGTCCTCGGGCGCGGAAATCAGGCTCCGAACCATAAGGTCCACGATTGGTCCAGGCTTCTGCCACGTAAATATCGGTTTCCTGGGGGGTGTGCCCCTTCTTGTACGTCTTCATAGGTGTTTGATGGGGTAAAGGTCTCGTCTCACTGGGATCCTCGTTGAGCTTTGCATCTGGTGGTGTTGGGACAGGTTGCAGCCCCATGCCCTTCATGACGATGGCCTCGTTGCGGGCTTGGATCAGATGCTGTCGGACTTCCTGTGCCACCTTTTTCTTGGAAAACCTCATCTGGAGAATTGCCTCGTCAATGGATTTGCCTGCAATCTGACGAGCCAGGGGTGCCAGCTTCTTCATGGACGTCTTGAAGAAATGTGACCGAAGGAGATGCTGTCTCTCCGTCCGAGCGATCTTCATTTCCTTGTTGAGCCGGCCGGCGTGCCTGATGTGTCGGATGACCATACGGCGCTGCCATCGTGCGCGGGCGCTGGGACGGGGATTGAGAACCTGTGCCATATGTGACGGATTGCGGTCGTCGAACAAGTTGGGTATGTCGTCGTGGTCGGAAGACTTGTATAGCTCACCGCCAAACGCGCTGGAAGAAGCAAGTCCTCCCCGGACGAGGTTCCGTTCCTGCTCCTTTCGTTGCTCCTCAATCTTCTGCTGCGCACGCTGGGACACGGCGGCAATTCTATCCCGTGTGGTCATATGTGTGGACGGTGGCAATCCTGCCTTCGTTCCTTGCTTGAGTTTCGTTTTCGAAGCCGCACTGGCCTTCGCGTCCAGAAGTTTGGGCGCAGGTTGGACTCCGCTAGAGTGAAAGTCTCGTTTGTGGAGGAGCCGAAGGGCGGCCATGCTGGAACATAGCTCAAGGAAAGGCGAGGGGGAGAGCGGACTTTGTCGGGCTTTGAAATTGGTCAGTTGACGGACAAAGGTCACTGGGCGGAATTTCCACTTGCCTACACAAGCTCGCCGCAGAGCAGCTTGCGGGGGGTTCATGGTATCTATGCGGGCACCTGCCTTGTCGGCAGGTCGAAGGAGACGGACCAACACAGCAGATGCGATGTCGATTTGGTGCTGGAAATGCTGCACAGAGTACGGAGTACACTGGTAAATCGCACGCCGGTTGATCTTCGACAACTTCAATGAAGTTAGAAAATTAGCGGCGAGCTCAGCTTGGCGCTCACTCGCCGCCGCTTTTACATATTTACCGCCCACCAGTACTCAATACGACTGCATCACCATCACATTATAGCTGGTGCAGCTAGAATCAACAAGATCATCATGAAGTGGAATTGCTATATGCGTAGCAGATACTTGTCGCCATTACACCGTGATGCCGACATTGCCAAAGTCCAAGCTGCCAGGAGCTGGCTTCCCACGGCCCAGCACCGCATCAAGTGGCTCCCTATAATCAACCCAGCCCAAGCCCGAACTGGCTGCTTTATACCCGTACGCCTCCAGAGCCTCAGTAGGATATTCCTTGGCGACGGAGGGATTGAAATGCAAAAAGATATTCTCTTCTGATCGAAGGTTACCCTGGACCATGAATGCCCCCAGGACCTGGGGGAAGCACTGGTGTTAGCCTACAAACTCCGGGTCTGATGGGGAGACAGAGAACCAACCTTTCGACGTTCGGCTTTGGTCACATTGGCACCGCCTCCGTGGAAGACTGCACCGTCAAAAATCAGGGCATCACCCGGTTCGAGGCAGACGGGAATGGCCTGCTCTGGCAGAGGATGGCTGTCCTCCAGGTCGGGCTTGATGGTGAATGTCAGTCTCAGTCTCAGTCCAACGACTCTCACACCACACGGCGAGGAGAGGACGTACCCATTTGTGGCTTCCTGGGATCACGACGGTGGCGCCATTCTCGGGGGTTGTCCGAGTCTGAGCCACGAGCATGTTCATCAAGGTGGGCTGTTTGGTCGGATGCTCGATGTGCTGCACGCCGTCATCTCGATGGAGTTGTTGAGCTTCTGCACCGGGACCGATGTCGAACATGGTGCTGGTGTTCCCAATGGGTTTGCACACAAACGTGCGGATCTCATCTCCATATCTTGACTTCTTGGTGATGGTGAGGCGGCGCTGGCAGATCTCCTGGTACAAGGGATTCAGGAAGATTTCTTTGGCGTAGGTTTGCGATTTGCCAAAGGCACCACAGATCCTCTTGGTGGCTTCGGGGAAGAAGTTCCCTTTCCAGACCTGATCCGGCTGTTCGTGTGGTTTGAGTTCTCGGGCCACCTGGTCCAGTATCTCCTGGCTGATCAAGTTGGTGACGACCACACCACCATCGCGGTCCAGAACCTCGAGAACCTCATCCACGGGGGTGCCGGCGGGCAGTCTTACAACGGTAGGTTGCGCCATGCTGAAGGGTCTTCGAGAATGCGACGTCGAACTGGGGGATGGGGATCGGGGGCTGTTGCCGGCAGTATTATGTACGGATAGATGTAGACGTTCCCAGGGGCCTCTCCTTCTCCGGGCGAAGCACATGCACTTGCCACTGACGGAACCCGGTAGGCCTAGGAGGCCTCGTATACGTGGTACAGCTAATTAGGATCTTGACCGTCTTATCGTGCCTTGCATTGCGCCGCGGGCGAGATAAGCTGCCGTATCCACGAACTACCAAATTGGGAAGGAATTCTTGGTCCCACTTAATTTATTCGAGGAGATAACCAAAGTCGAGGGAAGCAAAAAGGGCAACTTTGTTGCTCGGTCATACCCCAGTCTCGGGGGCCACTTGGACATTAACACCCTTGTGGTGGATTCCAAGACCGGGCGTCCATGTTATAGAAGAAGCAGAAGCACAGAAGTGAACATCGTATGGGCAATCGCCAACACGTTGGATGATACTAGCAGCCCTCGCCCTCGCCCACGGCCAAGCAGCAGCCGTAGCCTCTCCATCATGCCCTCCGCCAAAGCGCCTGCATTCACCACGCTCCCAGCCGACTCGACCGACGAGGCGATCCTCGAGGCCTTCGATCGCGATGGCGCGGTCATCATCTCCGGCCTGCTGAGCCAGGACAGCGTCCGGGCCATTCAGAAAGAACTCAAGCTCGAGTCGGATGCCGTGTCTCCGCAGGCTATCACGGCGCTGGCGTCGAAATCGCCCACGACGGTCGACCAGGTGATTCTGTCGGAACAGCTGAAACGACTGCTGTACGCCCGTATGTCCAAGACCACGCGCATCTGGCACGGCGAAGACCGATTGTCCAACACGTCGCGGCCGTGGCTGAGTGCGACGGTGGTGTTTGAAACGGCGCCCGGCGAACAGGCTCAGCCGCTGCACCGGCACGACGACATCTACTTTGTCGACCACCCCCTCGAGATCCCTGCTGAGACGTGGGCGCTGATCGCTCTGGACGACGAGGGGTCCGGCGAGGCAGGGAGCATGGTCGACGCGATTCTCGGAAGCCACCGATGGGATGAAGAATGGTGAGAGCGTGGAGGTGGGATGCACTTTGAATTCCGCCGACTAACTTCTCCTCAGGGACCCTTCCGGCCACAGCCTGGCATCCACCGTGCTGAAGCGCGGAGACTGTCTCCTGCTGCACGGCTCGACCGTCCATCGTGGCGGAGAGAACGGGTCGTCACGGGTGCGTCGCACTCTGGGCGTCTCGTGGACCCGCGGCCATATGCGACAGGAAGAAAATCAGTTCCTGAACATCACCAAGGAACAGGCCATGAGCCTAGACGAACGCACACAAAGAGCAATTGGGTACAATGTCAACCCTCCGTACGGCGGATGGTACGAGCTTCGAGACCCGATCACCTACCTCCAGGCCGAGGAGACGGTGGACAAGACCATGAGGGAGTTCCTGGGAGACGGAGAGAATCCCACGGCATCAAATTGAGTGGTCGTCAGTTGAGATTAGCATCCGCATCGGCGGTGCGTCTCCTATGATGGTATGTTATATATAGGTACATATACATATGATGAGTTTCACGCGATTATCTGGGTTGTCTGAATTAAACCCAACACCATTTCCAATCCATTTCCCTGCTCAATTCGTTCCAGTCGACAGCCATCCTCTTCTCCCATGACTCAGCGTCCCTCCGACGCGACCAGAGGAGCTTGAGGGCATTCTCGGTGTTCTGATGGAGCGGATCGCCCATGTGTTTGCTGATGCCTCGTAAGTGTTTGATGGCGCGATGGGTCAATTCGGGGTTCTTGGTCTCGTCGATCTCGATGGCGGCGATCATGGTCGGCCATAGCGCGATGCCTTCAATGTCAGACGAGGGCGCGATGGCGCCGAGGTGGTCAAACGTGCGTCGGACGTGATACTGCACTGTCTGATGGTTATATTCCAGCCGGCGGATGTTGCGGTAATAGTACACCAGCGCGGCCTGGCGGAATGCCTCGGCCAGGTGCGTCTTCTCCAGCTTCGTGTCCTTGGGCTGCCACCGGAATAACAGATCCTCCAGTTTGATGGCCTCGATCGACCAGGTGCTGTACCACTTCGAGTCCTCGTCGTGGAAGCGCGAGCCTCGCGACGGGTCCTCAGTCTCTTCGCGCGATTGCATGAGCATGACCATGCGCCCGAGCGAATACACAACGACCACGGGACAGCCGACGAGCTTCTCAAAGTGTTCGTCATCCGAAGACTCGTTGAGGCTAGACAGCTGGCCCATGGCCATCTTCTGGAGACTGTCCTGGCGCAGGCGACGATAGATGTTCCAGTATTGCTCCGAGATCAACAGGTCGAACCGCGTCGACGTGGCCGCGAAGGTCTCCACCGCCACCACACACTTGACCAGCCGGACCCAGCTGTTGGAGTCCTTGAGATCGCTTTCCAGCTTCCCTCTCAGCTGGATGAAGAGAGTGGCCCCCTTCAGCCAGTGATCCCAGCCGCTGGTACCAGAAAACAACACCTGCGGGCTCGATCAGCATAATGCAAGAACACACGGTCTCCCCCGGCACAAACCTCAAATGTCTGCATCAGCATACAAGCGGCCAGGGTGGCGTCGTCAGTCACAAAGTCGGGCTTGGTCAGTTTGCCCTGGAGCAACGTCAGGATTTTCTGTTTGTGCCACAGCGCTTTCACCGCGTCATTGTCTTCGTTTCGTCCGTACTCGCGTGAGCTGTCGGGCAGTAGCCGAGACTGTAAGGAGCGATGGTAAAACGAGAGGGCCATGATGGCGTGCATCAGAATATCCGATTCGGCGGCTGCTGGGACGATGATGCAGAGGAACGGGTTGTCCGCCGCATTCCACAGGGGCATCAGTTGCGGGACCACCTTTTCAATGTCTGGGGGAAAAGGTCAGCTACACGGGGAAGGTCAAGAAGAAGAGAGACAAATACAGTATTGCAGATTAAGCCTCCGCTCCGATCTGCGCATGCCTGACCACAGCGACGGGTAGGGGATTTCGCGCGGGATCTTGGGCAAGATGTCGGCCTGAAAGGATAGTTGGGGCGAGAGATGGTGGTGACTCTGCGACTCTGGGCTCTGAGCCAGGAACATGGCCGAGGGGAGTGCTTCGTCATGTTCACGCATCAACCCGCCGTCATCGAGATAGCCGACGTGGGAGATGCCATTGGGATGAATGCAGAACGAGTCCAGGGTAGAGGAATAGTCATCGGGATGAGGCTGGCCCGACTCATCATGACGCTCTTTGGGAGACACAAAGACAAGCGAAGCATCCCCGGCCGCGGCTGGTTGGTCTCCGCTGTTGTCTTGCAGACATTGGAACGGCGCATCAGGTTGTTCTGCACCGGCGTCTTCGTCTTCGTCTTCGTCCTTGTTAACAGCCGGCGTGGCTCGTTCATCGATCGGAGGAGGATCATGCCCATGGCTGGGTTTTTTCTGCCTCTGCTTCTGTATCTGTGTCTGTGTCTGCGTCGGCCTCACAGCTACGGGTGCAGGTTCTGTGTTGGCCGGGATACTCGAGCCTATCCTCTTCGATCTTCTGATGTCGCTCTGGAATCGGACTTTGTATCTGCGTTGTGACTTGGAGACATGGCCGGAATGTTCTGCCCCCATGTGTTAGTGTCAGCCTGGCCGGCAATCTGTCAGGAAATGTATCCGTACCGTGGTTCTTGGGAACCGTGTAATTGGACTTGGGCATTCTGCCGTTCTGCGCAATTGACGTTGCCCAATCTAACTGCATGGGGGTGGCAGTGGTAGTGCTAAGGCTTTCCTCGCTTTAGAAGGTTGTTGGAGGCCCAGGGTTAGTAGCTAGAGGCAGGAAACCGTCGCTCTCGCTCCCGCTCGTCTGTCAACTCCGGAGAGGTTCGAGGTCGCGAGCCTGGGGGGAACAAGACGGGCAGCGCAGATCTCCGGTCAAGTACCGGAGCCTTAGGGCCTTAGGGCCTTAGGCTTAGAGGCCCCTTAGCCTCCTTAGCCCCTAAGCTTGGGCTTAGGATAAGCTCCAAGGACCTAAGCCCCAGGCCTGGACCCTTAAGCTATAGGCCCAAAGAGCCCAGGAGCCCTAAGGCGATTAGTTTATCAGTATTGGTGCCATGACAAGTTTCCACTGCTCATCCATGCCCCTCCCTTCCCCACTCTTCGCCGATTCAGTTTCCTTCCTCTTCCGGCAACCGCGCCCTGTGGCCTGGTCATCGTGGGTGGCGTCGCGGAAGCCTGAGGCTCCTCAGCCTCCCCTGTATTCATTTCAACTGCCACGACTCAACGAGATAGCATTAATCATCCGCCACTCAAGATTGAAGATTCAGAAATCCATGACCCCGATTTCTCGAGGAGCAACATCACCATCGCCATCTCCATCACCATGACTGTCGAAGCCAAAGCACCGCGAAAGATTGAGCTCAAGGGCACGCCGAGAGAGGTAGGTCGTGGTCGGCGTCAACATGATCTGGAATGGAACAATCGTTAACCGAGTGAACCATCAGATCGGCTTGCAACATGGCCGCCTTTTATCTTCGGAAATCCGAAGCCAGATGGAAATCTACGGCGCCATGTTCGAACTGACTTCCAAGCTGTCGTGGCCGGCGGTGCTGGACATTGCGGCCGAGTTCGCCGCGACCATCAAACGCTTGACCCCGGACATCCTCGACGAGATGCAAGGCATCGCCGACGGGGCGCAAGTGCAGCTGTTGGACATTGTTGTCTTGAACTGTCGCAGCGAAATCGCCCTCGGCCACTTCCACGATGGCTGCACCAGTCTCGCGTGGAACGTGGGAGACGCAGCAACCAAGAAGGTGGTGCTGTCCCAGAATTGGGATTGGACGGCCCGGGTCAAGAAGAACCTGGTCATGATGTCGATCGAACAGGTCGGGAAACCCAAGATCTACATGATCACCGAGGTAAGGAAGCCAGATCTGATCGCTGACTAGCTAGTCGTCAACTCAGATTAGAGACTGACGCTCATACTGTATAGTCCGGGATCGTGGGAAAGATTGGTTTCAATTCGGCGGCGGTGGGAACGTGTCTGAATGCAATTCGTGCCCGGCCGGTCCTGAGCACCAAAGTTCCCATCCACGTTGCTCTCCGGCTCTGTCTCGAGAGTACCTCGGTCGACAGTGCCAGGAGCAAAATCCAGTCACTGGGAGGCGTCGCTTCGAGCCAACACATCCTCATCGCGGACAAAGACAAGGCGGTCGGCATGGAGTTGTCGCCTCTGGGAGACGTCTTTCTCCCGGAGCGGCAAGATCTGGTGACCCATTCGAACCATTTCATCAAGAACCGATTCGTGGACGAACCTCCCTGGCTCGCCGGATCCCCCGTCCGACTGGAACGGATCCGGCAACTCACCGCGAAATTGCAAAGCGAAGGAGTCAGTGGTGATCTGGTGGATGCATCATTGCTGAGAGAGAAGGTTTTCTCCGACACCTTCGGCGCGCCGCAGGCTATCTGCTGCCAGGAAGACCCGACGAGACCGATCCAGACGCGGAGCAGCACCTTGTTCAACATCGTCATGTCCCTGACAGAGGGTTCGCCTTCGGCAGAAGTGGTTTGGGGAAAGCCCGGTTCGGGGGAAGAGGGACCACCGTTGTCAATGCCATGGTGATTTGATTTGATTTGCTTTGCTTTTGAATGATAAATTATATTACCAAACGTGGTCATTCCCAGCCATGCTATTATTATGTCTATCCCAATAGCCTTTGCCCTTTTCCAGGCCCCGTTGATCGGGAAAGTGAACCTTTGACCTCTGTTCAGTCATGTATTGGCATGCTTGACGTAACCCATAAAGACCGGCGTCCCATCGCCGGCACATGCAGTGGTATCATTTCTATGCACTTTTGTCTTTGTTCGTCTTCGCTCCATTCAACCTATGCCGTGCCATTGGAGTCGAGGGCGGGATATTTGGCCGCCATCTCGTCCAGATAGCTTAACACAACCTTTCCCCAAACCGGTTTCCTCTTGTAAAAAGCAAACTTGTCGGGAAGTTTGTGTAAGAGCCCGCCTAGCCGAGCAGCGAAGCCAGGAGTGTCTGCAATGTCGACCAGACGATAGAGGTACCTGTCCCAGTAGTCAGCACCGGTCCGTCTCGAGCGATGACCGTACGGTACGTACGTTTTGGTGACCATGCAGATGGCCTTCGTCCGAGGCAGGCGGCGGAGCACTTGTCGTTCCACCCGGAGCTGGACTTGGTTGATGTCGATGCTCTCGTCCGCTACCACGTCTTCTTCCTCGTCGTAGAGATGGCCGCCCTCGGTCAAGAAGAGCTCTTCCTTGTCGTTGATGGCCCAATTGGCCCGCACGACCATGCTGGAAGGCCCGACATTTTGGAAGAACCTGGTGCGAGTTAGATGGTGGCAGCCCAGCCCTAATTCACGGTTCATGCATACCTGTTCATCGACTTTTGCATCCTCTCCTTGTACATAGGCACCGGCTTGTGGATTTCGGTCAAGGTCTTGTCCATCTTTTCCCGCACATGGAATCCGGCGGGGAATGCCGACAAAACCGCCTTTAGAACGTATTCCCCCGTGGGACCCTCGACCAGGATGTTCAGGTCGTCCTCGACCAGCCGCCCAGCGATGTATAACGGGTGGAATTTGATGTACGGTTTCGAGACGTCGAACGTCTCCCCCGTGACCGCGTTGTGGATCTCTTTGCCGTCGGCGGAGAGCTTGAAGATGGTGGGAAATCGCCGTGGCAGATATTCCAACAGATATTCCAGCAATTCCACGCAGCCGTCGTAGCCTCCGTCCCGACAGTCGATGGCGTCGGAGCCGACCGCCTCCAAGACTTTGGCCTTGAGCTCCATCCGCTTCTTGTAATTCCGGTCGAACACAATCCAGTCGTTAAAGGCCAACTTTTCGATCGCTGTCGAAACAACGTTAGTGACGGCAGGTTAGATTTGGAATGTCTTCGGGGGAGGGTACCCATGGTGATGGAATACACCCTATCACTGATGTAGTCCTTGTGGTACCACTCTATCGGCGGCTCGTCTTCATAGTTGAAATCCGGCTTGTAAGGCGTGACTTGCGAAAAGTCCAGCTTTGTGATCAGATCATCTTTTCTCCAGTTAACATTGTTCCCGGCGCCCAGGCAATTGGCTTGGGTTTCAAACCTTCTGGTGTGCCGTAGTAGGACCCCTTGGGCCTCGGCTTCTCGGCCACAGCCTCCTTCGACTCCGATGTGACTGTGAGACCTGCTGCCTTCTTCGAGGGTGAATTCAATCTCCGCCACGCAAGCCAGAAGAACGCCAATGTAAACAAGGCGGCTCCCAGTCTCATCTGCAGCTCGGACGTGGTTGGCATCTCCCGGACGGTGGTGGCCATGGTGGACAGATACAATTCGACAGAGCTTCGCCGTTGCTACTGTTCAATCAGGAGCTCTACCTGTTGCGACGGTTGTCGTTCTTAAATGAGGGATGTCGTCCTCGTGTCAGAGTGGAACCAATGTAAATCTTTCCTTGTCCCATGCTCCCCGTTCTTTGCATCATACTGAGCGCCTCCATAGTACAGGCTATTCAAAGTGTCCTGGATCCATTCTCGCCGTACCTGGGCCCGGGTCCAAAAGAGGCAACTTTGGGACTGAAACCAACACCACACCCAAGTAGCTGATGGAGAGAGTGTGTCCTGGAACTTGGGATCTGGTCTCGACGGCTACACGGACCTCCGCGTTATCAGGGTGGGCGTAGCCGCGTGCACAGATCATCATAATGGATGTGTAGATATGAAAAGCGGGTTTCGTCTTCCACCCTCTATCTTCTCAATTACCTTCCCAATTCGGCAGGTTTTTTCCCCTACGAGATAAAACCAAAAAGGCGATAGCAACTGACCTGACTACCACCCATAGATAATAGAAGGTATAACATCAATGTTGGGCGTCGTGTTGCACAATGCTATATCAGGCCACCGAGGACACTGGTAGTTGTCCAACATCCATCTCTATAGAAACATTCCTCGAACGAAGGGGTGGATAGCACAAACTTCGAGTCGAGAAAACCCTTTAGCAACACCTGAAAATGGCCGAGAAAACCCACGACGCCATCAAGGTGCAAGCCCCTTCTGACTCTCAAAGTGGCACGGTTCACGATATGTCGGACGATGCTCTGCAACTGGCAGCTCTTGGGCACAAAGAAGAACTCGGTATGTCAAGCTCGCCGGTCAGCATCAAGGCGGAGGACTGACCTGTTGTAGAGAGAAACTTCGGCCTGCTGGCTTTGGCCGGTCTGGGCTTTGTCTGCTCCGGAAGTTGGTCTGGTGTCGCTCAGTCGCTGGTCGCAGCTGTCTTGAGCGGGGGGCCAGCCGTGCTTGTATATGGAGCGTGAGTCAATGACCCTGGGAACGAGAAGAGCAGGCATATTCGATATGGATATTGGATGTTGGATGCTGACAGATGGTCACCCAGGATCGTTATTCCCTCCATGATCATCTTCGTTGTATTGTCTCTGGCTGAGATTGCTTCGGCCTATCCTGTACGAGCAGAGTCTTGCCGATTTCGACGATACTACCGGGATATCTAACGTTTGCTCAGACCACGGCTGGACCACTGGAGTGGACGTATCGACTGGCTCCTCGCAAGCATGCCGCCTTTCTGGTGAGTAACAAGCCATCAAACCCGACAGATTGCTGCTACTGGTTCCATCTGACACCTGGCAGAGCTGGATGTGCGGCTGGTCCAACATGTTGTCTTGGATTGTGGGAGCCGCTGCCAATGTCGCTGTCATGGCGTTCCAGGTGGTCTTCCTCGCGAACCTCTTCAATCCCAGTTACGAGTCCAAGGACTGGCATATCTGGCTTATCATGGAAGGCATCCTCATCATCAACTGTTTGATGAACGTCTTCGGCACGAGATTGCTTCCCATGATCGACGCAGCCGAATTCTGGTGGTGGGTTCAAGATGGTCTGATTTGGCCACTATATACATGTACCTAACGAGATGCCACAGGTTCCTGGGATCCTTCTTCATTGTGTCCATCACGGCAGTGGCGGCCGCGAATACTCATCAACCGGCCAAATTTGTCTTTGCAACCTTCATCAACCAAACGGGCTGGAAGAACCCCTTTGTCGTTTTCATGGATGGTGTGTTTAGCCCCCGGGAACCACGCCCTCGCCAGCTGCTGACCTGTATCTAGGATTGGTTATCACGGCAGGAGTACGTTGCACGCAGCGACCACGACCGCGACCGTGACCAAGCCCAAATGACTGACAAATTCTGTAGAACTTCGTGGCATTGGACAGCATCAGCCATCTGTCTGAGGAGATGTCGAACCCCAGCCGCACGGTGCCTCGGGCCATGCTCATGACCATCGGTATTGGAGCCTTGACTGATTTGATCGTTTGCATCTGCTTGATGTTTTCGGTCGGTGAGGACAAACAGGCCTTCTTCGACAGCGGGTAAGATGACGGCAAGACATGTATGTCGGGGATGATTCTAACAGTGATCAGGGCTCCTTACCTCACAATCATGCTTACATCTACCGGCTCCAAGGCGGCCGTGGCCTGTATCTCCACGATGCAATTGATGAACAACTTCAACAGTACCACGTCCGTCATCCAAGTCGGCAGTCGAATCATCTGGTCCTTTGCCCGAGATGGCGGCTTCATTTTCCCCAAGACATTCAGCAAAGTCAACAAAAGCCTGGCTTGCCCCGTCCCGGCAGTCATCATGGCATGGGCGATTTCGGCTCTGGTCGCCATTCTTTACCTGGCGTCCACCACAGCCTTCAACGCATTGATGTCATGCCTCGTCATCTTGGCCTACTTCGCCTATGCGGTGCCTATTATCTGCTTGCTGCTGCGTGGAAGAACCATGGACCGCGAAGGAACCTTCAAACTAGGGAAAGCTGGTTGGACCATCAATATCCTGGCCTTGTGTTTCATGTCTTTCCTCACAGTCTTCTTCTGCTTCCCGGTCTATCTCCCGGCCACCAAGGATAATATGAGTGAGTGCATCCTCTACCCCGGTCAGACTGCGTTCTCTGTGGACTGACATTTGATGATGTAGACTATGCCTGCGTGGTCACTGCCGGTCTGATGCTCATTGCTTACCTGCTATGGATCTTTGTGGGAAAGAAATCCTTCAAGGGGCCATCTCTCACTGGTATTGCTGTGGATGAGATTGCACGCGCACAGGAGAAGGATGTCTGAAATCCTTTTCGCTGAACAGAAACTCTGCCCCTGACGGAGTTTTGGAGAAGCTTTGGTAGCGAAACCACAGTTCTAATTTCGCCCTAGGCTCATCTGCAAGAACAACATGTGGCGTGGAGGCAAAGTGTTAAGAGTATCAATGCCGGGTGCATTGTTGTAGATTGAATTGAGACTGCATATAATAAGTGACACCAAGATGTCAGTGGGAGAAACGATAAGAAGAGTCAGTTGCCCCTGCTAGAATGAGTCCAGCTCTTATTCTTCAGTGGCTACTTTGGTGGCAAGACTGGAGAGCAGGTTCGTTTCGAGTCTCAGTCAAAAGTCCCTCGCTTCAGGCGCAGCCGATGATCCGTGCGGGTGGCCATGAGTGTGGTGGGCACGGCAGCAGGAAATCATGCGCAGTAGGTAGCTATCTGTGGACCGGATCAGATGCAAAGGTGCCCACCGACACGTGTATGCAGGGCCCGTAGGTGAACACCCAGTTTGCAGATGGTCCATCTAGATAAACAAAAGCACATGCAGTCACTCTTCATACAGCCTGAGGTGGTGGTATCTATGCTCAGGTCTACATAGATACCCGGGCACGTAGACTCGTCTCCTTGCCACCCAGGGGATAAATCACCCGGGAAGGCTGCCGGAGGGGCGCTGAAAGAGTAGGGTCCTCAACGAGATTGACTGCGGAGATGTAGGCCAGAAGGTCAGTGCCGATATATGCCAGATGTTGAGGTGAACGGATACAGCGAGGAGCTCAACTGTAAGATCTCTCAACCGACATCCCATAGCACTTCACGCGTTTGTCATGGGGAGGGTGTCTCGATGGTCGAGGCTGATACAACGATTGCAGTGTATGGACCAGCCCGGGGCGCTGGATGACTGTTGCCATGCGCGGGTTGTAAAAGGGCCATTGTAGAAGACATGACAATAGGAGAAGATCGTAGCGTCCCAATCTTGCAGCATGATCGAGAATGTCAAGTCACTTCTCATTTCCAACATCCATCTCAGGCGCGTCTCTTATACCGATGTTGTCCAACATCGTCATGGCAAGCCTCCGCGAGGACAAAGGCAAACAGGAATGCTGTTGAGGAATAGCTCGCGGGTTGTCGGCGGTGTCGTGTCGTGGATCCCAAAGCACCATACCATCAAACGCCAGGGTGCGTTAATAGGGCCAGACTGCGCAGTTGTCCTCCGTATATCCGTACTCCGTACCTCTGCGCACTGCTGGGGATGGCAGACGAGAAATCGAGAGTTCTGCTCCGATTGGCTGGGCTTGGGCTTGGGCTTGTGCTTGGCTTAGGAGGCTTCTTTAGGCCCTTAGGCGTGTGTAAGTGTGTGTGACGGGCTTGACCGGCCCTAAGGCGCCCTAAGGCTGCGAGGGTCTCGACTGTCTGCTGAGACAGGGATCGACCCTGCCTGCGACCCCATTATTATTCTTCCTCCAAGCCTGAGCCCTGAATTTGCAAAACAACCACCCCATCAAGCGAGCCATCATATCATCACCGTAGTGTGATTGCAGCCCGCTCACGTTTTACAAGTCATTCCACCTCCCTGTACTCCGTACGGATACTTGATATTTGCCGTCCAGACGTCCCGCTCCCTCTCGCAGCGTCGACCGCGCCGTGCCGTGATACGAAACAACCGACGCCGACTCTCTGAATTTGCTTCAGCCCAGGCTGAAGCTATTTTCTCGTCGTCGGATGAGAGCATGGCACCAAGAGTCACACACAACAAGCACACGTTTGAAGAAGTTGGAGCAGTCACATCCACCGCAGGTAGAGGTAGCTGAAAGCTGGGCTTCCCTGAAACTGGTCGCGCAGCCATGGATATCAATTCCTTGCTTTCTCCCTCAGAGGCACCACGCGCCATTTCATCCACGCCTACGCCCACGCCCACGTCGGGCTCGACAGGGTCGTCACAGTCGCCGTTCAGACACGTACAACGCACGCAATCGGGGACTGGGTCACAGCCTGTGGTAAACTCTCCTCTCTCACGCGCCATACAACCCCCGTCAAGCATTCCGGCTCATGTGAGGAGTCCGTCTCAGCCGGCTGCGCATTCATCGCCGCTGATCAGTCCTGTCCCTACTACAACCACGTCCGCACAGTTTCCACGATCTTCGTCCACTTCGAGTTTGGACGCAGCCGATGGGGCAGGAGCCCAGATTCACCCGACCTCGAAACACACCCCTCCGGTCCTTCCCACCCGCGACTCCTCCGATAGTCAAAGATCCTCCTCCATCATTTTCCCTCATGTGAGCTCTGCTGGGGTCACATCAAACCCTCGGGCATCATTCGACATCGCGATGGTCGACACTCCCAAGCAGACCCTACGGGCCGATTACACAGACACTTCGCTTTCACCAGAGGCTCAACAGAGACTGGCTACGTTGGTGGCGTACGTTCAAACGACACCTTCGTCGTACGACGCCCACACGGAGATCATAAAAACTTTACATCAAGGCCTGGTTGATCACATCTACCCTTCGACAAACCCAAACGCACGTCGAGATCCCAGGGCCTACGAACTGATTGGCGAATTGCGGCAGGCTCGTGAAAATTTGGACAAACTCTTTGCGGTGGGCGAGGAACAGTGGCTTGATTGGCTTCAAGACGAGAGTCTGCTTGCGCAGACGGCGGAGGAACGGGTGGCCGTGGTCGACAAATGCCGCCGTGCGGTCACTGAAGAGTACGGCAGCACACGCCTGTGGGTGACCTATGGTGAGTGGGTTCTGCACTGCTACCAGTGGGCGCTCGCCCCTCCCGGTGAAACAGAAGTCGAGCCTCTTGACACCGAACGCATGGTGGGCCGTGAAGTCTTCGACTGGAACCTCGTTCTGGACACTTGGACCGAAGGCATCGAACGCACGAAACATGATCTAAGCCGCAGCCATGAAGTGTGGGACAAGTATATGACCGTCCGATTTGGTGACACGGGACAGAAATTATCATCTGCGGATGCTGCTGCCGCCCTTGAGCTCTACCAGAATCGCCTCCAGGTCCCACATGCAGAGTGGCAGCAGACTTTCCAAGCTTTCTCGACCTTCGTGTCCGCCAATCTACCCGCCGATCAATATGAAAGCACGATGGCCTCGACCTTGGAAGGATCTGCCAACACGAAAAAACTGTGGGAGGACCGGGATGCGTTGGAGACTGCACTACAGCAGGCACAGAAGTCCGGAGATCAAGGCGCCGAATACCAGGCATTTTGCAAATATATCGAGTGGGAATGTGCGGAGGGGGAGAAGTCGCGCACGAGAAAGCAGAAGGGGAAACGGGGAGCGCAAACCATTCAGAACCCCCATTTCGACATGATCGAAGCCCTTTACCAACGGGCAGAGCTCCGGTTTCCTTCCGTCCTGGCGATATGGGAAGAGCACATTGACTATATGCTGGATAAGTCGAAAACAAACCTGCTGGATATCCTTGCAAGGGCGACGAAGCATTGCCCCTGGTCCGGTTCGCTCTGGAAACAGTATTTGCTGACTTCCGAGCTGGCAGAAGAGCCGTTTGACGCGACTGAGAAGATCAAACACAAAGCTACGAGTACAGGACTGCTGGATGCTGCAGGCATCGAGGAGGCTTTGACTGTCTACGATGCTTGGTGTGGATATCTCTTGCGCTGCTGTAAACACCCAGAAGCTGCTGAGGAAGACGCTGATGTGGCCGAGGTGGGCATCAGATCATCAATCGAAGCGGTCCACAGCCTAGCATCAAAACTCGGACTCGGGGCAGATTTCGATCCTTCTTTCAGGTTGCAGCGAAAGCATGTGGAATTTCTCAAGTTTCAACGACGGCTGGACAACGCACGTGCACAGTTTGACGATGCGGTGCCCGACTTTGGCAAGCACTACAAATTCTGGTTGCGTTTCTACGAGTTTGAACTCCAGAAATCTGTCGAGATGGCGTTCGTACAACACGCCGGCCCAGACAGGCTGGCTTCTCTTTCATCAGCCCCTTTCGCTGCCGCAATCTTGAAACAAGGTCTCCAACACCCCGATCTTGACTATCCTGAACCACTCATGGAGGCTCTTCTGAACCATTGTGAAGACTATGAGGATGCGGAGGAGCTGCAAAGTGCTCTTGCTATTGTGCGTAGAGTCCAAAGGAGCCTCGCGGCAAAGAGGCAGAAAGAGGCGCTTGAAGCAAAGGAAATTATTACTCTCCAGGCGCAGAAAGCAAAGGATGAACTAACTCAGCGGACACAAGAAGTTGCCAATGGCCTCCATATCGGAAAACGCAAGCGAGACGACGAGATCGAAGAGCCAGACGTCAAAAAGCGGTACAAGGCCGACGAGGTCACCGCAGAATCTGTCGAAACGCACGAGACGTCGGAAGAACAGCTGAAACGCGATCGCGAACACGCAAGCGTCCTGGTCCAGAACCTTCCCTCCAACGTACCCGAGATCAAAATCAGACAGTATTTCAGCAGTTGTGGGACTGTGAAAAGCTTGAAGCTGCTACCGGAAGAAAACAATGCTGTGGTGGAATTTGAGGATGCTGACGCTGCTACATATGCTCTGTCCAGGGATGGAAGGGACTTCGAGGGCTCCGTGATATCTGTTGTGCTGAACAGTGGCTCGACTTTATATGTCACAAACTACCCTGCTGCTGCAGACGAGACTTGGATTCGCAACTTGCTGCATCCGTTCGGCGAGGTCATCAACATCCGCTTCCCGTCACTCCAACGAAACAAGAGGCGGAGATTCTGCTATGTTGAATTCAAGGTACCCGAGGAGGCTCGGGCTGCCACGGAACTAGATGGGAAGGAGATCGATGGTTTGAGCATCGTCGTTAAAATTTCAAATCCAGCTGCCCGCCAGCCGAGGGCTGAGAAGAAGAATGATGGACGGACCGTCTTTGTCGGTCAGCTACCGTTCAAGGCCACCACTAAGGACGTTGAGAAAGTCTTCTCAGAATATGGAAAACTAGAGAACATTCGCCTTCCCCAGGATCCGAAGAGTACTTCTCGGAATCGCGGCATTGCGTTCCTGACCTTTGCTCGACAAGAGGAGGCAGAGGCTGCCTTGGCCTTGGATGGCCAAGAGTTCATGCAAAGAAAGATCACAGTGCACCTCGATTCCGATGGGAACCCTCGAACCGACAAACACGGCAAGAAGCGCTCCAAGTCGCCCTCCGCGCAACCAGATAGCCCCCAGGATTCCAGTGCCACGGCCAAACCAGAGCGTGATATTTCGTTCATCGAGGAGCGACGCCAGCGAACAGTCGCCATCTGTGATGTGCCCGACACGGTGAATGAAAGCCGAATCAAAGCTGTTGCAGAGAAGATAGGTCCTGTCCGCAAGGTGCTACTCAAGACCAATCATCAGGGTGCATTGATTGAGTTTGACACTGTTCCTGACGCCGGTCGGGGTATGATCGAACTTGATGGGTATGAGATTTCTCCGGGTCGGCATGTTCGTGTCACCACCGAAAAGGAATTGTACCAGCATAAGCCAGAGCGAAGGCAAGAGTCGTTTACAAAGCGTCCTGCTGCAAGCCAGACAAACGCCCCCTCGGCGAATGGCCCGATCAAACGCCCTCCACAGCCTGGTGTGCGAAAAGGGGGCCATCTGGGGCAGAGATCTGTGGGGTTCCGCTCGTATAGGGAGAAAGGGGCTGCCACGGATGAAAAGGAGGGCGGAGGAAACAAGTCGAACGATGATTTTCGGAACTTGGTCAACAAAGGATGATATGTGCAGCTTCAAACACGGTGCCATGAGGAAGGCGAGATTTCCGGAGGAAGTGGTTGGCGTGGGATCGCAGCCTAAGGAGGTGCCACAGAGTGCCTTGTCTCATGTACTGTATCAATAGAAAACAGCTTAACTACCTATCCTCTGCTAAAGTCAAACTTTGGGCGTGTGATCATGTGTTCAGTGTACAGCATCATTCCGGCAAACAGCCGACCCTGACTTGTCTTTAGAGTGGGATTCTATCTGTAGTCTCGATTTTCTCGGGGTAGTCTAGACCGTTCTGCCTTCGGACTTCATCCATGACCTCCATGATGACCAGAGACTCGTCCAGGCTTTCGAATCTGCCCTCCTTCCTACCTTCCACCAAGGCCAGGGCTGCCTCATCTGCCTCCCAGAACATGCCATGCCCCTCGCCCTCAGCGTTGTTGCCGCCCCCGAATCCATTGTGCCAGCCGCTGCCTGCGCCGGGTCCCGGTTGAGGCCAGCTCTTGTCTTCAGTCGTGCCGTCCTTGAGAATGAGTCTCGTGCGGGTGGGTCTGTAGATGGGTGGCCAGACTTGCAATTCACCCTCTGTGCCTTGTATGCGGACTGCAGGCCCGGCGGTCCCGGTGCCGTCGACGTTGTTTGTCGTTCGGAAACTCGTTGTCGCTATCGCATGTATGTCGCCGCCTAAGTCGGCATCACGTGGGAAGGTCAAAAGCATTGTGGTCATTTCGTCCACACCGGTCGGCAGATATTTCTTCACGCTCGAAACCACACGCGGTGCTTTACGACTGTGGGGAGGCTGCGTCGTATAGAGCGTCTGGAAGACCCATGTCAAGCTGTAGATGCCCATGTCAAGCAGAGCGCCACCAGCGAGGTCGGGGTTGATCATCCTGTGTTTCCCGTCAGGCCATTGCTTCTCGGGGTCCTGGGCCGAAGAATTGTCCGAATACACTCGGGTGACGGTTCCTAGCCTTCCAGAAGTGATGGCCTCCCGGGCATAGATTGACAAGGGAAAATATCGCGTCCAGACTGCTTCCATCAGGAAGAGATTCTTCTCGCGGGCCGTCTCGATAAGCTTCCTGGCCTGGGCTGCATTTACAGTGAATGCTTTTTCACACAGGACATTCTTCCCGGCATCGAGGCAGAGCATGACATTTTGATAATGGTGGGAATGAGGGGTAGCAACGTAGACAATGTCGACGTCCTGGTTCTTGACTAGTTCTTCGTACGAGCCGTAAGCTACCGCCGATGAAGGAGCATTGACTGATTTCAAAAATTCCTGCGCACGAGAGGTGCTCGAGGAGCTGGCAGCTGCGACAACGGTGTGCTTGATTTCGTGGACATTTCGAGTGGTTGGGTCAACCAGGAGATCTCTGGTAAAGGTTTCCGCGATCCCTCCGGTAGCTGCAAATGGTTAATGTCTGCGTGTGATTGTGCTGGGGCAAAGACAGTACCCAAAATGCCCCATCGGATGAGTTTGGGGGCCATACTGAACAGATCTGAGCACTCAATATCCAGGGCGCTGACGGGACACCAGGCTTGTGGACTGTGTGGAGGAGTAGAAGAGGTCAGGCAGAGATTGTGCGAAAATTCACCCTCCACATCCCCGCTCCTCGGGGAAAGAGATGAAAGATGCTGATGTAATCGGTGTCTGAGGCCTCACGCCTCACAGGCCTGTTTCGGCGGAATGATAGAGCGACAGCCCGAACAGTTTCTAATCGACGTGACTGCTGACTGCCTTTGTCTTTCTCAGCTGGGCAGCTAGGGATGCGGGTTGATATGACCGCCTGCAGATGCGTCCAGTATTGGGAAACTGCATTCCCCGGCATAGTAGGATTGGAAAGACCTCGCTCGGTGAGATAGCCAGGACTTGACTTTCATCCACCGTCTCAGGCGGCAATTTCAGGGTTCAAGAGCTCCAACATTCCTCTTGTCATTCCCGCCTGGTGTGCTCGGCCTACTTCCTCTTGGACCCGTTCGCGAAGACGCTGGACCTGTCGGGCCAGGCCTTCACTTTCTGCGAGGTGCTTCGAGTATAGCTCCATGATGTTCATCGAGACTTCCACGCATAACGAAACAAAATGCGAGTTTGTAATATTTCTCCAAGCCCAATTCAGAATTGGTTGAAGTTCGGCCTCGGTTCGGTCTTCGAGTGCGGCCCGTAGGGCGGATCGATATCGAAGAGTGTTGAGGAGGGTGACCACTGTCATCTTGTCCACGTGTTTGATGGCGTCGTCAAGCGCCTCACGATATCTGCCATTGTGCAACTCTTTTTCCCACCCCGCCAGCTTTTTCGGCTTGCCTCTTTCGTTGCCCTCCACGACGATGTCGGCATCTTCTCCCGCGTAATCCCGACCTCTGAGTCGATTTTCGAGCCCTCTAGGACGTTTCTTGGCCCGCTTTTTGTCATATTCTTCGATCTTTCCTGCAATAAGCGCCTCCATCTGCTTTTGCCTCTCCCGCTCTTTGACTTTTTGTTCGCCCGACAGACGTGTTTTGATGCTCAGCTGCCCAGTCGACAAGCCTACAACGACATGTTTATCTTCTCTGGTGTTTCCCGCAGCAATGACAGAGAGGGCAAGGATTGGTGCAGGATATTTGGAGCCTGCAACGACATTCCAACCGGAGGTTTCGAGGACTTTCATATGTCCATCCAGCGCGCCACTGACCACCCTTGACCCGTTCGATGCCAAACACAGTGAGGTGACCGTCTTTTGATGGTTCTTGATCATGTGTAGAGGCTTTCCGGCGACGATATCCAGAACAGCAATCTGGTTTTCGGCAGAAGCGAGGATGGCCGTTCCGGATGGCATACACAGAACGTCTTCGACAGATGCAATGTGTTTAAACGTCATGACCGCCCCTGTGGGAGTGCGTGGATCCCATAGTCGGACAGTCTGGTCATAACTGCCTGAGACCAGTAGATTACTCGATTGACCGGGAATAAAAGCGCCTGTGCGGACGTAGTCATGATGGCCCCGGAATGTCTCGATACTGGTTTCACTTGGTAAATCCCAAAGTCTGACGGTTCTGTCGTCTCCGCAGCTTAGGAGAGCCGTACTCTCCTTTGGACTCCATTTCACGCACCGCACTGCCTGCTTCTGCTCCTTCCAGGTTTTCAGAATTGCCCTCGAGCTCACATCGAACACTTGGATGGCGCCACTCTCGTCTCCAGCTGCGAGGACTCGTCCATCGTATCGCGCTTCAGCGCCGTATGCAGTGTCGTCGAACCGAGTGATGGTTTTTTGGAGTTTTCGCGTCTTGACTGAGTAAAGCTGCACACGAGTGCCAGTGGTGACGACAAAAAAGTCTGGGGAATGTGAGGCCGGCGACGTCGGTTGTGGGTAAGAGATGTGAGTTATAGCATTGTTCGTTGGGGAGGGAATGTTCAGCGGCGACTTAAAAGACCTCCAATACGTCTGCTCTGGAGTTAAAGAGGAGGGCCGAGCAGGCAGCTTGGTCTGGGGGATGGGCAGAACTTCAGCAGCCATTGTGAGGACCTGGCTACTTCAAATTGTCAGAGAACTGCTCTATGGGGGGAAGGCATTAATGGGGGGGAAGGCATTAATGTTGTGAGGCGGATGAGTTGAAGGTTCAAAGGCGCAGTTAATTTTTCTTGAAATCTTATCTTATCAGCTGAGGGTGGATCAGCGCGCAACGGATCGAGGATCGCGTCGTGCTGGAACACCAACACCAATCAACCTCAACACTATTCTGTAAAGGACTCTTCTGCAGTGATCAGGAAATCAGAGCATATCTGCCACTGGAGCCAATTGCCCAAACGCACGGGAGTCTAAACCCCTTTGTCAACTCCATGTTCACCAAGATTGCGACTGAGGAACCTTCCTGTCTAGGCCAGCTTCCTTGGACAAACTGCGGTAAGCGACAGAGACATTGAGGACAGTGTCGACTATACCGACGTGGACAAACAATTCTGGTAGGAGACTACCCAGCAATGGATTCCAAGAGAGTCGTTGGCAGAGATTGTGGTACCTATCTTTGGATTAGCCGCGGTGTTGAATATCACACGACGTTTGTTCAGAAATACTACTCTGTGGCTTCCATCCTTATGCCACAACGCAGTTTAGCTCTCGGATTATCTGATACTTGTGAGATGTGAGCCTATACACAGCAGAGACGGCGGCGGAACATTGTGCTAGTGTTGTCGAACCTTGCGAGTATGATACTTTGTCGCAGTGTGAACCATTGAATTGACAGTACAGTACAATATAAAACAAACGGAAGCGGTGGTCTCGCTCTCACAAAGCAAATGCACATACACAGAAGTGAAAGTGACCGGCTGGTGACTGTGGCGAGCACACAATCTGTTCTGTGAAAAGGCTATGGCTTCCCCTCCTGTCTTTAGAGCGTTATAAATGCACAGTAGCCCATCAGTGTCTTTCCAACACTGTAAGTAATCGGAGAGAACCCAGAGTGTGCTTCGCTTGCCTACAGATCCCTTCAAAGACGAACAGGGCTACAAGATCAAAATGCAAGTGTCCTCGCGGCTTCTCAGGCAAGTTCCTTCCTCGAATCTCATCATATCCTGCCTGCGCCTGCACCTGCCCTCCCTCCTAGGCTGCGCTGTACTCTCGTCTCTTCTCTCTTCTCTCTCTTCCCTCCTCCAGTTCTTCTCTTTTCTCTCATCTCTTCTTCACAACACCATCCCCACCACGGCGATCCAGACTCTAACAGTTTCATTCTTTTTCAGAAGTCTCCTGCTGTTGCATCTTCTTCTTCTCACGGTCACCATGGCTCTCTCCAATATCACTCGTGTCAGCGTCCGCCGTAATGCCAACTACAAGGCCGACGGCACCAAATCACTTGTCTACTTGTTCCACAAGTATGGCATCGGTCCCACCAAGCCTGGTCGATTCCACCGCAACCAAAACCACGTCTTGATGAAACGGCAGAATGATGGTTCTGCTGCACAAGTGTACGTCTACCTTCTCCTTCATAGTCGTGTGTTGACTGACCGATATAGTACCGCTGATGATCAGCAAAACGATGCTTTCTACACCTGTCCTGTTCAGATCGGCAATCCAGCCCAGACACTGGACTTGGTATGTGAAAGGGACCAAGTTAGATAAAGCACGCTGACAAGCGATACAGGACTTCGATTCAGGTTCTGCCGACTTTTGGGTATGTCAATGTCAGCCTCCGTTGGCTGAATGCAGCTTGCTTACTTTCCAAAGGTCTGGTCAACTCTCCTCCCATCCCGTACAGTTGATGCTGCGGTGGCCGCTGGAGCTGCCATCTTTGACCCCGACAAATCGTCCACCTTCCAGACATTGCCTGGGAGCACCTGGCAAATTCGCTACGGAGACAATTCCGGGGCCTCAGGAACAGTGGGAACTGACAATGTCAAGATTGGAAACATCGTGGTAGAAGGTCAGGCCATTGAATTGGCCAGCAGAATTTCAAGTCAGCTCCTGGAACAAACTGCTTCCCGCGGCCTCCTTGGACTTGCTTTTGGCAGCATCAACACCGTTCGACCGAAGCCGGTGCGCACGCCTCTCGAAAACATGATCGCCCAGCAAGATATTGCCACCAGCGAGCAGCTATTCACTTGCTATTTGGGATCCTACCAGGACGCAAACGACCCCGACCAGGGCAAATCATTCTTTACCTTTGGTGGCATAGACGAGGATGCAGTCAAGTTGTCCGGCCAGCAGATTTCGTACACCCCAATTGACAACAGCGATGGGTTCTGGAAATTCAGCTCTCCATCTGTGGTGATCAACGGCCAAACCTTCAATTTGCCCAACAACCAAGCTATTGCGGACACTGGCACCACTCTTATGCTCGTCCCTGACTCAGTGGTCGACCAAATCTACGCCACCATTCCCGGGGCTGAATACAGCGAAGATGCGATGGGCTGGGTCTACCCTGTTGACACGCCTCCCGAGAACTTGCCCACTGTCTCGTTTGCTGTCGGCAACAAGCAGATTGTGATCGAAAAGGAGCATCTCAATTTTGGAAAATACAACAACACCATGGTCTTCGGAGGAATCCAATCACAAGGTAACCTAGGCTTCAACATCTTCGGCGACGTCTTTCTTCAGTGCGTCTATGCTGTAAGTTTCTCTCTCTTGACAATATTGGTGAGTGATTGACAATTGCCAGATATTTGACGCCGGCAACTCGCAATTTGGTGTCGTCCAGCGTGCCGACCCTACTCCTGATGGCCTCCAAGCATGAAAATCTCAATTGGAGGTGAGACAGAATTGAGGAAGTTAAGGCTCTCCGTTTATGCGAGAGCGTGCGAGTATTGAAACTGAAGAACTCCCTGGGCCCCTCAAGAAACCAGTCGAAATATACCTAAGGATCGGGCTGCCCACCCATGGCAAACATTGCTCACCTAACACAGAATGGTTGCGGAAGGCTTCATGGTGATTGCCCTTGTGAAGTATTTCAGCCAGCAGTATTGATATCCCCAGCAGACTTTTGCCATGGGCGATTCCTTGCAACACAATAGCTAGCATTAGTGAGAACCTCATAGATTACCTGCTAGTATTCCCATTTCTACTTCCGTGTTTCAATTTGTAAAGCCTCTGTTGCTACTTGCGGCAGGAGACAGAGAAAGATGGCCCTACCCCTTCCAGCCATGTGCGCAGACATGAGTTGACAATCTTCTGTATTACTAGTAAACGGACTATTCTTTACAACATAGCCTACTTCCGCACCTGTTCATCGACAACGATCCGGGCCCGGCCATACACTCCGCACCTGTTTATCGACAAAGATCCGGACTGGGTCATACCCTCCAACTCCTGTTCATCGAGGCGATCCGGGCCCGGCCATACACAATGAGGAGATCTGCACTGTCGTTGGGTCAGACCCTGCTCCTCCTTTGTCTATGCTCGTTTCTAGTAATAGAACGGCTCTTTCACGATTCCCTCCTCACAACCCCATTCAACGGCCTGGGCACAGTGGTGAATGAGACAGACATTCCAAACATTTTAGGTTTCGTCTCCAAAGATACGAAGATCTCCTCTAACATGAAGACGCTGGCTACAGTTGAACCTACAAAGCAACGAACTGCGCTATCGACATCCAAGTTTCAGTGGACACAAGAGATTGGAGTGTTTCAGTCCAATCCAACACCCTCCCCCACCACGGCGATACAGGTCACCTCCACGATTGCAGCGGTTGACTGCGCCGACAAGCCGGACAGACCAGATATGAACGAGAAGACAAGAAAATATCTTCGGGCGATCATGAACTCCAGTGTGGAAACAGATCTGTCGCAGTTGAACTGCGGTTCCTTGCAAAGACAGCGATATTCCAGTCTTCACTACCTTCCGACATCCACACAGAAGCCTCGGTACTTCTTTGCGTTGGACCTGTTTCAATCAGCTCATCTCATAACACAGCTTCTTGGGTCAATCGTCGAGGTCATACGATTTTTGGGCCCCGACCTTTGTGTTCTTTCGGTGGTTGAAGGGAGATCCACGGACGGAACATTCGAGGTGCTGAAAGGCTTGAGTCATGAGATGGAAAGTATTGGTGTCAGGTATCACTTGTCTTGCAACGAGTTGGATCCGATGGGAGAAGGCATGGATCGCATCTTGACGCTGGCACAGCTCCGCAACCAAGCACTTTGGCCTTTGACGAGACATGCGGAGCGATATGACCCTTCTACAACAGTCATTTTCTTGAATGACATTGCTCCATGTGCGGAAGATATCTTGGAGCTGATTCACCAACGGGTAGTGCTCAAGGCAGACATGACGTGTGCGATGGACTGGATCCATGATGGTGAGACATTCTACGACGTCTGGATCGGAAGGCAGTTGAATGGGGATTCGTTCTTCGAGGTTCCCCAGAGCGTCTCCTGGGAGTTCTCTCACAACCTGTTCTGGAACCACGAAGAGAGTAAGTCAAGATATTCTGCCGGAAACCCAGTACAGGTGTTCTCGTGTTGGAACGGGGCAGTTGCAATCACTGCGAGCCCTTTTCTCGAAGGCCAGGTAGAGTTTAGGTCACACCACGAAGGCGAGTGTCATCTTGGGGAGCCAGTTCACTTGGCAAAAGATCTGTGGAAAATCGGCCATGGCAAAATCGCAGTCCTTCCGAACGTCAATATTGGATACAGCATTGACTTTTCGGCCAAAGCTAAAGAAAAACATGGCACAGTATCAGCGTGGGCCGAAAAGGGGTTCGACGCAGCGAACAGCATAGTATGGCAAGAACAGCCTCCTGGCCAAATCAAGTGCATGGTGTCTTGGGAACATCCTTCGTGGGAGCCATGGGATCTGAGCTTGTGAATAAGAGAGGTCTTGAGAAGGCGGCGACGCAATGGCTGGAGAGGGGGGAAATCGAATCGCAAGCTGATAGCATCACTGGGATTATCGACTGATCAACGATATTGTCCTATGTGGAGTTATTGTGCTGAGGGCGATAGTGGACGATATGCAGGCGTAGCAGATCATGAGCAGACAGCAAAGTTGCAGTCCAGAAAGGAGAATCAACGATTTCTACAGAGTAGAGTATGTCCCGAGGCATAGCGTGCACGTGATGGGTGTTTTTTCGCACGCTATGATATACGTGAAAAAAGGTCCAAAAAGTCCACTTCGAACCCAAGACTTGTCACCATCCCTCAATATCACTGCCATGTAACAATTAAGTACCAACCAAAAAGGCAAAAAGAAAAGATGCCGCAATGGCAACTTATAGGATGTCCAAAGATTGAGAAATGGAGTTTTCTGGGAGTAGCCACGGCCATCTCTGGTAAAAGGCAAGAAATGGATTCTGCAATAGCTCTACCCACTCCAACTTGAATTTTCGCCATATTGAAGTTATATATGCGAATTTAATTTTCGGTGTACTCACGTGACGTCGGACGTCGGACGTCGGACCTCGCCTCTAAAAACAGCGGCAGCCAGCGCCAAATTGGCCGGGAAATTTCCCCGCAGTTGAACTTGATCTGTTCCGCTGTAGTGCCGGAGTTGCGCTGCGCCAGGATACATACTCTTTACATTCCTCTGCACGGCCAGACCGAGGACAGACGCTTTGAAGCACATGAGCAAAAATGGCAGCCTGTATCTTCTGCAAGATTGTGAAAGGTGAAGACTCCACACCGTCTCTGACTCGCGTTGCGTTGTCGGAATGCGCATCCAGATCCGCATCTGCATCTGCATCTGCATCTCACACACGTTCTGTCCTGACACGATTGGCGACTGCATGTAGGAGAGATTCCGTCCTTCAAACTATTCGAGTCCGACAAGGTCCTGGCGTTCCTCGACATCCAGCCCTTGAGCAAAGGCCATGCTGTAAGTGGTCTCTCAATCTCAAGATCCCATGCCACCCTCCCCGACAGGCTCCATTTCCATTCCCATTCCCATTTCCATTTTTCCGGCCCGTCGGATGCGATACGATACCATACCACGATGCGATGCGATGCAATACGATGCGATATGATCTATTCCATTGTCTTCTAACGTCGTTGTGTCGCAGCTCGTGATTCCAAAACAGCACGGTGAGAAGCTGGTCGACATCGGCGACGACGCCTTGGCCGAGATCCTGCCCGTGGTCAAGAAACTCGCCGCCGCCAGCGGGGCCGAGAACTACAACGTGCTGCAGAACAACGGGCGCCTCGCCCACCAAGAGGTCGGACACGTGCATTTCCACATGATCCCCAAGCCGAACGCGACTGAGGGCCTGGGAATCGGCTGGCCTATGGGCCCGACCGACATGGAGGCTCTGAAAAAGCTGCATGCTGAGCTGAAGGCGAAGATGTAGGGACCATACCAGACCACACCATACCACACGACACTGCACCGCAACACACCACATGGTTCAGGCTGGATAGGTATCTATCTACCTAGTAGCTCTCCCCCGCGAGGGGCGGTACAGTACACACACCGCATGGTATGGCGTGCATGTCAAGAGAAAAGAATAGAAGCTGCAAAATCATACCTAAGTAAATACAAGATACAATACATGCACCATACATACTCCATACGTATTCAGCCGTGCTACGCAAAAGCTACCTTACGTTGCAATCTTCAGAGACAGAGAAGCCCACGGGCACCTTACGAATGAGCCACGGCCGCCAATCTAGGTTCGGCAATGCAAGAAGCATACAGTACATATTCTCGTGGTGAAAGACATTCACATACACGTTGACCTCGCGCACCGTCACAAGGGCTCCGACGGGTCTCAACGGTGATATCTCATTGAAGCCCAGGAACAAGGAACAAGGTGTCATCAGGATCATGCCATGTCCCAGTATGCAGAACGAATGATTTGCCAAGTTCAGAAACAAGCTATTTGACCTTCGAAGGTGGAAAATGCATTCGTTAGACCATGCATGTCGGCCTAGACTAACATGTCCTCTTTCAACAATGCTTTTCCCCATCATGCACATCATCCGCAACCACCGACAGTTCCTCACCTGTGTCGACTTGTCGCCCAATTCAATCCACATCGTCTGCACTAGGCTCGTCGGCGGGTACATTGGAGGATGGCGCAAGACTGGCATTTTCTCCCTTCCCGGGCGGAGGAGGGTAAAAGTTGACCTTCCCGTCTGCTGAAATCATTGAGGTCCGATCGTAGTACGTTCTGGCTCGAATGTGTTTATCCAGCTTCCAATAGTTGTCGTAAAGTTTACGTGCAATCGTGTCTCTTTCTTCTTTAATCTGGTCGGCTTCCGGGCCGGACCCTTTAGCGATCCACTGAAATGTCTTCTTCTGATACTCGCGAACCTCGATATTCCTTTCTGTCTCGAGTGCGCTTCGCGCTGCTTCGTCTTTGATCGGGTCATTCTCGCCCGGGATCGGTTCGACAAAATGGTATTCCCAATCCTCGTCGCCGTCCAGTTCCTTGATGATGTGTGATCGGTCGATAAACTTCTCCAGGTCCTCCACATTGGACGTAAAATGGACCTTTCCAGCAACCACGGGATCGAGCCAGCCGCGAATGATCTTCCAGATTCCTTGGAAGATCCACGGCGCCTTGTGAACGAGGACGGTTCCGAGTGACTCGGGATAGTTGGCCTCGAATACCTTGATCATGAACTTGACCGGGGTGTAATCCATATTGGCCATGCTGAAATTGGTCATGTCGAATATAATACACTGAGCCACATATTAGCCGGGGATCTGCTGCGATGATGAGCTGACACTCACAGCTGTCTCAACGGGGGGTCTCAAAGTCAATCTCGCCGTTTCTATCACATAAACCGTATACCTTTCTAGACTTCGTTCGCTCTGTTCTCCCCCTTTATGTAACCTTACTCGAACGTTGCAGAGCGGCCGCCCTTCTCTGTCGGTCCCGTGCAGAAAGCTCTTCCCTAACCGTAGCTGGGTAAGGAAGTCTTCGCCCTCTTTCCTAACCGCGGGGTCGTTGGATTTGCTGTCCTCCACCGCCCCTCCTTCTCCCCGATAGACAATATCGTCGTCGACGTGTTGCTCGTGACTTCGCCATCTCATCGTGGAGATCAACATGACCAACGCCTTGTCAACATCCCACTTTCGCGCGCGCAGAAACCGTAACAGCAAGCTGTCGGGATGATCTGCCTTGACCATGCTCCAAAAGGTTGCGCCCAGAGACTCCGGGCTATGGGTTTCGAGGATCTGCTGGAAGTCCTTCACTTGACCATATTTGTCGTCGCCATCGGCAAGTTGGCTAGGATCTTTGGTTGGCGTCGCAGTGCCGCTACTGGACTCCTTGTTTTCGTGTCGTTTGAACAGTCCCAGTCGCCTCTTGCTCTTCTTCTTGTCTTTAGCATTCACCTCGGAAACCGACTGCGCATCTTCGGTTTGCGGTGTATCTGCCCCGCTCCCCTCATAGGGGTCTTTCACGCCAAACACATTTAAGGTGGCTACCCAGAACTCGCGGAGTTTGGCTTCTTGCTCAGACGTCAGATTGCCATGATGGCCGGGAGGAATGGGCATGTCGGTGTAAAAGGGGTCGCGCAAATGGTCCGGAGGTTGGGCGAGGGTGCGATGGCCAAGGATGGCAGCGTCGGTCTGCTCGTGCGCCGCTGGAGATCGATCGCGTGAGAGATATTCAAGAAGTAACACGCCGGAACAGGCAGCTGCAAATAACCAGATATACGACGACGATGACGCTTCGAGGGACCGCACGCTCGACGGGGGGTCGCGTCGAGTATTCCCCGACCTCGGAAATTGTAGCTGTGACGACGACGAAATGGGACGAAGCTGCGACGAGGGTAGAGGTCTGGCGAAAGAGGCGCGATGTGGCCCTCGACGTGTTGCAGAAGGGAAGACCGATCGGCTAAGGAGACGTGGACAAGTGCAGCGTCGCATGTAGAGGCTGTGCAGAGGGATTTCCTGTTATTAGTCGTCCGTTTGATGATGAAGCATTGATTTAGTGGGAGGGTATGGGAAGCCTTGGTGGAGCCGAAAGAGCTGTGGATTAGATCAGCTACACATCAGGGACTGGTCATAGGATATGCACGGAGAGTCTCTTTGCCGGGCTCGAGGTTGCATCTTCAAGGCAGCCTGCATTATTGTCACATCCATGCTTCTATCCGTACTCTCTGTAGGGAGACAGGCTGTGTCATAGCATCTGGCATCCGGCAGTCTTCTCCATCGCAAAATAAACAGGCTTGTCTGGCAGGGGAAATATCCCACCACCACGGGTGCATTATTGGCCGCTTGAGCCTGTCTGACCTGCCAATCATTCAGTCAGACACATCCACCCCAGATCTCCTCCTTCGCCTACGCCTACGCCTGCGCCTGCGCCTGCGCCCTCCGACCAACACCATTTCACCAAGTGGCCTGGAGACTCGACCCCAGGGTGTAGCCCCGAGAAACTCCGTTGCTCGGACACACCAACACGACTCTGGAGAAGTCCTAGCAGCAAACAATGTTGATTCGTCGAGGGCCACTGTAGTGCTCGACGCCAATGTCCAGCGTCGGTATGACAATACTGGCCTCACAAGCATGTTTTATCCGGGCGATCCCTACCTGCGATGCGAGAATTAACTGTCTATGGCCGTCAATGTCGACACTATGCGAGAGGGATGCAAACGCGAGGCTGTGACCAAAGGGGCATGATTGCGGTGCATTGCCTGCCGATATGGCCTGAGCCGTGTTGACATCCATCAACAAAGACGATAGTATTCTGATTGAGACCGCGATTTTGACCCGCGAAGCCACCCTGTAGGCTTCCTCTCATACCCATTGCAAGTTCAGGGGGTATCACGACATAGAAACCCTTTGCCACGACATGTATACAAAAGTGTCACAGATGATGCGGGCGACAAAACACCTTCCCAATGATCCAATTCGTCCCTCAAAATGCATCGCGTTATTCATAACAATGCTCGGCAGTTGCAAACCTCACACACCACGGAACTAGATCGAGTCAGTATTACAGGAAGCAGGCAGCTCGGTTCACCGTTGAACTTACCAGTCTCACAATCAAGAACCAACATGCGCCCGTAAATCTGAACAGAGACAACCCGGCTACCGACCATAGAATAACAGCCAGGTAGATGGTCGAGTTCTGCTGTTCAGTGTCGTGGACATTGATCCTATCAAATCCTGCAATGTTCAAAACCGCGGCAGCCAAGATGAAGTTGGTGATCATCCATGCCGTGACAACGTTGCTTCGGAAAGACTTGTAGTAGTCCTCCTGTTTGTCGGCGGGATTGGGTGCTTTGACTTCCTTGACGGGTTTGGTGGCAAATTTCTTCAACTCCGTGTCGTATTGTGCATTCAAATCACCATCATCCTGGGGAATCAACACGTCCACCATTCCACCAGGCTTGACATTCGCACTGGGAAGCTTTTCGGCCTTATCATCTCCTTTGGTTCCCCAGGTGATGTCATGCGTGTTGCAGAAGGCGTAGATGTTCAGCACGTTGATGTACGTTGGGGTGAGGACGATATATTGGAGGAAGCAGGTGAACATGTGCCACGGGTCGAAGAACAAAAAGCTTGCCACGAACCAGAGAACATATGTGCTTGCAAGAGACACAATGAGGCCGAAGAAGGTACTGTTGTTAAAAATGGTTGAGAAACTAAAGTCCTTTTCATTGACCTCGGTCTCGATCGACTTCACGGTCAAGAAAATGGAAGCAAAGGTCAGCCACACCATGAGCACCGACCAGAAAATCACCATCATCATGTACGACTTGGGATTGCCTTGCGGTCGGTTGCCCATGGACAAAATAAAGCAGTAAAGAAGGGTTCCCAGATAGACGAATTCAAAGACGACTCCCAAAACCGTGCCTACCGTTCCGAGTGTTTCCTTTGTGCCCAGCGAGGCAGTCAAGAGTCGGAACACCAGGAAAAAGTTGCCGATTGCGAACCAAGCGAAAAGCATGTTGATCGTCTGGTAGATGAATTCGACGAGGAACATCAACTTGCGAATGACACTATGGTCACTGCGCCCGAGCTGGTAGACATGTGCAATAGCATATATCGCCGCGAAGAATGAGCCGTTGAGCCAGCGTCGTCTTTGGAGCACAAACTCCGGGATTCGATCAGGGACGTCCGTCTCACCGGTGGCTGATTTCACGTACTGCAAAATCCATCGGCAATTGCGTTTGCTCACGAGCTCGAAACAGAGAATCCGATCTTCGGCGAGATACATATTGGCAGTGAACACGCCGGCATCAGCATGCATCGTTTCGCCTTTGAAGTACTTCTCCAGCGGACCCTCACCGTTCTTGTCGTTCTGCAAGGCCACGTAACGATATGCAGAAAATGCACCAGGCAGCACCGAAATGAATCCGAATGCCGACTCGAGTGGTTTGTCCAAGATATTTGACATCTTGTACTCAAAATTCTGCGTGGCGACGAGAGGGTTGTAGAGCTTCTTGCCACGATCCAGCATGACCTTGATCTCTCCACAAGCTCCGCCGCACATGGGCTCTAGGTCAAACGCCTTCCAAAGTTGATAGATGGAGTCCTTTCCAGGCTTGGTACCCGCATCGATCAGCACGCAGATATTAGGATCTAACACCCGGCCGAATGCTTGAAAGAACCAACGATGCGAGTTGATTTTTTTCTGATTCTTCTCTTTCAAGCAGAAGAGTAGTTGGACGGGCGTGGCGGATCTGGGTTTCAGAGAAACCTGTGTGCCCTTGAGTTCCAGACCGACTTGAGTTGTGTATTCGTAGATGTGAGCGGTCACATCTTTGCCGTTGACTTGTTGTTTCGCAATGCCATCCTGATAGACCCCGAGACCGGCCAGGACCGCCCTGGTCCTTGGGTTGATTTTAGCACGTCCGTCGCTGACGATGCAGACGACTATTTTTTTCCAAGCCTCTTTTCCCCATGTTTTGCTGGAGCCACGATTACACATAAATTCAATGTTCTTGAAAACACCGATCATCGTGCGGGCAAACAGAAACTCGTCTTCGTTGTACATGGTGACGACAATGAACAGCTCGGTCTGCCTAGGCTTCGCAAACAGCCTCTGCCGCAGTGTAAATCTTTCATTATAAAAGTCTGAGGGATCACAAGTTGCGGCCGAATATCTCATATGCGTGAATTCGTCTCTCTCCGGAGGTTTGGCGTGTGGAACACTGGCCAGGAGTTTGGGAGGTACAGGGCAGTCGAGCACTAGATTGCCGTTGAACAACTGCACCTCCTTCACAGTTTTCCATCTCCTGATCGGCGCCGGAGACGGTGTAGGGTGGACCTCGTCAGGGTAGTCGTCGTATCCCATTCCCGGTTGCGTTTGCGGATCAGGACCATAAGCCGAGTCCGGCTGTAGGATTGGCACATTGTCACTTTCGGGTCGGTAGGCTTCTTCGTTGCTGGGGTATGGATCCAAGGCGTAGTCGCCTTGAGGATGTGGAGAGTATGATTGCGTGTAGTAGGCGTCGTGATGGTCCTCTGGGGAAACAATGTAGTCGTTTCTGCCATATCCCATGTCTCCTGCCGCGGGGTGTGGCTGTTCATACTGCTGGTTATACCCTTGTGCACTGTGCACATTTTCTACCGAGTATGTAGGTTGCATTGCCAGGCGGTCATCAGAAGCCGTAGGCATTTGTAGGTGGAGCGGGTGTCGCGCGTAGGCTTCGTCGGGATGAGTATAAGGTTGTAGCGGTCGACCTGGCGAGGGCGATCTGGAATCGTACTGAGGTTGGGCACTGGGAGAATAGAGCCCGTCCCGTTGAGGACTGCCTGCGTAGAATGGTCAGTATGCGACCCGAATACATACTGAACGACTGGAGGCGGAATTTACCCAAACGATTGTAGGCCATGGTGGGCCAGACGGAGGGGTGACTGGGAGTGGTCGCCAGGAATGGTCTGTGTTTGAGGCTTTGGAATGCAGAAGCAAAGAGTGTATGAGATGAGGGAATCCTGGCGTCGAGGTAGTAGGTCTCGATGTCGAAGGGCCGCGCAATGAACGAATTGTGGGACAGCAAACAGGGTTTGTGTGAGGGTGAGAAACGTGGAGTAAATTGTTTACTCGTTGCCGAGTCGGGCGACAGCGCAGCAGTATGATATGGGGTCAGGTCAATCCTGATAAACAGCGCCGGCACTGGACGACGACTTTCAAAGCGACGGGAGGTGCAAAGAGGCGGGAGTCCCAAGTCAATAGTAATGTCGTGGTCCTCCAAGAAGCGAACGGAGGGAATCAAAGCCCCTTTGTGACGGCGTGGCCAAGTGACAGTCTGAGGTTCAGCTTAGTAGTAGGCGGGCAGCGCATCTTTTAGTGCGTGTCCACCACTCAGGGCGCCCGCGAGGCCCCTGGAGGCTAGGAGGCTGCCAGGTGCATCGCCGCAGTAACAGACTGCGCTGCTGCAAGGCATCAGGAACCCTGCATCTTTCCATTTGCTAAATAGCCTATTTCTATTTCCGTCTGTTACAGTATGCGGTCTCTATGATGATTTGCATCTGTATACTCCGTAACCCGTACTCTGTAACTACTATACAGTCGTTCTTGACGAGGCCAATGCTATGTGCCGTTTGGCGTTGTGCTCAATTTCTTCTAGCGTAGTAGCGTCTGATACCATCTCAACCCATCTTGCTAATGAACGCAATTCCGAAATCTGCTGTGGCGGTGCATAGAGTGTTTCATCTCTTCTGGTAGGTGGCGGTAGGTGCCTGGGCTGGGTTCCACCAAGTTGGCGCCTTATCCTTATCGACATCTTTTTGTGCAGTTCACCTCCACACCCGATCTTTCTACTGACAGAGTAGATCTGAGTCTTCAGTGTAAGTCCACTCGTTAAGGCCTGGCGCAATTCTCCCAATCGCTCGCAGATGATCCAACGGTCGTGGCTCCCCGTCCTGTTTGTCATCTGTCCTGAGTAGACGTCAGCAACGAGGCGGACTACGCAAGCTGTTCCCGAGCTGCGCCACACCCCCCGCAGCCATGGCCGATTCATCGGACAAGGTCTCTGTCCTTTTTGTGTGCCTGGGTAATATCTGTATGTAAGTTCTGTCAAGTGCGACACGCGCCTTCCAGCTGATCATGTCCAGGCCGCTCTACGATGGCAGAGGGTGTTTTTCGGTCGCTCGCAAAAGCCCATCCTCATATCGGTGAAATCGACTCTGCCGGCACTGGCGCCTACCACACCCTCGATCCCCCAGACTCTCGGACAATGGCGACCCTCCGCAAGCATGGCATTACAGATTATGAACATAGCGCGCGGCAGGTTGACACCCAAGACTTCCATTCTTTCGATTACATTCTTGCCATGGATACATACAACCTGAGAGACCTGCAACGGCTACGACGCCGAGTAGAAAGCAAAGGACAAACCCCCAGGGCGAAGGTGATGCTCTTTGGTGAATTCGGTGGAAAGGAGAAGGCCGAGGAGGTCGTCGATCCATACTATGGTGCCGACAATGGATTTGAGGCTGTCTACCAGCAGGTTAGTAGGTTCTCGAAGAATTTACTTGATCATATCGTTGCACAAAGATCGTGATGACCACCCGTCCCTTGGAGATGGCCCTCCATGGTATCATTATTGTGCATAGCGAGGCGTTAGATTAAATAGAGAGGATGTCGGGTCTGCTTTCAGGAGCACGTTACGGAAGGCACCCTCAGAACGGGCCGAAGTCGGGAGTTGCGAAGAATAGTGGCAATCTGAGGTTCAAAACATTTCCTAAACCCCAACGCCAGATAGAACGGTTGTGCGTTGCTTCGTGAACAGGGAGCAGTCTGAATTCAAGACACGCGAAAGATTTGGCGAAGCATCATTCGGATCAGGTACATTCATGTACTGCACTCCTGCCGGTCAAGTTGTATTTATTGAAATCTTCTAAGAACGGATGATTGTCCAATCAACAATGGTCGCTGGGACGCCAGGGAATGCACCCCAGATCACGGCGTGTAGGGCCAACCGACAGAAACTCCTGTCATGCCTTGGACCAAACGCACAGTCCTATACCAACGCAAACCAGAATCATGCCAACCCACGTATCCCTCGAGATGAGTTTCCCCTCGGCGTACCACTCGCCGAGCACGGTGAAGAGGAAGGCCAGCGAATTGGTGATGGGGACAGTGAGAGAGAGCTCTAGAGAATCAGGGCAGCGTCAGCGTCAGAGTCAGCGTCAGCGCGGAACACCACCAGGATCATTCTCCTTCGAGGCTGGGGCTGGGGCTTTCCGGTAGGGTGCGAGTGAGATCAGATCCCTTCCTTACCGGCTTGCCCGACCAACAGGAAAAACCAGATGCTTCCGGTCAGGTTCATGACGAGTGGGATGGCATAAGCTGGACTTTTCAGGAGGCCGATGACTGTGTAGAAGGCTTTGGCGATCTGCCTGGAAAGCCAGGATCGGTGCGGATCCGTGATCGAGGGATGCGACGGCGCCGTGTAGTTCACGGCCGCTTTGCGGAGAAACGGCGTCGTGAACCCCCAGCAGATGCCGACCAGCAGGAAGGAGAGGGCATAGTTGAACGGTGAGGGCGTGTGAGGGTCGACCAAAGCGTCCTTGTCTGAGGAAGACATGCCGATAACTCGGCGAAGAATGTGGATGGTTAGACAAGGGCCGTGTTATCGTCTGGTATTTCAGCCCTGGGAAATGGGCGGCATGGCATATGTCTACCACAACTACCTTAGCTTGGGGTTGGAATCGCTGAAGCAGAAAAGTGATAATGTGTGTAGAACGCCAAAGGCTCCTCCGTAGAGCCCCAGCCTCGGGTCGTGTCACTTTGGAGCGAATGCTCCACGGTAGAGCTCCCTTAACTCCACATCCAAGGCTGGCCAAAGCACTGACAACAGCACAGACATAGGCCACTCAACTCAAATTCGACTTCGCCGGGCTGTCTTAGAATCACTGGTGATGGACACCTGGCCTGCGTATACTGGCTGTGCCACTTTCGTAATCCCATGGCAAACACATATGATTTGCTTTCAGGACCGGGATGTTCAGAGTCAAATCCCAGCCTCGCCATTTAGACTTACGTGCAGCCGACGTGGCTGGGTTCCCAAATTGAGCCATGCTGCTCCTCACTCTCCTCCCGCGCACCCAAAGGATCTCTGATCCTCATTCTCATAGTCAGGTTTGATATTGAACTCGTTCATTACTCCATACAGCTTATCGTGTTTTGACTAAGGTCCTTGGTCCTTCCCCAACTCGAAGTCATCAAAGCTCTCCTCCGTCCATCCTTATCGGCAGACTCCCAATGCCCACAATCCTCACGCCGCAGGGCTGGGTCAAAGTTGCGCCGGTTGTGCAAAAGAAGAGGCCGGCCAAGTCTGACCCTGCCGAAGCCTTCAAAGGAACATTGGCCTACTTCAGCTGTCAACAGCTTCCGTCGAAGACCCAAGACTCGTACAACAGAACCCAATTCCCATATGATTTGTCTGCATCACCAGAGAAACTGAAGCGCCAGGGCCTGGCTCAGACCCAGGCCAAAATTGGCGGCAAGAACAGAACCGTCTCTACGCCGCAACCGCAGCCGGGTTTTCAAGTCGACGGCGACGAAGACTGGGATGGCGTGATCGATCGCAGGTCGCATTCGACTCGCTCCTCGACCAGAAGCATCTCTCCTCCGCCGAAGTCGGCACGCTCGCAGCGGTCATCTAATCCACGACCTGCCCACAGATCACACTCGCCCTCACCCTCCCACCGAACATCATCACGCAATCAACCGGTCGAATCTGTTCCACCGCCTGTCATCGTATATCATACCCCGTCCGCTCCACATCCATCGGGGCCCAGGCGTTCACCCGAAACGAGATACCATAACTACTACCCGGCAGGAGGAATTGAGCACCCGCCGCCACCAACGAGTGCACGGAGCATGTCGTACAGTTGGTATAACGCCACGACGCCGTTGAACTTGTGATTTGGGGAGAATATGCAACAGGAAGTGCTAGGCTGTTTGGCTTGGATGGTGAACTGCCATCAGACGATGTAGTTTAATGCAGTTTCTCGGAAAGGGGCGTCATAGCAGCGGGTATCCAAGGTATTTTGTAGCTTTGTCAGATCAATTTGTTTCTGAATCATCCTCCACGGCCATTCCAGAAGTCTCTCTAGAGAGTTCCAGTAATCCTATGACATTGTAATCGTTATCTGCATCGCGATCCCGTTTCCAACATAGATCATACATTCCATAACTCATGCGAGCTGGTCCATCCAGGATCATGTCGGCTCTCATAACAAAGGCGTGCTGGATCAGTCCTCTTCAACTACCACCACCCTGTCCTTGGTCCTGGTTGTTGTCCGAACAGTCCTGGGCGGCGGCCTGATGAAGACCTTCTCCCTCCTTGTAACGACGACCCTTGTTTCTGGCTGATTGCCGCCGCCGATGAAGGTAAGGTTGGCACCCGGCCGCTCCGGATAGGGGGCGATACCGATGGGTCGCCGACGGCGCGAGGAGGTCGACGACGTATCTGAGTCGTAGTAATAGGGGCGGCGCCAGCTACGGAAGCAGCAGATACAGAGTAGGACAAGCAAAAGAAGACCGAAGAAGGCGCCAATGACGATCCCGCCTACTGCGCCAGGCGACAATCCGCCGTGGTGGTGCTCGTAGACAACGACCGTCGCGGGGCTGCCGGTGGTGGTGTGGATGGGGGCGATGCTCGTCGCTGTCTCCTCGCAAGGACAAGGCGCTTCGGTGATGGTTGTCGTTGTCGTACAGCTAGATGTCCAGCTAGTCGACCAGCGGGAGGTCGTCCAGCCCTCCGTCGTCGGTGGTACAACAGGAACAAACGAATACCCGGCACCCTGGCCGGGATGCCTGGGTTTCAGAACGGTGACCGACATATGAAAGGAGAGGGAAGAGGATGTAGGAGCTCTTCAACTGGACTGACGCTCTTGACCTAGGTGTTGCACTGCATGGAAGAGACGAGATTCGCGAGTGTTAGCTTGTCACAAGGCACAAGGGAAATCGACGCATGCCGACCTTCCGACACAAACCAGAGGAGTTCGACCATGACGCGTGGGCTGTGTGGCCAGCCACTCTGTTTCTTTGTGAAAGCGGGCGGCATCTTCCTCCAAATTCATGCGGCTGGAAGTGGTGGTGTTGGGGCTGCCAGTCTATATGAGGGGCAGTGGGTGAGAGGTACTCCATAGACACCGTTCTATTGCTGGCGCCGGAGTAGCGTGTCCGTCCTTAGCCCCTAAGCCTAAGGACTTGTCCGAAACATGTGTTCGCCGATCATGGCGGGGGGCTTTTCTGAGTCTGAGTCTGAGTCTGAATCTGAGCAGGATGTAATTACTCCGTACTCGTGCTGGGAACAATCAGGCTGCGCAGTGGAGCTGATGATAGGCGAGAGAGAAGCGCCATGGCAGTAAGATTGGGGTTGGGCTCCCAAACTGCATTGGCTCGTAGCTGCATGCTGTCCACCGTCACTACTCGATGACTTGTCCTGCGCGCTGTGACATCCGCCAAACAGATCAGATCCCCTTCGCTGTCTGCCACGTCGCCCGGTGGCCAGCATGCTTTTGTTTTATTATTGCGGCAGCGCCTTGCAATGTCTCTACCCTTTGTCGGAAGATTGATACTGTACGGAGTCGGTCTGGCGCGATAATGGATATCCCTCATCGAGAGTACGTGCAACTGAACTGAACTGCTCACCCTGGCTGGACTATGCTAATAACCCCCAGCTTCGCCCACTCGCACCCGTTCCAGTTCCTCGTGGGCCCTGAAAAGCGATCCATCTACATCCATTCTGGGTTGGTCCAACAGCATTCGCAGACCCTCGATACACTTGTGAGGGGTGGGATGGTCGAGGCAAATGAACAATGCGCAACCCTTGAAGACATTGACGAAGAAACTTTCATTCGTTTCGTCGAATTCGCATACACCGGTGACTATTTGGTGCCAGCCCCCAAGTTAGTGGTGTCTCTCTCAGCGGACGATGGCCAGGGTCAATCTTTTGAGGGTTACGCTGGACGGGATCTTTCACACAGGGCAAGCGTGGGGTCTCTCACAGCGGACGATGGCCACGGGCAATCTTTTGAGGGTTACGATCCCTGGAATCCTCCAAAGAGGGCGTTAAAAAAGAAGGCAATAGTGAAAAAGCGACAGAATCTGTGGGTCAATTACGACAATGGGGAACCTGAACCAGCAGAAGGCCGTCCGCCGAAGCCGCCACCTGAAGAAGTCGAGTTCATGGCGCAGCACCCAGGGATCTGGTGGCAACTACCACGGGAGTCCAAAGCGTGGCGTGAGTTCAAGCGCAAAGTACAAGTACGACAGACGCCGGCGTGGGAACCCCGCGCAAACGTGCATCCCGACGAGGACTACGGGCCCGTTTTCCTCTCTCATGCCAGCCTCTACGTCTTCTCTGATAGATACAGCATACAAGCCCTGCGGGAACTGGTGCTGCAGAAGCTTCGACTGACGCTGTCCAGGTTCACCTTGTTTCCAGAACGGACGGGTGATGTTGTCGAGTTGCTGAAATACGCCTATGCATCCACGGGGGATCATGACCACGGCATCGACAAGCTTCGGGACCTGGTAACCGACTATATCACATGTGAAATCCGGACGATTGGCACCAACCCTGGCTTTTTGGAGTATCTGAAAGAGGAGGGTTTTGCAGCAAGTGACCTCATGGCCAAGCTGGTGGCACAACTGGATTCCCCTTCAGAGGATAGGTGAAGACGCGATCGGGGGGGGGTAAGAAATGCATCTTGTTGTTCTGTTGAACCGGCAAGACTGGAGCAGTTGCAGTTGCAGTTACTAGTATGATACATACCTAACGAAAGTCTTTGAACGAGATACCTAGTAGGCAGTGTTCCAGTGCAATCGCAATGCTGGGCCTGAGAAATGGCTTAGGGGCCCTCATCAAGTTATATATAGGGAGTATGTATCCGGACTCCGTCCTAAGACCCCGCCATCTTCGCCCCGCAGTGTTACGGCTTTGTTCAGTGGTGGATGCTATTCATTACAGTAGCAGATGTAACGCTGTTTGTGTGCATTGACTGGAGCGCTTATCTCCTGTGTGATAATGTGACACCCAGTTCCATCAGTCGGTATCTTCATCGCGCACACTGCGAGCTCGACTCCGGCCTCCTCAGACGTTCGTCTACGACCAGGTCTAAAAGATAAAAAATCTCTCAGCCATGGCGCCGTCACGGGTGTCACCCGAGCCTAAGCCCAGCACCTCCGAGACGCCGTTGGGCCTCACAGCGAAGCAGCTCGACTCGTTCCAGCGGGACGGCTACCTGATCATTCCCTCGTACCTCTCACCAGAGACGTGCCAGACTCTACTGTCCAAGACGCACGAACTGCTCCGCGACTTCCCGCTGGCCAACCACCCCATGACGCGATTCACGACGGGGAGCGACGAGGACGGCCAGTCGACGTCGGCCAAGCACGTCGGCGACGAGTATTTCCTGACGTCGGGCGACCAGGTGCGCTTCTTCTTTGAGGAGGACGCGTTCGACGCGGCCACGGGGGCCCTGAACAAGCCGAAAGAGCGCGCCATCAACAAGATCGGCCACAATCTGCACGGGTTGGTGCCGGAATTCGGCCACATCTCACACGCCGGCGACATCGGACGGCGGAACGCCGCCATCGCCCGAGACCTGGGCTACCGAGATCCACGCCTGCTGCAGAGCATGGTCATCTGCAAGCAGCCCGAAATTGGGGCCGCCGTGTCGCCGCACCAGGACAGCACGTTTCTGTACACGACGCGCCCGTCCGCCGTCGGCTTCTGGATTGCCTTGGAGGACGCGACCGCGGAAAACGGCTGCCTGAGTTTCGCGCCGGGGAGTCACCGAAGGGCGCCGGTCAAAGAACGCTTCGTGCGACGGGCAGACGGACAGGGCACGACGTTCGAGGACGTGCCCGACGAAGACGGAAGGTGGCCGCGCAACTTTGAGCACGAAGACACGCATGGCCAAACCGCGCCGAAGGAAGATTACGTCCTAGGCGAGGTAAAGGCGGGCAGCCTGGTTCTGATCCACGGCAACATCCTACACAAGAGCAAGCGCAACACCAGCCAGAAGACTCGGATCATTTACACGTTCCATCTGATCGAGGGCGAAGAGCAATACGACGATAAGAACTGGTTGCAGATACCAGGTGGGCCGGGGCAATTCACCAAGCTGGATGGCAAGGCGTAGAAGGCCTGAACTGGACAATTACGCCATCGCATAAGACAACATCGATCTCGCATGGCTGGGTGACTTCTCTGGTTGCCGCTGGGATCCTGGCGTTCCGCCGTTTGTCAGATAAAATATATACATACAACAGTCATATTCTCTCGTCGGTTCTTCAGTTCAACTGCTTCAACATGGCCTCGGCTTCGGCCGCGTACCGACATCTCTTCCGCAGACTTGCCCCGACCTTCCAAAACACAAAGGGAATGGGCAAGCACGCCAGGCTCAAAAAGGCGACCAAGGTCGACGCCCAGTGGACGCCGAGCCCGTGATACATATAAGTGGTGAAGAGGGGGAAAGCGGCGCCGAAACAAGAGCGCATGATGACGGTCACGGCCAATGCGGATGCCGCGAATACAGTGTAGGCGTCGACCAAGTAATTCTTGATGCTTATAAAGATGAGCACGATGCCAAAACCGAAAGGGACTCCGGCGGCAATGCTCGCCATCCAGTGCACTGTGGGTCCGTTTGTCCAGGCGAACCAGAAGAGAGAGACCGGGACGGAGATGCCCCCGATGATGCTAGGGATAAGACGTTCTTCTGGCGGCAGCGAGGTTCGGGAAGAAGACGAAGCCGCGAGGGCCCGACTTTTTTGTATGTACCGTTTGTTGTCCAAGGCGCCGTAGAATATGGCGAGGACAGTACCGATGATGACGCCCGAAAACGCCAATCCGCCTTCCCCTTCGTTCCATCCTCGTAATTCCTGGTAGACAATGGGGAACGCACCGAAGAGCATGTACAGCGTGCCGTAGACGATGGACATGTAGACACTGAGAAATAATACGATCGGCTCGTGGAAGAGCAGCGCCCAGGGCCGGACGAGGGCCTTGGAGAATTCGTGGCGTGCCGAGGTGCGTCCGCCCCGAAAGACTTCGATCTTGCTGCGGTAGCATTTGCCCGTCATCTTCGAAAGCTTATCGGCGCGCTTCCGCAGTAAGAGGGGCGCATACGTCTCGGGAACGGTCAACGCGGAGATGATCCACATGACGCCTGACATGATGGCGCTGCAACCCTCGACCCAACGCCAACCCGGGCCCTGGCCGAGGAAGCCGCCGACAATAGGGCCCAGGACCGGGCCCATGAAGGGCGCCATTGCAAACAGGATCATGGCTAGGCCTCGTTGTTCTTGACGGAAGAGATCTGCTACCACCCCGCCCGAATTCGTGAGCGGTGATGCTGCAAACGTTCCGGCCAAGAATCGGAAGACCAGGAGGCTTTGGATGTTAGGAGCCCCTGCGGCGGCGGCGTTGAAGACCGTCAGGGCGCCGTACGTGGCAAATAGGACAACTTGACGACCGTACAGTTCCCCTGCAGGGGCCCAAGCACAGGGACCAACCCCAAACCCCAGCACGTAGAGGGCAAGGCCAATCACGGCGACCTCTTCGCTGACCCCGAATTCCTTCGTAATCTGTTCTAAGCAGGCCGAGTAAGAAGACGAGATGAATGCGGCGACGAGGGTGACAATTGCTACGGTAAGTGTCAAGTACCATTTGAAGCCGCCAGAAAAGTTGAGCGGGTTTCGAGGATCGTCGTGTACCCAATGAACCAGGTAAGGGTCTTCTTCCGTTCCCGAGCCCTCATATTCTGTTGTCAGGAGCTCTGGCCAGACCACTGATTGATCAAAGAGCAGTCGCCAATATGATATTGACGGCAACAGCGACGGATGTGGATCTGATGGGATGGCCGGTAAGCCATGCGGCCTGTCATTTTGAGGATCCTTCTCTGGATCACGGTTGACATTATTATCCAAGTCGCTCGTTTTGTTGCTTTCTGTCGATGCCATCATCAAGGTGAATTGAGAGCCTAGAACTTTGAGATCCTAGAAACCAGCGCCCGCCATAGCATGACAAACGAGGTGCGAGGTGCGAGATGCATCAGGGATATGTTTGTTTCAAGCCAACCAGCGTGGAGATCGAACCCCCGAGGCTAGCAATTGAAGATTGCCATCATTGGCCAGTTCGGGATTATCAGTCGATTGTCAATCACGAGTGGTGCCGAGAATCCGAATAAACGAGCTGCCAAGTAATTCAAAGTGTCGGGGGACAGAATGAGGATCCAAGAGTATCAAATACCACTGCAGTCGATGAATGTCGGTGTCGAGTTGCCGTGAACATTCGACAGCTCTCTAACAGGAGCACGCTCTTTTGCATGATGAGATCTCTTCAAGGCCAATGCACACCCCAGCCTTGAGAATTTAGAGATCGATGTTTTCGGTAGCATCTGCAGATTAACCCCGAACATGCAGGGACAAAATGATCAAAATCGGACAAAAAGCGACATTCACATGGTTGAGAGGTCTGTAGATTGGTCTTGAGACGCATTTAGCCACTCGTCGTGCAGGACGCTGTTACCTCCCACTGCGGCAGTCCGTTCTGTCGAGCGATGGAGGCCCATTTTGGACTCATCTAGGGAACCTGTGCTTCCTTTAGAACCAGCATCATTCCAATCAGATATAGGTTGCGAGGATCGACCGCCGAGTAGGAGTTAACGTGGGGTCTAGGGCGAGTTCAATGCGGCGGGCCAGTGCTGTCGATGCACGTTTGCTGCTAGATTGATGCTAGATTGATACTGTTAGCAGCGAAAGGGCAATCCGCAAAGACGACCATGGAGATGCTCACGACGATGGTATAGTCGTTCGTCCGTCATGAGTCGCTCGAGGATGGTGTCCAGTTCAAATACGCAGCCCAAAGACAGACGTTAATTGATCCTGGCCAGGCTTTGGCCGTCCTTGGTCTGGGATCGGTAGAAGATGCGGTTGAATGGGTAGATGTAGCTTGTTTCATTCAAGAGCAACACCTACATACCTTATACAGACGTTGCCAGGATGGCATTCGACCTCGCAGTTTTTCCCATCTACGAAGTACGAAGTACGGAGTACGGATACGGGGACTCCGTATCACAGTATTTTGGTTGGCGGGTCAAGTTGCCAACCGGGAGCACCAGGGCGAGTTTCCCCGGGATGACGTACTAGAGCGTGTCAGGTTGAAGTTGTTTTGCATTCACGTTGGCAGTTGGCAGCGTTGGCAGCGTTGGCAGCGGTGAACCTCAGTCACGTTGTTCAGTCATTCAGTGAATGTACAGCTACACTCCAGGTATCTTTGGTCTGGGCAGGTCTTTCGTACTGCTACGTGCTAGACCTTCTTTGTCTTCAGCCAGTCAAGTGATTCCACCTACTGGCAACAGCAAACTGTAGGACTATCGCCATGTCTCGACCAGGTCTCGAGCACCGCCCGTCCAGCGTCGCGGTCGCCACAAAGAGCATCATTCTGGTGACGGGAGGCAACACCGGCATTGGTTATGAGATTGTCAAGAAGCTGGCCCTGGAGAACCCCAACTTCCAAGTCCTCATGGGCTGCCGTGACACCAACAAGGGCGAAGAAGCCGCTGCGAGCATGGGAGCGCCAGCCAACGTCAACCCCATCCAGCTAGACATCACCGACGACGAATCCATCGAGCACTGCTACCTCGCCATCAACCAGCACTTTGGTAAGCTTGACGTGCTCATCAACAACGCGGCCACCGCAGCCCAGCATCTGCCACCCACAGCCACTCTACGCGAGAAGTACGACCTCACACATAGCGTCAACGTCACCTCGACCGCTGTCTTGACAGAACGTCTGATCCCCCTGCTGCAGAAATCGAGGCTACCCAAAATCATCTTTATCTCCACCGGTCTCGCAAGCCTTACCGCCACCGCCGAGGCCAAAGGCCATAGATCTTCTGCGGTGTGGTATAGCGCAAGCAAGAGCGCCGTCAATGCCGTCATGGCCTTCTACGCAAAGACGCATCCAACTTGGAAAGTCAACGCCGTATGTCCAGGTGCTCGGGCCACGGGGATGAATGGCGCAGAGCTAACGGAAGAGCGACATCCCAAGCATGGAGCGGTGAGAGTGGCGCAACTGGTGGCCGAGGGCCCGGATGGGGTGACATGCACGTTTTCGAATTCCGAGGGGCCATTACCCTGGTAGCAGAGCCTGCTGCTCATGGTCTTCATGCTGCTCTGTTCGGTCCTTTTGGTGCTTTAGCACGGCGATGTAGCGAGGTAGCTGGTAACTCCAATGGCAACAGAGTCCCGCCAGGAAGCCGATTGCGTCGTTCTTGAAGGCAACCAGCAGTCCGGCGGTGACTAGCATCACGGTCCACCGCCGCTTCTTCTCTTCGTCGGTGATCTCGCCGTTAGTGCCTGCGTGGATGTTCTCCTTGCCCAGATCTCTTGCTCGTGCCGTATTTAAGCTCTCTCCCACACTGGCCAATTCCAACCCGGCCGCGATGATCATGACCGACAGCAGAGCCAGTGGGAATCGGTGCAGCAGGTCGGTAAGACTTTCGCCGAATACAACGCCCAAGATAAGCTTCAAGAGGCCGAGGAAAATGATGCTAGCTCCTGACCTAGCTCCAAAGCGGTATTGAGCTGCGAGGCCTCCCGAGCCGTGGCAGACGGGCATCGCGCCAAACCAGCAGCCGAAGAGATTCATTCCGGCGACACTGATGCCGACTGCTGTTACAGAGGGAGTTTCGATCTCGGGCAGGAGATCGGCGGCCAGGTGGGTCACGGCAATGATCGAGTTCAAGGTCGTCAGAGGCAATTGACCGACGCCGGCGTCCAGGATCCCAGTCTTCCACTCCTTGGCTGAGGGGACTTGAGTGTAAGGGTGCCACACACGGAAACCAGGCAGGCGGTGGTGCTCATTGCCAGCTATGCGGATAATGGCGAAGACGATGCCGATAACAAATAATATGAGCGCGTATGGGGTTCGTGGGCTAATATTGAGCGCGAATAGGGCGATGAAAGCGGCCAGCATCCATATATAGTTGTCAGCCCAGGATGGCGCAGTCCATGATAGAGCCGAAAGAGCCTTGTTCCCGGCGGCGATAATCAAACTCATGCCTGCGCCGACTTGGATCCCCTTGACAACCGGAATTGGAATGACCCTGGTGAACCAAGAAAGTAGCCCGGTAATACTGAAGAATAGAATGCAGCTGGAGACAAAGACGCCGGCCGCTGCGGTCTGGCCGGCACTGAGGGATTTCAACATGGCCACGGCCGCAATCGCCTTCATCGGTTGGACCGGCAGAGGAATGCCAAAGGCCACGCCGGTGAGGATGTTGTAGAGGCCGGTAAAGATCAAGGTCGTGGTCAAGGATATCTGATGTCCTTCCGCCAGCGCGATGACGATAGGCAAGAAAGTCCCCAGGTCGCCCAGCGAACCCGAGATCTCGGTCAGTGGCTGCCGGCGGAAGACGGCGACATTGTGAGCCATAAAATGACGAAGACGAAGGGTGCTCATGATGGAAGAAGGGGCCGATGTTTGCCATCAACGGTCTACAGAGGGAGGGATGAAGTAAGTACGGAGTACATATCCGTACTGCAGCGCTGTCGTCCCAACCGGGCTTGGCGGCGGTCACCTCGAGCACCGCCACAAATGGCTAGACGCCTTGCCGAGACGCGCCACAGCTAGTACACTAGCGCCATGGCACAGCGCCACAGCTTGGCCAACTTGAACGCGGAAGATCGACGTCATCCATAACATCGGAAGCCTCGCCATTGGATGCACAAGCTCCCAGCCAAACACCGCCAACTGCACCACACTTCACAGTTCAACAATCCTTCTAATCAGACAGGATAGAAACAATGGCCAAACTAAACCTGACCCTGTAGAATCCCCAAACATGAGACACTTCTCTCGCTTGACGTACAATAATACTATTGCCAGACTTGTTTGGCGCCCTCCCGTCCCCAGCCATCTCCCGACCCCGACACGTAAATTCCTGTGGCTGGCGCCTTGTCCACTTTCAAGCCTGTCAACACTCCACCCGTCAGTGTGTTTTTGAGTCTTTGCACGACAATCACCTCGACGACATTGAAGTGACACCTTCAAAACTCTCTTCACAAAGTATTTCGGCAGAACCACTGCATCCTGGCATTGTGAATCGACAGTATGCCCGCCTAATATACACCTACCTCATCGACATTCCTCCCTTCGGCCTCGAATGCGGCGGCCCTCGGACCGACTCCCCCGGCATTCAGGCAGCGCCAAAATCAACGTCGCAGGGAGGTAGCTTCACTCATCATGGCGGTCAGGTCCAGAGCTGTGAATGCGGCCCATACCGCTGGGATCTTCGCCGACATGTCCCTCGACGGTCCAGAAATCGGCACTCTGGTTGCGGTTGTCGACCGGGCGAGGAATCTTCCAAACAGAAAAACAATGGGAAAGCAAGATCCTTACTGTGCAATGAGGTTGGGCAAGGAAGCCAAGAAGACCAATACCGACAAAAGAGGAGGGCAAACACCCAAGTGGTATGTGACCAATTGCCCATATTTGGGAGAAACTGCTGACCGGAATCAGGGACCAGGAGCTTCGATTCACCGTCCACGACTCCCTCGACTACTACAAACTAAAGTGTTCCGTCTTCAACGATGACAAGAAGACCGATCTCATCGGTGAAGCCTGGATTGACCTCCGTGAGGTGATTGTGCCCGGTGGTGGGCAGAACGATCTTTGGCACCAGCTGAATTTCAAGGGCAAATACGCCGGCGATGTACGGGTTGAGTTGACATACTATGATACAAGACCGCCGCCGGAGCCATCCTCCGAGAAAAAAATGCAAAGAGAAAAGGCTCATTCGGTAGCCAGCGATGCTCTCAGCACTGCTTCAACTTCCCGCCAGTTGGGCCCTCGAGAAATCAAACGACGTCCACTCCCTCCGGGCCCTAGTAGTCACTCCTCTCCCGCACCAGCGACACAACCTTTCGAACAGTGGCCTTCAGAAGAAATGCCGTCTGGCGTGAGGACAAGCTCCGGATACACGAACTCACACCCCCCGCCCCGGCCACCGAAACAACGCATGCCAGAAACGCCAGATGATGTGGGTTATGGCCTGGATCCTCGATTTGAACCGGATCCTTATGACACACCACCACGCCCGTACGCAATTCAAGACCAAAGACCAAATTCCCACGATTCCTACAGCGACTATGACCGAGTATCCCGCCAGCACAGCGATAAAGGCTCCTACCGCATGGACCCCTATGAATCGGACGGCCTGCGTCCAGTCCGAAAGTCTCTGTCCCAGCAGACAGGAGATCTACCCAGCAAGGCTCCGACAGATAATCCGATCCCAGACTCTCCGCGCAACATGTCTAACCAATCGCCTTACCATTCCTCTCCACCAGTCCGCACACCTCCCAAGGCAAGCTCCTCAATGCCACCACAACCTCAGCCTTGGCAGAGCAGGTCAAGCACATCTCCGACCAAGCATGTCGTATACCGAGACAGCCCTCTTCGGCAATCCATCAGCCATGTTGACTTGCCTCTGCCCGATGCTAGCCATGCCGATCCACGATTTGATGAGGACGAGTGCCCGCCACCGCCACCAGCTCATCGTGACCAGATCGCAAGGATACAGACTGCGGGCCCATCTTATCTGGATTCCCATGGGCATCTACCCCCACAGACACCGCTCAAGTACAGCTCGGTGGAAGACCGGAGCCCTCTTCAAAAGTTGGAACGCGACTATGGCCTACCCCAGGGCTCCTCACCACCAATTCAGAGACATCAACAGCAGCCTCCACCAATACAACCGTACGACCAAAGACTGGTGGATGACCATAGGGGATACAGTTTGCCGCCAGAGGACCGACGAAATTCACATAATGACAATATGCTGCAACTTCGACCATCCTCCGCGAACGAGGTGTCTCTCCGTGAGTATGCTCCCGATCGTAGCGGCCTTCACGAACGATACAACGGTAATTCGCCGAAAGATTTCAGACAGTCAGTTGGCTATGGGCCACCACGCAGGGCACAGACGTTTGATGCTACCTTTGAGACCTACGATGACCGTCAAATTCGAGGTTCGGAACCCGCCATTATTCCACCACGGTCTATCAGTCCCGGCATACCTCAAACCATACCACGCAAGTCAATAACTCCCACACCTACCACTCCGGAACATCGCAACTCCATTGGTAGCACTCCATACGGCCCAGATTCTTATGATGTTCTGAATCCTGGGACGAGTCCTACGGTGGAAGGTGGTGATCCTTATGCCATCCCTGATCAAAGTAAAGATGCTCCCCAACAGCGGGAGTTGGACAGACTGAGAGACCAGGGTCCAATCATTGGTAATGATGGGCGGGTGATTGACCCTTCCGACCATCTTCCTGCAGATACCTGGGCTCCAGAGCCAGAGAGAAAGAATCGGCAGCCAGAACACGTCATCCGAGTACGGACCAAGGAAGAGGCAAGGATGCAAAATCGAGGAGGGTCATTGCCTGCATCGGCTATGCCTCGCTCGATGGCCAACTCGTCATACCAGCCATCCCCAACCGCAACTCCATCATCCTCTCAGTCTTCACCAGTGCCTTCAGCTCCTTCGAGTACACCTCCGCAGCCGGAGTCCACAAGTGGTCGGAATAGATTGAGGAAGCAGATGCCAAACCGGCCACTACCCGCCCAGCCATACCCGCTTCCCCAAAGTAGCCCGGCCCTGGTACCTGCATCTTCAAACGAAGATCGAGCCAGTCCTTCCAGCCAACGGTACACGATTTCGTCTTCACCTGCGGGTCCATTTCCACAACGACCTTCGCTGTCGGAGTACCAGACTCCGGCAACGGATGATTATGATTATAGTGCACGAGGAGCACCACCGCTTCCGCAGTACTACTCGACCCCCACAAAAGTTCCATCATCTCGACGAGGAAATTCAACTGGCAGTGCCGACTACGGTCAGGAGGGTTCTCTGGCCAACGCGTCGTTTTATGGGTCCGAGAACTCGATGGAGTATAAGAGATCTGGTCCGGACTATGGTCGTGCTCCCGTGTCTCTTTCTCGACCTGGCAACTCGGTGGACCAAGGAAGCTATGTTCGGCGCGATTCGCTTGCTCTTGAGTTAAGCACAATTGACATTGGGCCTTCGCGATCGGGCCGAACGGCCTTGAGGCCTGTCCGGGGGTATGGAGGATATTAGACAATGCGATTCCAGGGTGGTCACAAAGGTCAGGCGTTTGCGTTTCAGGCTGGTAGAGTCTCTGGACTAGAGATCTCAGATGGATGTTCATAATCACGGAAGAAATGGCACTTGCATAACGAGGCATTTTATGCAAATGTACTGTACATTTCAAATGCTCACGGGAAGGGGGGATAGCAAGAACCCAAAAATATGTCTCATGAACATGAATATACTCATACAGTCAATACAGTCAACCAACATACCGCAGGCACTTGTGATTGTTGTTTGTCAACTATCGGCTGTTTTCGATTCTTTTCCACTCGATTCAATTTCGATCAGCCGCCCGAGTTTGTTTTACAGTAGGGTTCGTTGCGGTATGGGGTACTGTTAAGGACAGGAGCTTGGTAAGGAGTATTGTTAAGGACAGGAATTTTGTAAAGAGTACTCCGTACTGTCAAGGACTCGAGTGTTGTCAAGAGTACTCCTTACCGGGCTGGGTACCTAAATATTCTTACCTAGGTATACAGTGTCCTTATTACCGTAGATGCGATAAACATCCAATTCAACGAAACGAACCGTCAGCACGGTAGGTAGTCAAGCCGGCCCTAGCCCTCCCTCTCGTCCTGACTGGACTTTCCTGATCCTAATGGGCCCCTTGACGTCCTCTGGCGCCGTGTCGCGCGACACGGGCCTTCCGCCCTGCAAGATCTCCAGCTCGCCTCTGTCTCGGGCGTCGAACGCCATCCGGCGCAGTTGCGGCATCAGCTCGCGCCAGGCTGACACGCCCAGCTGGTGCAGCTCCGAGGCGGATAGGGACCGCGCGATTTCGGACGGACACACAGTTTTGGGATATGCGCGGTTCGAAAGGAGCTGGTGGAAGCGGTTGGGGAGGATGGACGATGGGGATGGTGATGGTGGTGGTGATGCGTTGTTCATTTCTTTCCTGGGTCCGGATCGGATCACAGCTTGGTTTTCATTTTCGATGGCGAACTCAAAGTCTCTATGATATATATGTGTGTGCTGTGTGAGTGTGCTAAGCTTCAAGTATGGAATAGTCGAGAGAATATATTACGAAGTAGTGGAGAGAATATATTACGAAGTAGTGGAGAGAATATATTCCGGAGTAGTCGGGAGAATATATTCCCCCTGGGCAAGGGAATAATATATCCAGTGTACTCCGTACAACACAGCGCGTGGAAGTCGAACCTTTTCGATGACGTCGCAGATAACGGTGGTTAGGTACCTACTCCCTATATACGGAGTTATAGGTACATAGGTACTATAGAAATGGCATCTGCAGATGGGCGTTGCTCTCAACAGGCTCCTGCAAGTGTACGAGAGCATGTACTCCGTATTCTCCAGCGCATCACCCATGCCTAACCAAGTATCCGTAATACGTACTCCGTACTCCGTACTGGTGGCGAGATATTTAGTCGAGGGCTAGCCTGGCGTCACATCGAGTTCGGAGCAGGCTCTGCTCTACGTCTCTGCTGACAGGTTGAAAGTTGGATCTTCTCACAACTTAGTGGCGACCTCGTTAACCGGCGCTGCAGGCCGGCCTGTCTTGAACAGCTTCCTGATGTTTTCGAAACACTCGCGCTCCGACTTCATAAAGGCCACATCCGTCAGGCCGCCCATGTGCGGCTGGGCGACGATCTTGTCGCTGGTCCGAAAGTATGGGTTCATGTTGGGCTCGTTGCAAAAGACGTCGAGGCCCGCTCGCGCAACCTTGCCGGACTCCAGGGCGGCAATGAGCGCGGCCTCGTCCACGACGGCGCCGCGGGCGGTGTTGACCAGGAACGAGCCATGTTTCATGGCGGCGAATTCGGCGTGCGAGATCAGGTTCGTCGTCGCTGCGTTGAGCGGGCATGAGATCGACACCACGTCAGACTCGGAGAGCAGCGAGTGCAGACTCGGGCTGTACTCGGTGCCATATTGCTGTTCCACCTCTGGAGGAAGCCGGCGGCGGTTGTGATATTTGATTTTCATGTTGAACACCGCTGCTTTACGCGCGGTGTACTACCGTACGGCACGCCAGTCAGGATCGCACACAAGGCATACGTATGACGAGGCTGAAGACTACACACCTTTCCAATCGATCCCATGCCGACAATCCCTAACGTCAGCCCGGTAGGGTCTCGACTCGGAACGAGGCCCTGCTTCCAACTCCCGTCTCTGGCACCCCTTTCTGCCCTAGTGGTGTCTCTCAGTACGGCCAGGATGAGAAACAGGGCCATGTCGGCGGTGGCTTCGGCGACGGCGTCGACCGTGTTGCAGAACCAAATATTGTTGCGTGTCATCCAGTCCACGTCGAACTCGTTGAACCCGGCCGACGCCGAGGTGATGATCTTGCAGTGAGGCACGAGAGCCCCGAGCAAGTCCTCGTCAAACGGCTCGTAGGGAGGCGTGCCCATGCGGATGAGGAAGGCATCGATCGGGCCTGATTTCGCGATCAGTTGGGGAAGAAGCTCCTTTGTTTCCTTGCGATTTGTCGCTTCGAGGATCTAGACCAGCGACTCGTGAGAATGGCGGCAGTGGACGGAGTACGGAGTACAGTAAGTCTCATGAAAAAGCTAGGGTAGCCACCTCAAAATCAAAGTCTTTCTTGAACTCGTCCAGGAATTCTTGTCCTACATATTTAGGGTTCCCCAGGGCGACCACCAGAGGCTTTCTCAGCTGAGGGTTGGCAGACATGATGAATGTAAGCCGATGGTGCCGGTAGGCTTCAGGGTCTGAGTTGTAAGTACTTGTCTAAACACGGAGTACATGGCGCAGATTCCAGGCTATTATAAATATTTCTGAATAACTCATGACTTGGAGGTTGCTTGCTGTCGTCGTACGTTGGCGAATACGGACTTATCCGAATGAGACCAACCATGGAAAGATCCGAAGAGATCACCGGCGAAGACCTGTCAACCCGGGTGCTTGGTGCCCAATTCCCCCCTTTCCCCGCTGATCACGTCTGCGAGGATGTCTCTCTTGGTGAATGTGCAGGCTGAGCGACAGCGACAGCGACAGTCAGTAACTCCATCGTCATTTGACGCTGCTGTATCCGCAACTGCAACCTACCTACCTGGGTAGATACACTGAAGTGGCTATATCGTCGAGTTGCGTGTCTGATAGAACGGCAGAAAGCAATAACAAGAAGGCCAGTCACGTGACATAGTACTCATCACGTGAATCTTGGCATGTTTGTCTCATGCTCATGCTCAGGCCGGAGCCGACGCCATTTGCATTGCCAGGTGCTCGTGGCTGCCTGTCATACTTCTATGCACTCTCTTGCACTCTCTCAACGAAGATGAGTCTGGAGACGTGATAAAGGGGCAGCAGGTCGCAGACTGTGGGAAAATGGTGCTTACAGAGCTCTTCTCTCCGAAGAAGAGCACTTTCGACGAGTTCGAAGATCCCAAGGCATTCGAGAAGGAGGACTGTCTATCGTGCAGAGTACTAGGTACGACGCCGTGACCCTCTCGTGTCGAACCTCACCGGCATACTCACTTCAAATAGGCTCAACCGCACTTGTATCACTGGGTGGCTATACATATTACTCTGGCATGCAACAGCTCAAACAACAACGGAAAGTCATCGAGCTCAGCAAGTCGAAGTACAAATATGGATCCCGGCAACTAGGGATCGTGTCCCTGTCGGCGACTTTGTTTGGCCTTGGGATCTACAGGATGGTCAACTGACGAGCACGCTGAACACGCTGAGCACGCCCCGGTCGAGATTCAATGTCAGCATGATGGCTTTAACAAGGCATTCCGCAGGATGGGACTAGATGGAACCCCGACAGACCGGACATGTGTGATAGATTATTCTGGATTGATGGAAGGCAGGTGTCTCCCGGTCTATAATCTTCTGGGGTATTGGCTATTGGCTTGGATCTAGCCGTACTGCTAAACACGAACGACACATACTTGCGTGCATGCATGGGAATGATCAAAACTTCGCTATGCTGATGGTCGTGTCCTCGTAAGAATCTGTACGTTCACCATGAAATCAGAGTATCGCCCTTCATCAACCCTTGCGTACCTGCGGATACTGCCGCAATGTCATGAAAGCCGCCCTCGCTTAGTACTGGTACCAAACCCATCTTTCGGCCCGATATTAGATATGTCGAAGAAATCAGGGAATTGCAACTTTCGCTTCGTGCCGGCATTAAAAGTAAATTCTCGATTAGATTGCCTTGGCCCATGGCGTTGGCTGCCATGCCTGTGGGATGGTCGATGACCTCGGCTGTTCAGCACTTCGAGTCGAATTGGAGGATTTGTCGAAGAAGAGGATGAGCCATCGACTTGAGCAGACCCAGCTCCTTCTTCGTCGGTCTGCATGTGATCGGATTCTCGCCCAGTAAATTGAAAGATTGATGGTGAAGTGGTTTCATCCCGCGCAGTCGGACTCGCGGCATCCTCCGTCTGTGTCGCCGATTCCACTTTGACAGATTCGGCCGGAGTTGGCACTGCTTCCTGCGGCTGCTCTCTCGGAGGTGAAACGCTACGTGGCCGAGTCCCCATCTCGCTTTTGTCGTCATCGCTGTCGGTGTGATGTTGGTGGGCTGAGCCATCATATCTTTCCGTGGCCCACTGCCTCACTCTCCACCCCTCGCCATCCTGCAGCCCGAGATTCTCGTGATCTAGAAAGCCCAGGAGATCATCAAGTGCTTCTTGGTATCCAGCTTGGCGACTGACATTCTGATCTGTGACGGCAGACTTGTAAAGGTTTGTGACGGACAGAGCGGCGTTTCGGAAGGCTTGGAGGAGCTCTTCAGGAGGGGCAGGACGGGTGGACGGCAGCCCGGTGTTGAGAGACCTCATCGAGTCCATGATCTTGACTCGACGAAGCTGTTTGCTGTGGTTGTTGCGCTCTCTTTGCTCCTGCGGTGTGTAGTGGAGTGGTGTTGATCGCTATGCAGGAAGATGGAGGGGTTTGTTTGGCTGCGCCGAGGCAGCTTGCCGACTGGCCCGAGAGTAGATAGAGAGAGACTTTGGAAGAGGATGAAAGAACGGATGCTGGACCTGTGAAGTAGACCTAGTAAAACCTCAAATGCGTTTACTATGACTTGGAAGAAGGGAACTGTAACAGAAGGCACTTGGGAGAGTGAATCGGCTCGTCCGTCAGCGTCGTTCGAAACCCAGGTTTGCAAAGCATGAAAATAGGTGACGGCGGCTGTGTTTTGATTGGGTCGAAGTTACCGCCTCCACTCAGCCGGGTATCGGAGGTCACATGGGGTCACATGACAGAGCCAAGACGGGTTCTACACTACAAGCACTGGCACTGGTATTCTAGTACTTTCAAGGGGAAGGTCTGCCGATGCACTCCCTTCGATCGTACCGTGTCTAGCCAATCATCTCCTTGCATTGGCGGAGCCCGTTCCTGCGCGCGCATTATCCTCGTTCGTCTTTCACCTCGCCATCATGATTGCCCTCTTTTTCTGAACCTACTTCAACCTTACCCTCTTATTCACGCGTCTCAATGATCGCGCTGTCTTGTTTCTACAATTAGAATCGTTCCTCCCAGGTCGACTATTGTAGGAAAGTCGCGTTTGTGGCATTGAGCGAACTATTTCCCCCCCAGGCCGTGTAGGCCAACACAACCCACCATGGCACCCTCAAACGTACTACAACCCGACTCCGAAACATCTTCAATCGTCGACACCACTATGACAGATGGCAATGACTATGTGCAGCCACGAAGACCTTCTTTTGGTCACCTCAACCGTTATGTCGACGACACCCCCGATTATACTGATTCCGATACCAACCCAAACACGACCGCCAGCAGTGTGGCCGGAGACGCCCCGTATGCTGACGGCCGGAAGAAGAGATCAGAGGCTTTGCTGCTGCGGAAGAGCATCCTAGGGAAGAAGCATGGCCAACTGGACGAGTCTAAAGAAGACGATACCATACGAAGATTCAAGTATCTGCTCGGTTTGACGGACTTGTTCCGCCATTTCATCACGACCAATCCCAACCCGAAGATAAGGGAGGTCATGGAAGAAATCGATCGTCAGAATATTGAGGAGGAAGATAAAGCCAAGAAAGCCGTATCCCGGAAGGGAGGGGCGGCCGCGATCGGTAAGAGAAAAACGGAACAAGAGGAAGACGCAGAGCTGTTACGGGACGAGAAGCGTGGCACTGCGTCGCAGACCGTTTTCCGTGAGTCGCCGGCATTCGTCAAGGGTGGTGAAATGCGTGACTATCAAGTTGCGGGTCTGAACTGGCTGATCTCGCTACACGAGAATGGCATTTCCGGCATTCTCGCAGATGAGATGGGTCTCGGCAAGACCCTCCAGACCATCTCCTTCTTGGGATATCTCAGACACATCTGTGATATCAAAGGACCACACCTGGTCGCTGTCCCTAAATCGACTCTGGACAACTGGGCCAGAGAGTTCAAGAAATGGACCCCGGACGTCGATGTTCTTGTCCTCCAGGGGGCCAAAGATGATCGTCATGCCCTCATCAACGATCGACTTGTGGACGAAAAGTTTGACGTCTGTATCACAAGCTACGAGATGATCTTGAGGGAGAAGTCCCACCTGAAGAAATTTGCTTGGGAGTACATCATCATCGACGAAGCCCATCGCATCAAGAATGAAGAATCCTCGCTCGCTCAAATAATCCGAATGTTTAGCTCTCGGAATCGACTTCTGATTACCGGTACCCCATTGCAGAACAATTTGCACGAACTGTGGGCTCTCCTGAATTTTCTCCTTCCGGACGTCTTCGGAGACTCGGAAGCATTCGACTCCTGGTTTTCCAGCCAAAGCGAAGATCAAGACACGGTCGTCCAGCAACTCCATCGCGTTCTGCAACCCTTCTTACTCCGAAGAGTGAAGAGCGATGTCGAGAAAAGTTTGCTACCCAAGCAGGAACTCAACCTGTATGTTGGTATGTCGGAGATGCAAGTTCGCTGGTACAGGAAGATCCTGGAAAAAGACATCGACGCCGTCAACGGCGCCGGAGGGAAGCGAGAATCCAAAACGAGACTACTCAACATCGTCATGCAGCTTCGCAAGTGTTGCAATCACCCCTATCTGTTCGAAGGCGCTGAACCAGGACCTCCATACACCACTGATGAACACTTGATCTACAATTCCGGGAAGATGATCATCCTTGACAAGATTCTGAACCGCATGAAGGAAGAAGGCAGCCGTGTCCTCATCTTCTCACAAATGAGCAGAGTTCTAGATATTTTGGAAGATTACTGCGTTTTCCGCGGCCACCAGTACTGTCGCATCGATGGCGGTACGGCTCATGAAGACCGCATTGCTGCCATTGACGACTACAACAAACCTGGATCGGAGAAATTTGTGTTTCTTCTCACCACCCGTGCGGGAGGCTTGGGCATCAACTTGACCTCCGCCAACATTGTCATTCTCTACGACAGTGACTGGAATCCACAAGCGGATCTGCAAGCAATGGATCGAGCACATCGCATTGGCCAGACCAAGCAAGTCAAGGTGTTCCGTTTCGTCACCGAAAATGCCATCGAGGAAAAGGTCCTGGAAAGAGCCGCGCAGAAGTTGCGATTGGATCAGCTTGTGATCCAACAAGGCCGAGCCCAGCAACAAGCGAAGCAAGCAGCTTCGAAAGACGAGCTGTTGAACATGATCCAACACGGCGCCGAGAAGGTCTTTGAGACCAAAGGGACGGTCGGCGATCTGGACGACATCGATGCAATTTTGCGACGCGGTGAGGCACGAACTGCCGAGCTAAATGCCAAATACGAAAAACTGGGCATTGATGACCTCCAGAAATTTTCGTCTGAGAACGCGTATGAGTGGAATGGCCAAGATTTCGCCCAGCGCAAGAAGGACGTCGGTCTAAGCTGGATCAACCCATCCAAGCGCGAACGAAAAGAACAGTCGTATTCCATGGACAAATATTACAAACAAGCATTGTCCACGGGAGGACGACCAGCGGATACTAAGCCAAAAATTCCGCGGGCACCGAAGCAGGTCAATATCCACGATTGGCAGTTCTTCCCTCCTGATCTTCAGGAGTTGCAGGAGAAGGAGACAGCCTATTACCACAAGGAGATCGGCTACAAAGTCCCTTTGGCGGAAGGCACTGAAGAAGATTTGAGTGACCGGGAGGCCGATCAACGCTTGGGTCAGGATGAAATCGACAATGCTGAGCCTCTGACCGAGGAAGAGAAGCTACGCAAGGCCGAAATGCAGCAACATGGATTTGGCAATTGGAACCGCCGAGACTTCCAACAGTTCATCAACGGGTCGGCCAAGTTTGGACGTACCAACTACGAAGGCATCGCGACCGAAGTGGATAGCAAGGAACCTCACGAGATTGAAGAATATGCCAAGGTCTTCTGGAAGAGATACACCGAGATCGCCGAATATGACAAGCACATCAAGACGATTGAGGCTGGTGAAGAGAAGCTTCGCAAGACCAACCTGCAACGAAAGATGCTTCGGAAGAAGATGGAGACGTACCGTGTCCCGCTACAGCAACTAAAGATCAACTACACTGTGTCTACGACGAACAAGAAGGTATACACTGAGGAAGAAGACCGCTTCCTGCTGGTTATGCTGGACAAGCATGGTGTGGATGGAGAAGGCTTGTATGAAAAAATTCGGGATGAAATACGAGAGAGTCCTCTATTCCGGTTCGACTGGTTCTTCCTCAGCAGAACACCAGTAGAAATTGGAAGAAGATGCACAACCTTGCTGAATACTGTCTTGCGAGAGTTTGGCGATCCGGAAGAAAAGCTCACCAACGGTCATGGGTCAGGCAAAGGACGCGGACGGGATCGAGATGAGGAGGAAGACGATGAGAATGATAGTGAGACGGCGCCAGCCAAGAAGAAGGCCAAAAACGGCATTGTGGTAAGTCGGTCCTTCTCACGCAGCGTGACACGATCTTAACTGCATGACTAGAATAAGCAAGTGAAGGCTGTTAAGTCCGGCCGAGGCAGCAAAACCACTTCTCCAGCAACTTCTCGAGCTCAAAGTGTCTCATCCGCGACGGCGCCACGGTCCAAGGGAAGAAAGAAATGAGCAGTTGCGTGGCGGTTTAATGAACCTTGAAGGTTATGACGGGCGGGTTTGAGTGTGCGCAGAGTCGTACGTGTTCATGAAAAGCCGGGTTCATCATGGGCCTTGATTCTGACGGGAGGCTATGCTACTGTTTCATGCGGGACTTGTGTGTGTGATCATGTCGGGACAGGCCTTCAGCAAACGAGTTTAGAGGACACGAGCTTAGAGAATGTAAATTAGGGCCACGAACTGCTTGAACTGCATTGCCGTGGGAGTTGATAGACAGAGCCACGAGGCTGACCAACGACGGGTCGATCTTTAAAGAGGCAAGAGATACTCTAGGCACGTGCTGATAAGATACCGGTGCGACGACACTCCATGAGGCCGCCGTCTCATGTGTCGAAAGTAAACTGCGCATCCTCACCATGAGCGTCGCAGTGGACGCACTGTATATTTTCGATGATCATCAGTAAGCTGAGGGAATCACATAACGACCCATGGCATTGTACTGACCGCTCTGCAGCAACTGTGTGCTCGAGCACGTTTACAATGGACGGCCTCCTTCGGCGCAGACCCTCATATCCAGCTTCACAAGCCGACCTCTGCCTCGCCCATCTATCCTGCAACTCTCGGACCTCGCGCCGCCTGTGACAGCCTACTCAATATCTCACGCGGCGCTGCTTCTGGTCGCGACCTCAAGCAAAGATGCCCAGTCTCTTGCGATCCTAGACTTCCTCTACCGGCTCGTGGACGTGTTTGAAGACTTTCTCGGCTGCCCACTACTAGCCAACAAGATCGAAGACAACTATGAGATCGTGGCGCAGCTACTCGTCGAAATGTGTGACGGGGGTACTGTGTGCAATACCGAACCCAATGCGCTGCGAGAGTCGGTGGAGGTGTCGTCGGTCTTGGGAAAGTTGTTCACACAAGTTGGGCTACCTGGGTATAGTAGAGCCATTCGCCAGATAATTGTCGACCATACTGACGGTCCAGATCATCTCCGGCTCTTGGTCCAGCGCACAATTTCTCCTCGACTCTACGGCCCACTGTGACTCCGACAACAGGACCGGCAATCCCATGGCGCAAATCTAATGTTCGTCATACGTCGAACGAGCTTTACGTCGATATCGTCGAAAGTCTAGCGGTCGTCTTTGCGCCATCTGGGCGTCCCCTATCAGCTCGATCTCATGGCTCAATTGCATTTACCGCTAAGATTTCGGGAGTTCCCGACCTGTTATTGACGTTAGCGGCGCCTGGAGGTACCAACAGCGACAAAAATTCGGAAATTCTTCGCACAGTTCAGCTACCTGTCTTTCATCCTTGTGTGCGATTAGCCCGGTGGAAAGATAGTCCTGGGGAATTGTCTTTTGTTCCTCCCGATGGCCGTTTCATGCTCGCCGGCTATGAGACGGACTTAATGCCTTCCAGTCTCAACACTGACCAGCCTCCCAGCAAGAGCGACAAGCTTTTCCTGCCCGCTACTGTGGACCTGCGACCGGGACTAGGGGCTTCGGGTACCGAGTTCGAGGCTCGACTAACGTTAAACACCAACTTCCCGGGCGTTTCGTCGATGGGAAAATCAAGTACATCCCGGTCAGGCTCGGGTCCGATATCTTCACTATCATTTGGCGGTGGAAGCAGCGGGCACTCACATGCTCCTTCTTTGGAGGCGATCATGGTCACAATTCCATTCCCTGGCGATGTTCGAAGTGTCACGGAGCTGAAGCCGTCTCGGGGCGAAGCCAACTTCAACACCTTTGACAAGGTGATCGAATGGAAAGTACCCACCAAAGACGGTGCATCTATCAATGGAGTGGCCACCTTGACCGGCACCGTGGCTGGACCATTGGCCAGCGCGGATGCCGAGGACGACCAATTTGAGGCGGCTGAAGTAGGCAAGTCGAACACAATGGCCGGTTATTACGAAGACGATACGGTAGCGAACCGAAGCGAGAAGCAACAGACAACCGTTAATGGCAACAACGGAGCCACGAAGAAAGCGCATGCCAACAGGGCTCTGATGCCTCGGTCGATCGCGGTGTCGTTCAATGTCAAGGGATGGCTTGCCAGTGGCATCAAAGTCGACGGGCTGGTAGTCGACGTCAAAAAGTCCAAGGGGCTGGGTGACGGGGTGAGACCATACAAGGGCGTCAAGTATCTCACAGTGAGTAGACAAGGAGTTGAACGACGAGTTTCATGATGGGATGGGATGGGCCCCTGAGCCTAATTACAGTATCCGTACTTGAGACCGGGACGATAACGAAGACCAAGGACATAACATAACGTATACAGAGTTGTATTGTTCATTGAAGAACCGATGGATTACCGAGTACAATACAAGGCACTAGCTACCTTAGTATCCTAATACTGATGGATGCCGCTAATGCTAATGCTAATTCCAAAAAAATCCGCTCTCATTCAAGTCGTCAGTTTCGTCAATGTCAATGCCAATGCCTCTGGAAAGAGGGGGTCGCCTGGCCCGGCGCCCAGCAAATGCCTCGATCCGCCACGCACACGCAGTGCCATAATTGTTGCTCCTGTGTTTCTTTCTGTGTTCCCATTCCCATTCATTTGCTAATGCTTGTGGTCCAAAGTCGGGCCGGAACCAGAACTCCATGTTCAATGCCCTGTGATTTCCGTGCCGTTTGCGTTCGCACCAGGAGCCGTCATGGTAAATGAAATGAGATCAATCCGACCAGTTCAACTTTTTGATAATAGGAGCCGCCGAACGCCTCCGCCGAAAATCCAATGCAATGATGGGTTTTAGATGCCATTTGTCCCGGTCTGATCCGATCCATAATACTGAGATTAGGATGAAACCGCGGAACCAGAACGCCTCGCCAATAAAACAAAACAAAAAAAGGGGTGCATAACCCAGCCAGGAGAAAGTTTAGAGTAGATGGTGCGAACCCACTGCTTACTGTAGTAGGCAGCTGAGCTCAGGCGGTCATGTGGTTGCCGACGCCCAACATCTTCTTGATGCCCTTCTTGACGGACCGGTTGAACTGGTCGGCGCCGCTCTCGCTGGACTGGGAGGAGAAGGAGGCGAAACTGTCCTCACTCTGGCGCCGGGCGCTGGCCGTGCCGTTCAGGAGGACATTGTGGGCCGAAGCCGAGGTGCCGCTGGCCTTGATGTTGCCGGCGCCGCCGCGGCCGACGTGGTAGACGGGGGCGGCGTGACGCTCCTGGCTCAGCTGGCGCTCGAGCTCCTCGTCGAAGCTGAAGATGGCGCGCTCACTGGCCGGGTAGACGTTGCCGGCGCCGCCGCGGCCCGCGATGAACGTCTTGCGCTGCGTCTGCGGCGCCTCCGTCCAGATGCGTGACGCCGGGCCGCTCGCGTTGTTGCCCTGCGTGACCGACGAGGGTGCCTTGGTCACGTTTCCGGCGCCGCCTCGACCAGTAGAGAAGTAGTGGGTGGGAGGCACGGATGGATGCGGCTCGACGATCGAGTACCGCCGTGATGAGGATGAGACAGACATGGTTGTGCTTGGTGTTGGACTTGGAGTTGGTGTTGTTGATATACTACTCTGTACTACTGCAGGTACAAGTATACCGTACAGTAGTCAGCAGGATGTGCGAGTGTGATTGGTCGAGCTCCGAATTGGGTATGGTTGGGAGTCAGGTGTTCAGATGGTCAGGTGATGTGGCTTGGCTGGCGAAGGTGTTTGGTGGATGGAAGGTCACTTATGGTTTGAGTGGTGGTGATATGTATTAGAGGTTAGATCCGGGGGATGGATCTTCGGTATTATAGTTCAGTCGATGGGCAGAATCAAAAGGTCCCATCAGGGGGGGAATCAGGGGCACGGTGGTTATATACGGGACAAGGTACGTGAGCGTGTCGCCATGGGGAATGCAAATTTGCAGGCTTGTTTACGAAATGTGACACTGGGCATGCAAGAATCAAGACACCAGACAGCAGACACAGGGGCCCAGCAAAGCCAGCAGGTGTGATGACTCGATGGAATCCAACATCTTCTCCAGAGCGATGCCGTTAACTGCAAAGTGTCGATGCAAATTTTCAGGTCACGGTGCTGGAGCTGGAGCAGGGGCGGAAAATTTCAGAATTTGGACAGCAGCTGGCGTCATCTTAATTTTAGCAGGCGGCAGCCGTGGCAGCGACGGGGCAACAGACGATGGCGATGGCGCCGTGTGCCCCGGATTTTGCGTAACGCTGCCACAGTCGAGTCTCATACCAGGTACTGAGCAGTGAGGACAAAGGGCAAAGAAAGGGCTGGCCGCGGCCTTCCGCCAGGCCAACATTCTGACAGGCGCAAGGAACACGGCGGAGGTCCGTGGTGGCGCACGTGATTGGTGCCCAGCGGTCACGCGGTGGCACGGCAGGCTGCGGTAGGCTGCGGCTTCACCACCGTTGCAATATGTTAGTCATGCCGAGCCTCGCGCACACGCCACTTCAGACCGCCGGAGCAAACTATGGGGTAATCGATCGCTCCCTGTCACCACTGCGCCGGCCATTTCTGCTCTACGGTGGTTTTCTGGGGGTAATGGAAACCCATCACGACATCAACATCGTGGATTCCCCCTAGGTGCCCCCCCTTGGCTGCCCTGCTGTCTCAGCTTCACCTTCTGGAGTCTGCTGAAAAAATTCTCTTTCCTTGCGGCCAGTGGCCGTCTGATACGTACTGCCCAAACTGTCCTTAAATCTACTCCGTACACATACGGAGTACATACACACACCCATGGAATCCTGCACGTGTCGGCCGGTGCCGTGGACAACCCAACTCCTCAACTACCAATTAGTCGGGATCTTTCAGGATCGTCCATCCATGCTCGCTCCCCCTTGCGTACATAGACCCGGGTAGCTGTGCCGGCAACAGTCCCATGGGCTCCAGTGGTCAACTCACTCACCGGCGGGTCACTTACTATCCATACTGCCCCAGATCCTAGTCTTCCCTCTTCCCCGCAAAACTCACTGACACATGAGTACTCCGTACCTGCTCTCGATGCTGCTAGGTCGGTTGATCAGCACGTCCTGCACTAGCCGATGTGCAAGATTTGCGGTGTTGTCAGGTGGTCGCTGCCTTTTGCACCGCTGAACCTTGGAGACTCTCGATTGCCGCAGCTTGGTTCACCTCCTGGCTTCGATCCCGTGCATTGGACTGTGCTCGTAGCCATGTGAGTCGCAGCCCGGGCCTAGGGAGTAGGAGTACTTCCGCATTCAAGTGAACTTGGTGTGGATGATGTCTGGGTTCTCGTGCCAGTCGTCAATGCTGACCCACATCTACGCCCGCTCTTGTCAGTTGGAGGTTCTGGTAGCCGATGCGGCCGTCAGCAACATAGCGAACTCACCTTCCGGAATGTGCTCAACCCGGCAAGAATGCTCCCGCCAATCCAGGTGCTGTATTTGCGCTCAGGGGGCGCGAATATCTTGATGCGCATGTCCTTGACGGCCAATCTCTGCATTTCATACAGGAGTCGGTCTGGAAATCCTTTGCACAGTGTTGTACCACCACTCAGGACAACATTGCCAAATAGGTTTTTTCGCAGGTCCATGTCTGTCCGGTTGATCGCATCAACCACCATCTGATGGATGCCCTGGTACTCCAATCCAATCAATTCGGGCTCGAACAGAATTTCCGGCGCTCGGAATCGTTCTGCCCCCAGCTTAATCTTCTGACCGTCGGGCAGCACATAGTCAATGTCTCTTTTCTCGTTCTTCCATATCCCTTGTGACCAGTCTTTCTCCTCTTTCCTCGGATCCAGTGCCACGTATGCTGTCTTCTCTTTCATTATCCTGACTATTTCCTTTTCGGCGCTGGTATGAAACACGTGTCCGTTCTTTCTCAGTAAAAGCTGCATGTGTTCGGTGATGTCTCTTCCTGCCACGTCGATCCTCCGTATGCTGCTTGGGATCGCGAATCCCTCATAGACGGGCACCGCATGACTGACACCATCGCCACTGTCCAGCACGATACCGGTCGTCCGACCACTGGCATAAAGGCTGAGGACGGCTTGGATGGACATGTAAACGGCGGGGACGTTGAATTGCTCAAACAGGATTTGCGCGGCCGTGTCTCGATTTTGTCTCGGATTGAGGGGAGGTTCGGTCAGGAGGACAGGGTGTTCTTCGCTCAGGGTCTTCAGCTCTTGGTCATAGACATATGTCCAGATCCGTTCCATATCGTCCCAATCTGTGACGATCCCGTGTTCGAGGGGATATCGGATTTTGAGCAGACCCCGTAATTCCTGTGCTTTGGGGCCGATAAAAACATCCCCCTCGAGGGCGCCGGCGAGCGCACGAACATGTTTCGGTCGGCCGACGTAGGAAGGGAAGTATGCAGCTGGAAGATCTGTCCCAGCGAATCCAGCGCGGATCGTACCACTCCCGTTATCTAGTACTAGAGGAACATTGTGAAGGCTACCCCCGTCGGCCATCGCGAGACTTTTTTCTGAATGTCGAAGGACCGTGGCCACATAAGTGTCAAAGTCCGATGGACACGGGAGAGTCACGACCTTGACACCCTCTGGCAGCACATTGTGCAGACGTTGAACGTGTTGATTGCTTTTCGTCGAAGGATCAAGTGAACAAACAACCTCCAGCAGTTGGGGGAACGCAGCCGCGCTGAGTTGGTATGGACGCGACTCCGACTCCGACTCCGACTTCTCCTTCTCCAGAGATTATTGGCTTGATTAATGCTGTATTATTCTGCCAGCTCTCACCGCCTCCTGCATCTGCTTCCTCCACCTCCTGCTATTTTGCTTGCCATATTCCAACAAAATCAAGTCTGGAGTAGATAGAATCTGTCCGTCTTCTCTATCCCACAACACTTGTGTCTCCGGTGAGCCGTCAGTCTACGCGTCTCTGTACCATTTTCAAGATGCCAAAATATAAGTGCCCCATACTCTGCGCCCAGGACTTGGACTAACTATCATAGCACTCTTCTGCGACTACTGCGATGTGTACCTCACCCACGATTCCATGTCGGTGCGGAAAGCCCATAATTCTGGCCGAAATCACTTGAGGAATGTGGTGGAATACTATCAGCGTATGTGTGACAACGCGCCGGCAAGAGAAGTCCACGGGTTCTAACAAGAGTCCAGAAATTGGCCACGAAAAGGCGCAGTCAGTCATCGACTCGATCACTTCCTCGTATGCTGCTGAGGGTCAAGCCAACCCTATGTTTCAACATGGTGCTGTCGGATTCCCCCCGCCACCTCCCGGGTTTCCAGGTAGAAAGCTTCCTTACCGCGAATCCAGCCAACAGACTAACTGGACACTAGGGATGCCGCCCCCTCCCTTTGGTCTTCCAGGCGCTGCTCCGCCAGCTGGAGGAGCCATTCCACCTCCGGGTGGTCGTGGCATGCCCTTCCCACCCTTTCCACCCAATGGTGCTCCGCCTCTACCTCTTCCTAATGGCCTACCTTTCCCTCCTCCGCCTGGTGGATTTCCTCCGAACTTTCAATTTCCTCCTCCAGGCGCTCCCGGTGGTTTCCCACCCCCAGGGCAACAGCATCAACAAGGCCTACCTGGTGGACCTTCTCCTATACCCGGTGCCGGCCCAGGTCCGGCCCAAGGCCCTCCGCCTGGGTACAATCTGAATGCGTCCTCCGGAGCAAATGAAGGCCGACGTTGACGCTTGAAGTTGGTGACTCGTTTTTACCGTATCCTGACGAGATTAAAGACGGGCGCAATCGCTACATTTCCCCGAATTGATATTCAGTCCTCGGTTAAGAAATCGTTTCAGGACTGACGAGGTCGGGGGAATTAACTGGTCGCGGCAAGGCAAACGAAGCCGAAGCCACCTCATTTGGAGGAACGCCCCATGTCTGTTGACTCTGACAGCATCTTCACATGAAGCAGAGGACTCTGGAATGCTTGTTTCCGTCGTTTGACAGTGGGGACAAAGCGGCTACTTGGGTAGCCAAAGGTTTCAGGATCAGATTCAAAAGAAGTGAAATCTTGGGAAATTTGGGCGGTGGGCAAACAGCATCTGTAGCAGGAGTCTGGACGGGATTCTCGGCGTGGGAAAATACCTTATGGAGCTGGAAGGCGCGTTGTGCTGGACTATAGCAAGAAGGTTTGCTTCTCCTTCTAACTCATCTCGCCTTCACTCGCTTACCGACGGTTTGATCCTAATGGCTGCCGATTTATTACTCACCTTGACTGGATATCTGCTTGCGCCCATTGTTATCGTCTTGGCGTTAGCCCTTCTGATACACTGCATCCTCACATTACACCGCATCCGCGAGCGACGCGCCTTCTCCTTTGATTCCCTTCTTACAACGCCAACTCTCAGACCTCAACAAGTAACCGAGGAGAGCAGTCTTGTGTGACACACTACCCACAAGCTAGATTGGCCATGGCTTTCAGCTGCCTCTGCTTCGCAAGACCGAAAGAGCCGGTGGATCGTACCTCTCAGGCCCCCAGGAATCACAAGCGGGAAGAGTGCGAGTCTGAAACCTCTGGTGCGCAGCGCAATACCAAGGAGATGGCGCGAGCGGAGAGCGAAAAGGCTACTAGTAGTTGGGAGCAAGCACAGAAGTACAAGACCGACAAGAAATCGCGGAAGGCGGAAGAGAAGCGCACTCTCAACTATTACAGCGGAGGTTTGGCACGAGGCTTTGATCCAAATGCTGGCATGGTTCGATCTGGCCGGGACTGTCCTAGTGTTGCTATTGGAACACGCATGTCAGTCAACAACGTTGAAAGCGCGCCTGATTCGACAGATCAGAGACCGGTTCGAGGCCAGACTTGGGGGGTTCAGTTCGGAAACCCGAGCAACCACGTTAGACTTGGACATGAGGATAGCCAGGGCACCAGCAGCAAGCACAGACAGAGCGATGATGTCGCAGGCTAACCCCTGCAGGAGGAGCTTGTGATTAGGGACTGCTCTTCGTCCTGGAGGGTCTGGAGTATCAGCCAAACTGCTACTTTCTCCCAGCGGTGGTGGTGACGGAACCTAAGCGGAGACCAGGCTTTCCACAGGGACTCGAGGTTGTACAACTGGCTGGCCCTTCGAGAGCACGTTCTCCTTCCAGCTGCAGTCTTAGGATGCAGCTGAAATTTGCACAATCTGACCTGGAGCAGCCTCACCAAGGGCACCAAGGGTGTCTACGAGTTGAACAGTTGGTCGATGGTGCCGGGCTCAAGCACCCAGCGACTCATGCTTCAGCCTGGAACAAGGCTGGTGCTAGTTGTGGTTGGAAAGTTCAAGTTCGTGATGCTGCTCTGTGTCTCTGTGTCTTTGTGTGGGCATGATCAAAGCAGGCTCTGGCTCTACCTATGCTATGCTTGACCCGCCCTTCTCTTACATGGTAAATAGACAAATTAGCATTAGGGTTCGACTGATGATGCTAGATGCTATGACCACCTACCTAGGTAGGTACAAGGTACATATACCAGAATCCCAGGTACCTAATAGTACATACGTACACGTTGCATGACATGCCACCGATGCAGTGTCGTTCGTTCTCGTTCCTGTAGCGGTCCGTGCCTCGTGCCTGGAAGGAATAATGGCGCACTGGCAGGCAAGACGCGAGGCGAGGCGAGGCGACACTTCGGAACAGATGACTTTTCCAGTTCCGGACTCCCACTCACTCAGCCTACCTCTGTTCAGCCACCATACTGTACCTGTACCTGTACAGACTCTAGAGTGGTACTCCGTACTCCGTACCGTTTCATCGTATCTCGTCCATCCTCATAGTCCACAGTCTGCACGCTCTGTCCTTATCTATCAACCCGCGCATGCTCGCTGATCTGATATCAGATATCTGATATCTGTGCCTCCCTGGACCCGGACTCGACCTGTGGACATGCTTTGATAGAGGATCAGAATTCGTCTACGAGTAAAGGATCTCATAGCTTGAGGTCTATAGATTTGGTGGGGCCTGATCAGGCTCGTTATCTCAAGATCAGATCAGATCACTCGCTCACGCACTTACATACATATCCTGGGCGGCCACCATCCACCATCCACCATTCACCATGACAGGCCCTCCTGAGCCCTGGCATCTGTTGAACATACCCAGCGAAATCCGCCACCAGATATGGAGGCTCGTGTTTGCGGAGCACCACGTGGTGCGGACCAAGGACGAAGCCGGGTTCCAGAAGCCGGACTGCCAGGCGTGCCGGAACGACAGCCACCAATCCGCGGCTCTGCCGGCGTGGGAGCAGGTGTTTCGGCCTCTGTTGACATGCAAGCAGATATTCCGAGAGGCGCGGCACATCTTGCTGGCCTCGTCTACTTTCTACACGGGCACGGGGGCGTTCACGACGGCGCGCGTCGCGGCCAACAACGAAGTCCGCCGCGTCGCGGTGTGGCTGCATATCGACGACAACAACCGCATCGAGAGCGGCACCATCATGAAACTCATCGGATTCGAGTTCCCCAATCTTCAACATTTGGCCATCCACGCCCACATGCGCCCGCCGGAGAGCTATGAGAACCTGTGCGACGCCATCCCGCTGGGCGCTGCCATCGTGCGCCTGGAGCGCGACAAACGGCACACCCAAGTCACCATGGAATTCGACTACGTGTGGCATGGAGTCATGTTCGACAGCCCCTTTCTCGGCGAGATCACCACCCAGGACTCTCTGGAAGACCATGAGCTGGTCGTGAGAGATTTGATCGAGGATGACGCTTTTGTCGAGGCCGCCCTTGCGGATGCCCGTGGCGTCGACGCCGATGACGATGACGACGACGAGCAGGCCATGACCGCGGCTCTCTTGAGAGTCACACGATCCCATGAACGGCGCTGGTTCGAGAAGCTCCATCGCAGAACATTGGTCGCGTGACAAATCTCGGCTAGATGTACTCCGTATAGATATGCGGTTCCGGCCTCGGCGTCGCAACATGTTTGCTGGGATCATTTGAAGTGTCGGTTGACGACCGGTGGCTTTCTGTCCATATCTCCACCGTGTCACGACACACGCCCAACCACCGACAGGGGTTTATTACACAGTCTTGCTATTCTGCCACCAACTCGCCCAACAAGAAGTTTCAGTGGTACACACCACACAGGAATTCGTACTTTGTCTTGCCAGCACAGACGCCGAGATTCTCTGGGGACCAGAATCGTCCGGCTGAAGCAAAGGGGCTGCTCGCGCAATGTCCTGTTCCAGCCACTCAAACTTCACCTACCTTGAAGCCCGGTGGCGGTCCGCAGAGGTCGCTAAGCCGCAAGCCAGGACAGTGCTTGCAGTCAGATCCGAGCCCCAGAAGGCGGAGATGAGATATTTGATGGCCAGGGCCCCTGCTCTTGGTAATGATGCCACTGCAAATTCTCTGTTCACGTTCCATGCGGAGTGGCCCCAAGGGAGGTGACACCCATGGGTTGCGCGTATGCAATGCACTTATAGCATGGCCTGACTGTCGTTTGAGCTGGACCAGGTACAACGCTCAGCGCCCTAGGTGCGGCCTGCCGGTCTGGCCGCTTGGTCATGTTGATTGCCGCAGTGTGAGGCATGTGCAATGTGCAAAGACTATTGGCAACCCACAAGCATCCTTGCAGGCAGGCACAGTATGGGCGGCAGGTAAAATGCCGATAGGCGTGCTTTGTGACGGACCCATTGCTCAATCAATCTGCCAGCCCATCTCCTCGGCCATGACATCGGCAAGGCCATGCTTGTACTTCTCCTCGCCGGATCGTACAGGGGGCCATGCCCTCATGTTGCGTCGCAGGATCTCGACCTCTTCGATTGCGGCCGAAAGATGGCTTGGGAATCGGGCAGGTTAGTTGCCAGTATGAGGAGTAGACGATGGCATGGTTTCAAGGAAAGGAAAGTGGTGGAGCTGGGAAAGAAGAGGTGTTGGTGTTCTATACCTGAGTTTCCCATAGACAACGTATTGCTGTTCAGCCAGAATCTCCGCCAACTCGACCTGATGGTTATGGAGTAGGTCGGTGTTTGGGACGACGACCAGAGGCACCCCGCCTCGAAGTCCATCAAGGATTGATCCTGAGCCTGCAATCTACAGTCAAGACATGCATCCCTGCGTTGACACTCGACCAAATGAACTGACCGGCATGACTGATGACCATTCCTTCGGTCTCGATCGACTGTCCTTTCACCCTGGTCATCTCCTCGCGGAGGCCAGTCTTGTTGAATCCGAACCCAGTGATGTCAAAGTTGTCTTTAGCAAGCGCATCCCTCAGCTCTTTCGTTCTCGTTTCGAAGATTTCTTCTCCTGCACCATCGCCATATTGGATCCGGAGTTCGGTATATCCCACTCGTTGGAGCTCGGTGATGAACCCGGGCTCTAGAACCGCCTTGAGGAGGCCGTTGAAAGACGCTGTTGCGCCGATGGTCACAAAGCATCGCTTGGCAGCTTTGGCAGGCAATTCCGGATTGGCCATATCCAAAAGTCAATTCCGGTTTGCACAGTTACTCATTTACAGCTCGACAGGACGAAGGGAGGGCAGTGGAAATTTTGAATAGTCCAAACCTGGGAGTGTACGGATACTCTGTACTCGTAGGCCTGGGCGGACGGCTACGGCGGATCATGCCAAGTGGTACATACGTCCGACCACTTCGCAGGACACGCAAATGCTTCTTGCTCTCGGGGAAAATTACATGTCCCGTGCAAGCTCTCCAATGTGAACATTCGCACGGCCATTCTACACTGAGCCATCATGGCTACTCCGGCGCGGCACCTCTGTCGCTCTTTATTTCAAGTCAGTCGGCGGATCCCTGGGAAGCGGAAATGCCCATCACAATTCATGGCATGGCCCCGACAGGCGATCTTTCTTCGACAGCTCTCGACCACCACTCCGCGGAAGGCCGACGAGCCGTCGAAGTCCAGATCGGTGCGAGATACACAAGAGGGCGAAGACTACGACGACAGCCTCGATCGCCCCACGGAATATCTGACGCCTGGGACGCTCATCACCGTTGCCGACCTAGATCCCCAAGAGCGCGCCGACTTTGACCTGCTGCCGAAGCAAGAGCAGCAGGAATACCTGGCCTTGCAGAACCACTACGCGGCACTCTTTGAATCCGAACAAGCCGATGCGGCTCTGGATGGAATTGTCAACGATGTCGACAGGCAAGTGGACAAGGAGGTCGAGGACCTGGACTTTCCAGATGTGGCACTGGACCGGAGAGAAGCAGGCTATTGGGCCCAGGATGAGGATGACGAATTTGGTCAGGTCGAGGACGGAGATGAGCCGTGGGATGACTCTGCAATCTCCTCGATCGCGCACAGCGAGCTGGATGTCCATCGCGAGGTTCGAGAATACACCAGAGTGATTGCATGGGATATGCCACTTCTGCAACGTAAGTGCCGCGTCTGCTTGGTTTGACCTTATCACTGTGGGACTGACGGGTGATGTTTAAGAATATGCAAAACCATTCCAACCTCCAACCGAAGCCACCCCTCTTCGATTTCGATACACAACATATATGGGTGAAGCGCACCCGGCGGCCAAGAAGGTGGTTGTCCAATTTTGCACCAAAGACCTGCCCAATCTGACCGAAGTGCAACGGCTGAAATTGATCAAGCTGGTGGGCGTGCGATATAATCCAGACACTGACGTCGTCAAAATGTCGTGCGAGAGGTTCGAGGCGCCGGCGCAGAACAAGCGCTACCTAGGTGATTTGGTGAACAAACTGTTGGACGAGGCGAGGAACGGCGCCGACACATTCGAGGACATTCCGCTGGACTTCCGGCATCACAAATCAAAGAAACAAGTGGCATTCCCAGAGCAGTGGAAATTGAAACCGGGACGCATCCAGGAGTTATTGCAAGCCAGACAAAATCAAGGATTGTTGGGGCCAAGCGAGACACCTGCTCTGGACGGCAAGGAGGCCATACACAGCTATGTACAGACTTTGGGCGGAAGGGGTACTAGTCCGCAAAGGACGTTGTAACACCATCCAAATCCAAACCATCCCAACCATCCAAATCCATCTAGAGCTCGTCAACTAGAACAAGAGACCTGTTTCCATCCTTGCATCGAGTGGCTTGTGGCTTGACCTGGGCGGCTAACACTGTACTCCGTACTAGTAGTCAGCGCGCCTGTGTCTCGGTTCTTCTCCGCTGACCTCCTCCACGGCGTCTAGCACCTCGCTGGCCCCGGCCCGAATTTGCTTGCATGCTGACGACGGTGGCACTTGCGACGCTCGCATTGATGCAGGCTGCCTCGGCCTTCTCCCTCTCCCATCCCGCCTGCTCTCGGGCTCGGATCTTGGCCATCAAGTCGTCGGGTTCTTGGCCGTTGCTGAAACTGTCACTGTCGAGATCGTGGTCGAAGATGGATCGGTGATCCGGTCGGAGGACTTTGTACTTGGCTGCCAGAGCCTTGCGCTCTTTCTCCTCGGCCTCATTCAACTTCAATGCAACTAGCTCTCTCTGGTGCCCTTTCGCCTTTTCCTTTCCCTTTTCCTTTCCCTCCTTCGCCTTCTCCGCCTCCGACGGCCGAGCCTTTCCGCAACTGTAGCTCTTGTGGTTGTTTCCGGTGTGGTGTCTGGTCCCATGACCGCTGGCGGAAACCCCAAGCCCGTGACGGATCATGCGTTTCGCATCGTCGCCGACGCGCCATTTTCGCTCCGCAGCGTAGGCGTCAACAACACCGTAGCTCGGTACACTCTTTCCACCAGCGACAAGGAGACTGCCTAGGCCGTACTTTTCGCGGTACCAGCGGGGGATGTCGCGGTGACCGATGCGTTCCAAGGTCGGCAGGTCAAGAGGCATCTCATGCTTGTAGACACAGCCTTGCTGAGCATAGTCACATTCGCCACGGCGGATCCAGAAAGAACAGTATTCTTTGCAGCCGACGGGTGCTTTGGCCTGGCCGGCGTTGTCTTGTTCTTTGGCAGCTGCCGCGGGTTTCGAAGCTGGCATGGCAACAGCACTGGCAGGAGAAACACTGCGGTGGTTGATGTTTCGGGCAGGTTGACTTTCGCCATGGACTGGGATATTGGATGATGTGCAAGAGTTGCTCGCGGCGTCACTTGTAGGCTGTTCCCCGATACCGAATGCTTTTGGCAGCGCTGCTGCGGACAAGACAGGTCTTGCAGCCAACGCTGCTTTCCCTATCTCCGGAAGGTTTGTCTTTGGGGACGCTGCTTGTTCTCTAACCGATGGCGGGGCATGGATGCTGTCGATAAACAATGGTTTGGTGCTGTTGAGTGCGTCGACAACGTAGTATTGATGCCGAGCTTCGAACACGCCCACACCCATCATTCCGGCCATGTTGTATGAATCGAGCACACGTGGAACATTGCGGATTTGTACATGGATTGGGAGCTCATCCATCGCAATGAGAGGAACCATGACACCATTTTGGCGAGTGACGAAGAGTTGTGGTTTGAGAGTCTGCTGTTCCGGCATCGTGGTGGCTGCGCTTTGATGGATCAGTATCGAGTCTATGGACAGTGGGTATATCTATATTTGATAAAGGCGCAGAAGAACCCGTTCAACGATGCTTCTGAAGGGATAAAGGATGAGTACCAGTGCAAGTGCGCGATGGAGGAGAATGTATCCCTGGGGTATTTGAAGCAACATGAGACCCAAGACCAGTATGATTCACTGAGTGACACTGAGGGTAATGAAAGGGATTTGGGGAATGGCAATTCAATCTTGAACGCTGCAGCACTTACAATAGGAACAATAGATCCGAGGTAGACAGTGAAGTCTGGAATTCTGATTGAATGTGATTGAAGCTCGCAGGAAATGTATATTTTGAGTCGACAGGTTCGATTCAATCACCACGAATGCGACAGACAGACAGACGGGGTAAATACCAAAATAGTGAATGGAGAGGTCTCACAGGGTCACCTCATGATATATATTATCATGCGTTCTTCGCGTTTCCGATTGACCAAACGGCCATCAACAATCCAAGGAGAGTACATACAATGAGTGACACGACAAACCAGCGTGACATGCAAGACTCAAACAACGAGCAGTGCAGCGCAGTGAATTTCAAAGACCGTGGAAACATTCATGTTTGCAGTAAAGCCAAAGCCAAACCAGTAGCCATCACTACTGCTTTCTTTGTGAGTATAGGGGGTATTGGACGTCAATGGGGAGGATTCTGCCACAGGGCATCCTGCATGCATGAATGTCGCCATTCCGACGACCGCAGACCGCAGACCGGTGTATGCCAGACACCACGGACACTGGAGAGTTCTTCTTGTGCTGGATCGAAGTGATTGAGGCGATGATGGTAGTGACTGGCAGTACAGTAGCAATTGTGTGGATGTGTGTGTGCGTGTGTGTAGTTCACTTGCAGTTTGGCAGTCAACAAGAGTGCCAGCCTGCCAGGCACCAATTTGATATGGCGCTAGTCAGTTAGTCAGCCAGTCAGCCAGTCAGCCAGTCAGCTAGTCAGCTAGTCGTGATACGTCCTATCCGTACGCTAAACTGGCCTGGGACGATCTCCTGGAACGGAAGGAGCGGGCGTGTCAAAACAATGATCGACACGCGAAGCGAGAGAGAGAGAGAGAGGCATCAAAGAGGTGCAAGCAGGCAAGGCACAGCATGGCTACAAGTAGTAGTCCGTACGTATCAACTCTGAACGTCTGTGAGCAGCTACTAAGGTATCCCTACCTATCTAATACGCTGTGGCTGTGGCTGTGGCATCTGAGACATGCGCCCGGGATCGGGGTGATACAGAGGAAGATGTCCATTTACCTGCTTCTTGGATTTAATAATGCACACAGCGCGATTATTTGTGCCCGAATCCCGCCTCACTGCAGGTATCAGCGGAGTTGTAAATACGCCGTAAAACACGCAACTGATATCGTATTACCCGCCATCTCTCGCCCATCTTATCGGTACCAAACCCGTAACATTTCCCCGTTTCAGCGCCCTGAGTGGGCTCCCCAGCTGCTTCGCCTGGGCACGCCAAAGGCTTCCCGTGACAACCGCGCCGGCCGCAGCCCGAACCCTGCATTATTTCGGTTCCTAGTTGACACTGTAGATGCAGTAGGGAGTGCGATGATTTGGCACACAATGGCATTTAGGGAGCTAAACCTGGACTATCGGAAGAAGTAGCTAAAGGGCCCGTGATGGGATGTGGTTATGTGACCACCTACCGATTCTTACTACCTAGTACGTAGGACCTTAGGGTAGGTAATTAGGCCTAAACCCAGTCCCTGACTTGTCCTACTACTCCCGTCCTGGCCACAACCTCCAAACTGCGCCTCAAACCAACGTCCATCCATCTTCTGTTCAACCATCACAACCGCCTCGCCTCCTGAGGTTGAGATTATCACTCTCTTTTCTATCTCTTGTATTTCGCATCTCGCTACTTTTTACCTCCCATACGCGTTTCACCTTCTGTCCAGCGCGAGATCATGGCCACCGAGGCCTCCATCGCCCTCACCAACCGATCCCTTCGTACCATTCGCACTGTGGGTGACCTCACCACTGCAGCACGAGACCGGATGTTCATGTTAACCATCTACAGGAACTCGAATTTCTCGCAGACACATCCATCATCTCGCCAGAGCAACTCTCTTCTATCCTAGCCCAACTTCCAGCCCAAACGCCGTTGCATGCTCCCTTGCAGGCTCCCACCAATGTCTCGACAAACACCCCCGTCGATCAGTTTTCAAACATGAGCCTGAAAGAACACTATGCTCCCGTTCCAACACCTGCCCCTCTTCCTCCTCCAGCATACGTGCAGACCCCCCAGATACTGTCAATTGCAACCGCTCTCTACGCATACACGCCCACAGACACCGGAGACTTGGCACTGCAACAAGGGGATCGGATACAGGTCACAGAGCACATGAACAACGATTGTACGTGCACTTGGTGACTCACCTCACTGACGGTTTCACTAACGCATCATTAGGGTGGCGAGGTCGAAATGAACGAACGAGTATGGAAGGCATTTTCCCTAGAAGTTATGTCAATGTCATCGACGAGAAACGGCCGCCGATGGCCCTACCCCAGTCGTCCGACTATGGCAACTTGCCTCTTCAAGTCAGTCAAACAGGTTCCACCACCAACTCTGATCCCCGCAAATACAGCAAACTCGAGGAGCAGGGCAAAAAGTTTGGAAAGAAGATGGGCAATGCTGCCATCTTTGGAGCCGGTGCTACCATTGGCAGCAACATTGTCAATGGTATATTTTGATGACGGATCGGTGTTCTTAATGTTCGACTCCTCAGCCACTCGAGGCTACGACTATGAATTTGGGTAGAGTTTTCAACCACACGGACCAGGGAGAATATAAGCACCACAAGAAGATGCTTAATGGGCACACACTGAAAATGGGAGTTTCTCAGTCAATCGACGAGCATGGGATCCGGCGTCAGGCGGAGTTTCTTAGGGGGATGACTGCCATCGATGTGGAAAACCGCCTCATCAGCAATTGATGGTGAAGCATCCCGACAGTCCTATATTTCATTTGTTTTTCTGGGGGACCCTAAACAACGAACAAAAGACTTTTTGGCAGACGGAGCATGACCTTTGCTCTTCTCTTGGGACAGCTTGCGATCCCTTTTTTCTCGGGACGGATGGGGTGATCCGATTCGGCAGACTACAAAGAGAGGCCATGATGGGAAAAAGACGTGCTGTAGGCTTTGATGGCACAGTTGATGGATATGCCAGAAATGTTTGCTGCACATATTGTATTTATGGCAAATCGGTGGGCTTCCATAGCACTTCCATATCACTCCCCATTGAGCCTGTTCCAGTCGTTAACAGCATCCATACTCCTCCACATCTTCCTTTGTCTTCCCCAGACGTTCTGGCTGTTTACTGTAGGTGATGCCGGCTCAGGAATATGCCGGACAAGGCGCGAGCTTCGAGATACACCCCACTGTCGCCGCACCGTTGGCTGGACTGGAGGATGGCAGGCGAAGCGATGAGCTGGCCGGCGTAAGAATGTAACTTTCCAGTCCAGTGTGCACTGTAGTAGTGCATTGAAGGGAGGCCGTCATGCTGCATGCACTGGCTTTGGGGGTCAAAAATGAGTAAATGAGTCGAGTCTTCTGGCTCAATCGTCTTCTCTTGGTGGTGGCGGGCCAGTGGCTCTTATCATCTTTTCGATCAACTGGCCTCTGACAACCTCCTTGTTTTCACCCAGGCCTAAGGCCATGTAAGCCAGCAGAGGAGGATGGCCGACGTAAGATGCGTACGAGTCGCGAACAATGTTGTTCTTCCATTCGTAGGGCGTGGTGTCTGCGTGACCGGTGCCAACGTACTTGGCCTGGAGAGACTCGAGTTGTTGGAGGGTACGAAGCTTGTCAGCCATGGCGGCGGATTAGGGCGAGGGTGTGGGTGTCGATGGTGAGGGTGGTGAAGCGTGCAAGGTGCAGGGACGGAAATCGGAGGAATGTGAGTGAGGCTTAATTAACTAGATTGTCTTTGAGGTCCCAGCCACAGCCTCCAGAGTGGTGGAAAACCCTGCGAGTTTCCCGTTTCCAGCTTCCAGATTCCAGTTCCCGCGGTGCTGGCCGCTACTCCCGGACTTCCAGGGCCAAATTCCGGTGCCTCGTTGGCCATCCCCCTTCAAGTTCCCCCCAATCACTCCCGCAGTGCGCCTGAGGAGCCCTGTCAGTCTGCCGAGATCGCAACATTTGCTTGGAAATCCACCCCACGTCGGCAAACTCTGGGACCTCCTGGACCTACCATGTAGGTGCCATGCCCATCTAATTAGTACTCTTTCGACCTACTACCACCACTATCTGCTCCCTACCCATCCTCGGCTTTCGTTCTCCTCTCCTCGGAGCCCCGAAAACCGGTCCACCTCAGAACGGGCGGACAGTTGAAGTTGGGCCGAAGTAACAGCGCAAAAGCTTTGCACAGGACCTAAAACTATGGGTTACCGTTAAGTTGCGGCATGCATCCTCGGGATTCTGTCACCCACTACGGACTACCTCTGATACGCGACCGTGACCGGTTTATATCCTCCAGCCCCCGATGAATCCAATCAGGTCTGCTCTAGTTGGCCGCGCTGCAAGACCCAGACGACCTTCACCCTTCTACGCCTCTTCTTCCTTGCGCATGACCATGGTAGCGGCAAACAGACTGGCAGCAGAATCGACAAGGATGGGAGTCACCGGCACAGCACAGAGCCGAAGCGCCTCTTCGGCCGGCAAGGCAAAGATCAAGGTCAAGAACCCAGTGGTCGAGCTCGATGGAGATGAGATGACCAGGATAATATGGCAAGACATCAAGGACAAATTCATCTATCCATACCTCGACATTGACCTGAAATACTATGATCTGGGCCTACCCTACCGGGATGAGACCGACGATCAAGTCACCGTGGACGCCGCCGAAGCCATCAAGAAATACGCCGTGGGAGTCAAATGCGCCACCATCACACCAGATGAAGCGCGTGTGAAGGAATTCAATCTGAAGAAGAGTAAGAGGGTGCACCGCCCAGAATATGTGCCACTCGCTGACCGTGGCATCTAGTGTGGTTGTCTCCCAACGGGACCATTCGAAACATTCTCGGAGGCACCGTCTTCCGTGAACCGATCGTGATCCCACGCATCCCCCGTCTTGTCCCCGGCTGGCAACAGCCCATCATCATTGGCCGTCATGCCTTTGGCGACCAATATCGCGCCAAAGATGAAGTGTACCGCGAAGCCGGCACGCTGGAACTGGTCTTCACCCCCGAGAAGGGCGGCGAACAACAGCGGATCAAGGTCTTCGACTTCCCCGCAACCGGCGGTGTTGCTCAGGCCCAGTACAATACAGATGACAGCATCACGGGGTTTGCGCACGCGAGTTTCAAGTTCGCCCTGGGCAGAGGATACCCCCTGTACATGAGCACGAAGAACACGATTCTCAAGAAGTACGACGGTCGCTTCAAGGATATCTTCCAGGAGATCTACGACAACGAGTACAAGGAACAATTCGAGGCCAAGAAGATCTGGTATGAGCACCGTCTGATCGACGACATGGTGGCCCAGATGATCAAGTCGGAGGGTGGCTTCGTCATTGCGATGAAGAACTACGATGGCGATGTCCAGTCCGACATTGTCGCGCAGGGCTTTGGGTCTCTGGGCCTGATGACTTCGCAGCTCATCTCGCCAGATGGCTTGACGTACGAATCCGAAGCCGCCCACGGCACGGTGACGAGACATTACCGGGAACACCAGAAGGGTCGCGAGACCTCGACCAACCCCATTGCCAGCATCTTTGCCTGGACCCGAGGGCTCGTCAAACGTGGCCAACTCGACGACACCCCTGAGCTGGTGACCTGGGCCGAGTCCCTGGAGAAGGCGGTCATCGACACAGTCAACGAGGATGGTGTCATGACCAAAGATCTGGCATTGGCATGTGGCCGGAAGGACCGCGAAGCTTGGGTGACGACGACCAAGTTCATGGAGGCGATTGAGAGCCGCTTCAAGAAGAACCTGGAGAGCGAGGGTCTCGGAGAAGTCGCGGCCGAGAAGTAGGCGTGACCAGAGGTATTTAGATTGGAGTCACTCGTCTGGCGCAGGTACATGGATCTTGAACATAGCGGAGGTAGGTGATCAGTCGAGAAGCAAGCCAGTTTCCAGGATACCTTGGGTGCCTACGTATTGGTAGTTCCTACTGCGACCTACCTTAGGTAGGTAGGTAGGTGGTAGGGACGGACGGAAAGGAAAGAGGACGAGGCACCAAGGCTGGCCTGGCCGGGACGGAGACACTGCCAGTGCATGTTGTGAGGGCGTCACCCGCGAGAGATGGATGGATGTATGTCCGCATTGTCGTTGTCGTTGTTGATGGAGATGGAGATGGAGATGGAGATGCCCATACGCGCGGCAACATAGAAAGGGGCGTCTACTTGCTTGCTTACCTACATAGACCACAACCAGCCTGCTCAGAGGGAAGACCTATTATATACATACATACCAGGCAGCTAGATCCAGCCTCGGCCTTGGAGTTCAAGAGTTCATTTGCAGTTCATGTTGGGGCTTAGGTATGCCATGCCTACAATACACTACACTACACTACACTATAAGAGAATAGTATACTACTACCCTACACTACAAGGGAATACAATACACTACACTACACTACACTACGGAGTACACTATACTACAATAACAACGCCATTCTATATTATAGGTAGATGTACCTACTCGTATATTTTGTCTATTCGCTTACTACCTACCTAGCACACCTAAGGCAAGGTAGGCAGTATAGGTAGGTACATGTACCTTAGTACAGGCAAGGCTGTGGTTTTCCCAGTTCATTTCAGTTCAGTCCATTCTCTTTTCTTTTCCACAATCACCCCCTCACAGCCCCTTTCTAAGTTTCGGTCCTTTTCGCCCTCGAGAATTTATATGTCTCTGTCTCGCACTGCACTGCATGTCAAGTCCAAGTTCCGAGTTCCTGCTAATTCAAGGTAGGTGCCTGAAAGCTTATGTCCATGATCATGATCACGGCACAGTCACGGTCACGGTCACGGTCACGGTCACGGTCACGGTCATGGCTGTGTCCCCCGTTCTAGAGCCAGAGGGTCGGCTTTCATCTCTCCATCTCTGGGTCAAACGATAGGCACAACGTGAGATGAGAGCTAGGATACTGCTGGGTTCTCGCCCCGAGAAGGGGAAAGGGGGGAACCTTGAGGACATTCAGAGACTGGCAAGCAGATCAAGCCTAGCCTGGACACGTCTACAATCAATGTAGAATGTACTGTGTCCATGCGGAAAGTCCAGCATGATTTGGGCCTTTCATGTCAAACCTTTTTGTGAGAAGCCACCGGCCAAACGGAAAACCAGCCGTTGTCTATGTAATATCCGATCTTCCGGGTACAGAAAAGACCATGTCTTCCAGTTCCCCAACGCCGAGGAAGAAAATCCAGCGGATGTCCAGCGCTCCGAAAAGGCACCGCACCATGATAGAGATCATGGTGGCAAGGTCTTTTGAGACTCCCACTCGGTCGAGCACGCCCTTAGCTTCCACTACCATCGCCCTCTTGCTCCGACTTTTTTTATTTTTTGGTCTTTGGTGGATACAAGGGTCCCCCAATATTGGTCCCGCGCAACTTGATACCCAAAGCTCTTTCGAGCTTTCCGAACTGGTCCTGGCTCGGGAGAACGGTGCCTTTTTCAACCCCCTGTATTACAGCGAAAGGAACACCAGACTTGTTGGCGAGATCCCTTTGTGTCAATACAGGTTGCATCTCGGCTCGACGTTTGGCAAGTGCATCCCCAACGACTTTGGCAGGTTTCGGCGGCGGCAAAGGATTATCATCTCGGTCAATTTTGGTCTGGCGCTGACCCTCAACGTTCGGTGTCTGTGAGAATGAGCAGTTAGTCATGCATCGCAGGAGCGACTACACCTAATGTAGGGCCGGCCGCCAAGTGTCACTTACAGTGTTTGAAGAGCCATATTTCTTCCCTGCCACCATAGCCACCCCAGACCGCTGGGCTGCGTTGAGAGCCGAATTGCCCTTGATAACACGCTCGCGCTCAGCGGCGCCACCTCCTGCACGAGCCTTGCTGCCGATGCGAGTGACGCTATCCCAGTCGTTGTCGGCCATAGTGGCGGGGAAGCAGGACTTGGAGTGTGGGGAGAAAGAGATGAAGCAGGTGGGAGAAGACAGCAAAGATATGACTGGCTCGAATGGCTGGAATATGCAAGCTCTGTGAAGAGTGAGGCGAAGTTGAGGGACAACAAACAAGCTGGGGCTCAAAGCGCAGGAAGAGGAAGTGGAAGAGGAAGAGCACCTCCTCTATCGAGCATCTAAAAGTTGCCATCGGTTTCAGCTGATTGAGTCATGGCACGCCACACCACGTGCCAGTGCCACCAATTAACCCTAACCCTAACCCTAACCCAACCCTAACCCAACCCTAACCCTAATACTCCCCGGGGGACCGGCCCCGGATTAAAGTTTCGCCGGCCGCTGCAAGTGCCGTTCAAGGCTGGAGGCTCAGGAAGCTACCCAAGGCCCCTGAGCCCCTGAGCCTGAGCAGGCCCGAGCCTGAGGCCTGCCAGTGAAACCTTCCACCGCAGTACAAAGTAGCTCGACAACTTGGTTCGAGTGGCTCAGGGCTCAGCCATATGTGTCCCCCACGGCATGAAGGTACGGAGGCGTGCCTCAAATGAGCTGACCGCCGTAATTCGGCGCTAGATTAAATGACATTATCTGACCGCCTGACAGGTAATTTTCTTATCTCTTCAGGGCTCTTTACCTATTAGCCCCTAGTACGGCGCCTAACTTTTAGGCTGTCTAGGTGACTATAGCAATAATCTATAGTTAAGGCTTAAGTATATAGCAACCTCCGATATCTCCGGGGGTGGTTGTGAGGGACAACGATAAATAAAATAGTTGGTCTTTTGAAACCTCTTATCTATGTCACGTGGTGCGGTCAACTCATTTGAGGCACGCCTCCGTACAGTGTCTGGTAAGCATCAGAGAATCATACAAGAGGCAGCGCCCTCCTCACTTCATATGCTCAGCGCCATCTACCTAGGTATAGGATCTGATTCCATGAGCACCGCCCCGTTACCAGCCGCTAGTGCAACCCATCTATAGCAGCTGGAGTTTGCTGCTCTATATGCACCATGGGCATAATGCAGCCGTATCTCTTCGGCGGTCTGGGTTCCCAACTCCCAGAGACGAACGGTGCCATTTTCCACTCCGGTAGTGACAAGTTGACTATCTGGTGAGAGGCTCGCTGAACGCACGTACACTTCGAAGTCGTGCTCCCATCCCAATACGTTCAACATGTCAATGTCATCGAGGTCGAAGATCCTGGCGCTCCCACAGCCGCCTACGACAAGGTACTTCCCGTCTGCGGAGAAATTCACACTCCATGCTTTCTCGGAAAGTATTTGCCTGGGACAGATGGCAAAGCAGTAAGGACATTGGAAGAACTCGTCCAATGGCGATGTCTTTGGCGGCGGGGGAAATTGGACGTGTCCGGGTTGCATGGCCCCGCTTGGAGGAGCATATTCCAAGAGAGATATTGTATCCAAGGCCATGGTCGGAGATGCTAGTAGGAAATCTGAAAGTCTCCGGTCAGGCCCCTCAACAGCCTTGCCTGTGGAGGCCTCCCCGCCTCGTAGAGCAGTCGGCACTTCTTGCCTAAGGGGCACCAGCTCCCAACTAGGAGGAGCACGTTCCGCAAGAGACTTCCGATCAAAGGTTATGGTCGGAGATGTTAGCGAGCATAGAAATTTCAGGTAAGACCTTCTGTGAGCCTCGTGTTGGGCTATTTTCTTTGTGTCTTCGGCGAGATACTGTCGAGACTGTTCGCGGTCAGCAAACCGTGTTCGGCGTCGGTTGTTGGCACGTGCAATTCGATGTCTGAGGGCATGTCTCTGCAGGCGGGCAGACTGCTGATATTTGACGTCCGAATCGGCAGACTGGAAGGTTTGACTGAGCAAGCATTTCTCATCGAGATGCCCGACGTCTGATTCACATGCTGTCGGACCACAACAACCAAGGCCTTCTGTACGCGATTTGTAGGGCATCCTCGACTGAAACTCCCAAAATACAGACAGAACATGACCGAAATGATTTCCATGATTGAAAGGATCGATGAGATCACTGTCGGTTTGTTGGAGCTCTACCTTGGAAGATCCCAGTCTTTCAGCTGCATGTCTGATACTTGTAGACAATGTGAACAGCCCATCAAGGGTGTCCGTGATGCTTGCCAGTATCAACTTCATAAGGGTATGGGGATCCAAGTCCTCTTCGTCGTCCTCTTCGTCGTCCTCTTCGTCGTCCTCTTCGTCGTCCTCTTCGTCGTCCTCAAGAACTGGGACCTCAATGTCATCATCTTGTGCAAATGTGGTTTTATGGTTAGCACGGCTAGGCACCATACCGCCTCGTTGACGCCTCCATGAACTCTTCTCGGCGAGTACAAGCTCGAGTGCGTCTCGTAGATACAGGGATAAATTTTCCAGAAATCCTTCGACGGTTTGTGCTAGATTTTCGGCCTCGCGGAGTCGATAATGAAGGGAACCATGATCCTGGCGTAGGAGTTCGACGTCTGCCGCCCAAATCTGCAGCCGCTCATACTGATTCTGGAGGCTGGATTGAGTTTGAGAAACCCGCTCATCAACTATCTCTGCAGTTGCCACAATCTGGAAGGATTTCAAGGCTATCATGCCTAGTGTTGCAAGGTTGGTGAGTCCCGGAGCAGGCATGTTTGGTCCGACCGGGCCACCGCCCACGACACGACCTGATCGGCTGTTTGTCTCTGGAGTATGTCAGTGGGGTGTCAATATAGAGCCAGAAAGGTCTCGAGGAGAAGGCTGAGAAGGCTGAGAAGGATGAGAAGGATGAGAAGGATGAGAAGGATGAGAAGGATGAGAAGGATGAGAAGGATGAGAAGGATGAGAAGGATGAGAAGGATGAGA